ACCTATAGTATAGTATCTATAATAGTAGTATAATTAATAATTAAATATATTAAGAAATACTAAAACTATAGGTTTATATAGAGTTATAGGTTACGTAAGGCATACTTCTAGCCGGAGCCTCGGAGCTAGCCGCGGATATCCTAAGGACGAGATCGCGACTACGCGACTCGAGGCTATCGATAGAGTAACTAATTTTACGTTACTATATAGAAGTAGAAGGATATAGTAGAGGAGAGGACGAGAGTATAGAGCGCGTAAGAAGTGAAAGCATAGCAGAGAAGACGCGTTGGATAATAGCGTGCTCAAGACCATCGTTATTTGTCAGTCGTGCTTTCGTTTTTGGCGCCTCGAGTGAATCCTGCGTAAGAGACGCTGCGGGCTGAGCTGCGAGACTAGTGGCGAGGTAAGATCGCATCTCAAATCGCAGAAGGCAAGCAAATTGAGCACTGCTTCTGGATCTTGAGTGAGGAAAAGAACGAGCCTGGACTTCGAGGAACATAGGAAAACGCCCGACTCCCTTTCCAGTGCAGAGGTAATGTCGCCCGCCCTACCTCGATTACCCAAAACTCAAATAACGGCTGGATAAGGCTTTCGGATAGCCGAATAACAGGGGATGCTCAATGTCTGGCATCACCTCCAGTGGTGCGGCTTCGATGCGGATCTTTCGCTGTGCGAAGCGGCCGTTGCGTTGCACGTCGATGGCAATCTTTCACCTCCTCCCTGTCGCTGGTATGCTCAGTGCCACTGGATCCTCTTGTACTCCCTGCGACAGCAAATGCTGTGATCGTTGGTGAAACAGACGTGCGTGACAGCGGCCGGCAGTGGTTACGAAGCATTACGAAGTTGAGTTCTGGACTGCCGAAGTCGCGAGGTCGAAAGTTTGTCCGCCACAAGAAAGAAGCATGGACATCCAAGTCACTCACTTCCATCACAGCACCGCTTTCTCCGCGCGGAGCGAGCACTGAAAACCCGCTCGAGACTTCTCCTTCAACCTCCTCTTCCACCACCCTCCTCACCTCGCCTGTCCGTCGCGCCACCACCTCCTCCGCCGCTCACGCCCGAGCCCCTCCATCCTCACTGCCGCAGCCATGGCGCTGTCCAAGTCGAATCGCATCCTCATCCTGCTGGTGATCGACTCGCTCTTCTTCCTGCTCGAGCTCGTCACCGGCTATGCTGTCCACTCGCTCGCCCTCGTCGCCGACTCCTTTCACATGCTCAACGATGTCCTGTCTCTCCTGGTCGGATTGTGGGCCGTCAAGGCTGCGAACAAGACGGCCACTCCGAAGATGTACACATACGGCTACCAGCGCGCTGAAACCCTGGGTGCACTGGTGAACGGTGTTTTCTTGGTGGCACTGTGTGTGACCATCTTTTTGGATGCCATTCAGCGATTCGTCGAGCCTCAGGAAGTCTCGAATCCCAAGCTGGTGCTGATCGTGGGTTGCCTTGGTTTGGCGTCGAACATGGTGGGACTGGTACTGTTTCACGATCATGGACATGCCCACGGTGGCCACAGTCATGGCCCTGCAGGTGACTCTGTAAAGGACGCTGAAGAAGGACACGCGGGACACGATCATGGGCACGACCATGTTCACGCCAATGGAGAATCTCATGCTGGCCACAAGCACGATCACAAGGATACTGCCAGCGAAGCTACCGCTATCGCCGACGATGCGGCCAACAGTCCTAAGAGGGCAAGACGGCACAGCAGGTCGACCTCACGAGGCTTTCCTGAAGACTTCTCGGGCCCCAGCCAGTTCCGAAACTCCATCATCGCCATGGGCCAAGGCCGACTTGATACTGTCGATTCGGAAGAGGGCAGCGAGGCTGGTGAAATCGTTCCAGCTCCAATCTTGACTGAGGACCAGCCATTGATGGCAGGAACTGCACAAAAGATCTCCTATGGCAGCGCGGCAGCTGAGCGTAGATCCTTTGACCACCGCGCACACAAGCACTCTCAACCACGGGAAGCTGGCAAGGGCCACGGCGGCCACTCGCACGGCGATCTCAACATGAAGGGTATCTTCTTGCACGTCATGGGTGATGCCCTCGGCAACATTGGTGTTATCGCGACTGCTCTCATCATCTGGCTCACCAAATTTCCTGGCAGGTTCTACTTCGATCCCGCCATTTCCCTTGTCATCACATGCATTATTTTGGCTTCAGCAATTCCTCTCTGCAAGGCCGCATCTCGAATTCTCCTGCAGGCTGTTCCCTACGGCATAGAGGTCGATGATATCAAGGATGATATTGAGGACCTCGAGGGCATCGACAGCTGCCACCACGTCCACGTCTGGCAACTCAGCGACACCAAACTCGTCGCTTCTCTTCACGTTCGCGTCACATTCAACTTCAAGGGTGAAGGATCCCAACGATATATGGCACTAGCTTCTGCTATCCGAAAGTGCCTCCACGAATATGGCATCCACTCATCAACTATTCAACCTGAGTTCCACTCCGAATCAGAAGACGGATCACAGCACGAGCTTGGTCAACCATCACGAACAGGATCCGTCCGTGGCGACACGTCTTGCCTTCTCGAGTGCACTGATGATTGCGGTGGAGGCAAGAGCTGTTGTCCTCCAGCCGGGTCGAGTGCCGAAGACAGTCACGACCACAGTGGGCACGGGCACTCGCACTAAGTTGACATGAGTGTCTCACTTAATCATGTTCACCGAGCAGAGCTCCCTTTTGCTCTTCAGACTCGCTTCTCTCTGACCGCACCGATTGCGGTACATCATGCTTCGCGGTTTACTCTAATGCACCTCGCTGTCATTAGTATGGTGTTCGATGACGTCTAACAGTACGGGCTCTTTCTGCCAATTCTTTTCCTTTTTGTTTCCGCGAAAGAGCTTCCGGTAACACGCTGGCTGCGGGTCACAGGATGCAATGAGCATGGTTTCAGCCAAGCTCATAGGGGTGGCTCTAATATTTCAAGATATGTGGGTGCGCGTTGTGCTTAATGGGTGGACTGGACAGGTTGGGCACGAGCTTGTGTGAGCAATGTGTGTGGGCATTCGCAAGGAGTGTGGTGTATGATAGAAAAGTCCCTTTTCGAACGGCCGACTGTGCGAGGGACCGATAGACGCCTCTTCTCAGGCTTCCGGCGCAACAATGTATGAAGGTGCTAAAAGACTATCTTTTGCTACTGCTCGATTCTCAGGATGAAAGAGGCTGGCTCAAGCAACCATACGCGAACGCCGGCGGGAAGCAACGAACTAGACATTTCTGGTTGTGTCTAGGAAGTGGCGCCTTCCCTATGGGGACAGTATGGCTTTGAGTTCGCACTATAATTGCGCTAGTCAATCGACCATGCTCTCGTCAGCAACGGAGTTCACGATACGCTCGAAAGCAATGCTACCGTGATCAAAGCGACCACATGGCATTGCATTTGTAGAATCGTGTCGCAAGCGACCAAATATATATTAGAGCAGAAGAAGTGCGACATGCTCCTTTCCAAGTCAAAGCATCAGTTCACAGCCTTCACTCCAACACCAATCAAAATGCTCTCCAAGACACTACTCTGGCTTGTCCCAACGGCACTGGTCACAGCTGCTCCACACAATGCCCTAAGCGCACTCACCTGCACAGAAATTGAGATTCCAGTCAATATTTCGTCTCCGGTTTTGAACTTGCCTAACAACCTCAACCTCTTGTCTGTTCAGGACCCCTCGTTCTTGAGCAAGTTCGTGGCAGGACTAGGATCGACGATTGCCGCAGGACAATATAGTATTGGCGCGAGATACTGCGAGCCGACAACGATCGTTGCTTCAAGGAGTAATACTTTGCAAATTTTGGTGCATGGTGAGTTCGGATACCATAAATTGTCTTGAGATAGGGAGCTGATGGTCACCAGGTAGCACATACACCAGAGACTACTGGTCAGGCCTCGCAGCTCCCGGAACACAACCTGGTCAAGACCAATACTCCTGGATCCTCTACGCCGCCAACCAAGGCTATCCCACCCTCTCCGTAGACCGCCTCTGCAACGGCGGTTCAACACGAGGCCTCAGCGCAAAAGATTGCCAACTCCCCACCCAAGCCGAAACCCTCTACTCTGTAATCCAATCCGCTCGTTCAGGAACTCTGCCCACCGCCCAACGTTCTTTCAATAAAATTATCTACGCAGGCCACTCTTACGGCGCAATGGTCGGCAATGCCCTCTCGATCCAACATCCCGAAGCAGTGGATTCCTACCTCATGACAGGTTTCTCGTTCAAGCTCCTCCAAGGCCAAGCCGGTGTGATCGTTCAATCAGGTTTTCAGCCCGCGGCAGTAGCTCTTCCGAACAAGTACGGCCACCTCGATCCAGGCTACGTAACCTTCACAAATGGTCCCGGCGTTCGCAGCGTGTTCTACCACGGTGATTTCGACGACGCTGTCTTTCAACAAAAATAATCTCTCGAAGAGGAACTCTCACAATCGCGGAAGTATACACTGCGACATTCGGACAAATGAATGCTCCTGGATATACGGGTTCTGTATTTGTTTTGGATGGAAATGAGGATGGGGTGTTTTGTGAAGATGGGCCGCTGCAGGCGATTCTCGGTGTTGCGGGGGATTGTTCGAAGGGGTTCTCTGCAGGTGTGAGGGATGGATATCCGAATGCGAAGGCTTTTGGGTTTTATAATACGGCTAATACGGGGCATTGTTTGAATACGCATCGGACTGCCCAGGAGAGTTTCAAGGCGGCGCATGATTGGTTGGCTGGGCAGGGGTTTTAGGATATGAGAACTCTTTTTACTGCGATGGAATTCGTTGATAGAGTAGATGTCGAACTGCGGGCTATACCGAGATCTCGTTGAGTTGCAAAAGAACCTGTTGGAAGAATTAGTGCATCTCCTAGACTGCATTACAGATTGCTCACTCACCTGATTAATGAACTTCACACCCACGACAACTCCATCCTGATCTTCAGCCTCACTGATCTCTTCATACTCATCATTATCAGCATCCAAACAAGTAAGACAATCCACAACAACCTCAGTATACGTGTTTCCCATAATCGGCGGCAAGCGACGCTTCGCAAGGCCCACGAGGAGATCTTTGAATGCACCAGGTGTAAAACGAAGTAGATCACTAGCGCTGACCTCGAACGCTCGTCCAGGGCCGGAGATCCTTCCGTTATTGTCATACATCACGAATGAATTCCAAAGACCAATTTCAAGCAAGCAGACGCCGAGACTGTAGATATCGTGTTGCATTTTGTATCGCTCCTCCGGGAAAGAGCCTTGTCTTTCGGGGTGGCGATACATGTTTTGTTCCCAGTTTGCTGAGCCGCGAAGGTAGGTGTTTCCATCTTCGCTTCGGACTTGTTCGAAGCCGATGAGGTAGAAGGAGTCGAGGGTGAGGTCGTCTTCTGCAGTGGGGTTGAGGAAGCTGATGAAGTTTTCGGGTCGGATGCCTTTGTGCACGAAGGCTAGGGTGTGAACGTAGTTCACTGAGGTCGCGATTCGTTTGGCGAGTGAGAAGCGGTCTGTCAAGGAATGTGGCTGCTGCATGAGCAAGCAATTTCGTAGACTCATTGGTGTGCCGGGTGATGGAGTATCGAATATCATGTCGAAAGAGGCAACGCGGCTGCCTGTGACATGGCGCATTTTGACGACTCCGCGACAGCGTAGAACTCCAAAGACAGCTGGGTCTACCGCGCGAAGCTTTCTAGCCAGGCGTCGAATGTCTTGCGTCATGGTTTCGGTATTTGAGTGACCTGGACATGGTATCGAGTCCACGATGTACGAAGTAGAGGAACCTTGCTCATGGGCAATCATTGCTTGCGAATGTGGTACACGCCTTGTATCCATCTTTTCAAGTTCGTTTGGCGACAAGAAGATGTGCGTGTCAGATGGCTCAAATTTACTGATAGCAGCGCGGACTTTGGTTGCCCTGCGCAGCAGGACGGTGGCTTCCTTTGAGCTTGCGGATGTCAACCTTTTCAGCTCATCGTCAATCTTGGGGTTTGCAATCTTCATGATCAAGAACCAAGAAGGATCGTACACTGCAGACCATTCGGCTAGTTCGTCTATCAGACTGTCCAGGTAGGGCTTGACCAGGAGATATTTGGTGAGCTTTATTTTCCGCCGGGAGTCAGGATTACAATGGCCGTCCTTCTGCTTTTTCAGCAGTCCTTCAACTCGCCGTTCTGCGGTCTTGATTTTGCTCTGCAACAGGGACAGAATAGATAGCTGCGAAGCTTGGTGCTCTTCTCGAAGCCCCGACCAGGTGGACTGTGCGAAGTCGAGCTGAACCTGAGTCCGACGCCAATACGACTCGATCTTGATGGCGCGATCTTCAATGTCGCTTCTTGCATACTTCAAGGTGATGATGAGATCAACCAGTTTGTGTCCTTGGCTGCCCCTCCGTGTCAGCAGCTGACGCATGGCGGAATTCTAGGAGATGAATACCCAAGTACTGCACCCACGGCGGATGCTATCGCTGGCAACTCCATGATCTTTCAAAGAGCTGAACCGTGTGCTGAAAGGAAGTGCAATCGTCCGCGCCATACTGAGGGCAGCAAAGACTATTTTCAGTGCAAGATGTCGGGAGAAGTCTGCCATCGCTCTTGAGGTGGCGCGGGTCGGGGCTCAGGAGATCATGTATGTTCAGCCACGGCGTCTTAGCTCTGCAAGCCTTGTGCATTCCAGCCGCAATCACTGGAACGTTGCAAACAACCTCATCTCACTGGGGCAGGTGAACTCTGTGTGGAGAAGGTAAGAACTGCCAAGGTATCATTAGTCAGCAATTTGACAACACTGCCGCGCCCTCTATGAGTTAAGGCTAATTCTTGCTATGCAGATATGATATTCATCTCGCATTCTCTCAACACAGCTCCGCACGATGCCTCCAAAATACTTCTCGCGCCAGCCACGGGCTGTGCGCTCGGATCGGCGAGATGAGCGCCAATCACGCTCTGAGAAGGCCTTTGTGGCTTGCATGATCAGGCTGAGCCCCTCAGCTGTGCAACCGCGTGCCAGCGATCGTGTTGGTCCCGTTTGCAAGAAAGAAGGAAACGACGAGAGTAAGATGCTGAACTACTGCGAGGAAAAGCAGCCCGAATGCCACGAGCGGCTGATCTGGTGCTTCTGGCGCGGCTGGAAGCACAGTTGACAGAGACACTTCACGGTGTCTTCACAAAGCACAGCGATGGTGAGCTGCACACGGTGTGGAGGAGAGACCCGCGACCCCTAGGTAGAGGTGGTTTTGGCGAGGTCTATCGCGAAGAATGCATCGATGGCCTCCAACGAGGGTCAGTTCGCGCTGTCAAACTCATCCAGAAGCCGAATGCAAGGCAATTGCGAGGCATCGACTTCAGTCGAGAGCTAGAGGCCATCGCGCGCTTCTCCCAGCCACAAGTAGAAAGACCCAAGAGCCGTTGATTCATGGATCGTTCGCTAACACTTGCGCAGTATGAGGCTTATTTCGCAAAGTCATTTGGCTGGTTTGAGACATCGAGCACTGTTTTCATTGCCATGGAGTTCCTGGAGCACGGTGATCTTCAACGTTGTTGCGGAAACCCGATTCCAGAAAGAGAGATGCAAGCGATCGCTTCTCAGGTGCTTGGGGGCCTCTCCTTCATGCATTCACAAGGCTACGCTCACCGGGATCTGAAGCCGCAGGTACGCAGTGCTTGCCCGCGACTGGTGTGCACAAACGCTGATAGAGTGGTGCGCGCAGAATCTTATAGTGTGTCGCCCAAGACCGCGTTGGCATATCAAGATTGCGGACTTCGGTCTCAGCAAACGAGTTGCCGAGAGCTTCTCTTCGCTGCACACGCAGGCAGGAACTCAAGGCTACATGGCACCAGAGGTCATGGGGCTTTTGGACGATGATGATGATTCAGACGATGGCATTACATCTTCATACACTACCGCCGTGGATATCTGGGCCCTAGGGGTAATTACGTTCTACATGCTGACCGGTCAGCTGCCATTTCCGGTATCAGACCAACGACCACTCAAGAAGTATGTTCGGGGCAAAACATTATTTCCAGTGCAGAAACTACATGAAGAGGAGATAAGCGACGCAGGTTGCACCTGGATCGAAACCTGCATGGCACCTTCTCCACTAGACCGACCAAGTGCGGGATATAGTCGGCGTCACGATTGGCCAATGGGGGCTAAAGCTTTCGATGCTTCCACTGAAGAATTGCAGTCTTCAGTTGCATCAAGCGGCATGGCCACCGCTAGTTGGACGGCGACAGATAGTGCCTACGACTCTGGGAACCATCCGCCTGTGGCCGAGGACTCGCCGAAATCTGCCACATTGAACAACACAGCCCCGGTAGCATTACATATGTACGATGGCAGCAGTGAGATAACCGAGTCCAACACTACGTTACCAGCAAAGCCAAGAAGTTCGCGACAACGTACCCGAGCTCGCCCTCTACGGCCAGCCTTGAGCTTCCAAACCACCAGTGAGACTTCTGCTTGGAATTCTGCAGATACTATTGTGCGTGAAGATGACTCGATGTACACTCAGATCCCTGTGCGCGAATATCTTTCAACGGGATGGGCGGATCACGTTACCCTTTCAGCGGACAATGAAGTGATAGGCACCATTTGCGGAACCGATGACGCCACGCAGCAACAAGTGCGCCTATGTCTGTGGAGCACAGAAACTGGCAAGTCCCTACTGAAGCTTGATCTGGAGCTTCCGAAAAGTCATATTCGCGACAAGAATACATTTGGATCATTGGTAATTGGACCTGGTGCACTCTCTGTGGCTCTGTCAACAGACGATGCCAGAATTCATGTCTGGCATTTAGCGCACAATGGCACCGAACACCAGTCGCCACCCACGTCGATACATGTCGACCCCTCGTATTCAAGCTACCGGAATCTCTTAGAGTTCTCTAGAGATGGCAAATATCTGATGCACTATGGGAAGACCACTTGCGTCTATGATGCAGTATCAATGTCCTTGGTAGGCGAATTGCAACTTGACCTTGATGAATCATGTCGAGGCTCTCAAACGATCACCCCCGACAGTCAGTTCCTTAAATATACTCCTCGCGCTCAGCATGGCAGTAGCTCTGGTGAACCTCATCTATTGAGCATTAAAACAGGTCGCGATCTGGAAAAGAAATTTTACTGCGGGAAATACAGCAAGGGAGTCAGCGGCTACTCGCAGCCCTTTCACTTTGTGGACCAAAAGCCCCTTTTCTCACTAGATGGTCGCCGAATGTGCGTCATGAGCTTCACTTGTGGTCTACACCTCTGGGATCTCAGCTCTGGCAATTCGCTATTGGACGACGACGTTGGCGCCCGAAACTCGCTTTCGTGGACTCATGGACTCTATAAACCCGCTCTTTCGCGTGACGGACGATTTTTCGCTGGACTCAAACCGCTGTATCGCAGCCGCAACCGTTCTATGGATCAACTGGAACTCACGATATGCAACTTAGATACGGGAGTGAGAGTATCGCACCTATTTCCAGTCGCATTACTGTGCAAGACACTCTTCTTTCACCCGAATGGCCAATTGGTTTTCGCGGGATGGTACATGAAGCCATGTCCTAGACCTTCTGGGCCTGGATTCATCAGGACTTTGATGCTTGGGAACGAGCAAATCAATGTGAGCATACTCATATTTGCAGATTGGCTCGAGGATGTATGACAAGACTATTCGGATACACTGTCCAGTAGCTCACGAGCTTCGCTGTACGCGTTCAAGAAAAGCGCGGGGTCTACTGCCAGCGTCGGATTTTGAGGTACGGCGTCCAGCTCCGGCTGGCTTGCTGGCTGGCTATGGAGACGGGACTCTGCCGCTAGCGCCTCCACGGATCATGAGGTAAGCTCCTGTGCGACGTCGCAGGGTGGCGTGATTGCAGTGCTCACGGGTCAATTGTTGTTGTGAAATGTAGCAGCGAAGGCTGCCGCAGATGTAGTCATGTCATTTGCCAAGAGAAAAGTTTTACATGGCGCGCGATCGGTCTGTATTGACTCTTTGGTAGGAGCGACGGCCGACATCGCGCTGTGTCTACTATCGCATTCACGCACGGCGTGTTGGGAGCGCAAAATACAGCAGGTCCAGAATCTCCAATCAGTCCAACACATCTCCCCTGCCTTCAGCCATCATCTCCTAAAACGACAGCAAATCCCCTTCCCCGTTTTGCACATGCGTCATGGGCCTCACGGTTCCCAAACCTTGTCCCTGATTAACAACATACATTTGCTCGGGGTGACCACCTCCAGTAGGACTCGACGCGAAGCCATCGTTGGCAACCCCTTGTCCACCAACGCTCGCAAAATACGCGTCAGCTTCATCAAGCACATGTCCGCTCGGTTGCTGCTGTTGACCGTTGATAGCCGCCTGCGCATCTGCAGCAACCATGTTGGCTTCTTGTTGTGCGCGCCATGAAGGGAGCTTCTCTCGTTGGAGAGCGGGACTGTCTTGGAGTCGCCGAGGCCGTGTTGAGCGGAAGACAGTCTGTACGGGCTTGAGATACACTGTGGCCAAGGTGCCGACGACCAAGCACATTTCTTCTAATGTCACGGGATCGAGCTTCTCACTCTCGGCCGTGATAGCAGGTTTCTGGCCCATGACGATGCTTTTCGCGGCCGTGGGATTACTGCTCAGCAATCGCCAGTACATGTAGCCTCGATCTCGCAGATCTGGATTGTCGGTCTCTTCCGTCGCCCATTTGAGAACTTTGGGGACCAGATCTTGTCCTTTGCTAGGTCGTTGTATGAACAGCTTCACTGTCGCAGTCAAAAGTGCGAGCTGCACTTCGTGTGTCTCGTCTGCCCAGCTGTCGAGAAAATCCTCAAGAAGAATCTCGGAGTTGTCGATGCGGTCTGCATATTGGCCAATAACCCATATCATAGCCGCCTTCGCCTCCGGTTCGTCTAGTGAATCCAAGTTTTCGCATAACGTTGAGATGATCGATTCATATTGGTTCGGGTATTTGCGGAAGATGTTCTTGATGACGACTGTGGCCTCCTGCACAATATATGATACCTTTGTTGATACCAGCTCCAGTAGTGTTGCGATGCAAAGCTTTGCTGCAGGCTCGATCTTGATCGCCAGCTTGCCGATCGCACGCACTGATTTGCGGACAAAGTGTACGTCGATCTCCGTTGCGTACTCTCGTAGCTCCGTCAATACTTCCTTGATATTCTTCTCGTTGGCCAGCATGAAGATGAGTTCCAACTTGGTGACCTTCACGTATATAGGATCGTTGTATTTGCAGAAAAACACTCGGATGTCGTTTCGCAGCACCTCCGGTCGTCGCTGCAAGATGAGTAAAGCGTTCCGCAGTGCAAGGTATTGAATCTCGGAACCCTTGCTGAGGAGTGTTACTAAAGGTGGGCTCAGCTTCGCACATAGTCCAGCGATGGTCTTATCGGAGTCAATGTAGTTCATCAGGTAGAGGATGACCCGAATGCATGTCAGTACGACGGCGGAGTTCGTATGTGATAGTCGTGGCGTAATTCTGTCTGCAAGTAACGCTGCTTCTTGTGTATCTTGAGGCACATATGAAGTGAGTGCCTCGAGAATGTACGTTTGTCCCCATCTGTGCCCACCATTAGCTTTACGGTTTCACATGCTCATTGGGAACGCTTACTCGGAGCAATCTGGCAAAATCTGAACGATTTTACTGGCATTAGCATAGTCGATCGTCAGTTTAATGCTTTCACTCCGTTCCCAGATGTCCATCAATGATGCCAGAGCAGATGAGACGACTGTGGGGTTCTCGTCCCTCAGCATGAGATTGAGTCTGTCGATCAAGTCGCTGCGTTCCACCAAGTGTCTGTCGTGGTCGTAAACTTTGGCTACTGTAAAGGCTGCTGTCTTCCGCACGTATGGGTCTGGATCTCGGAGAAGGCTCTTGAGTGGTTCTACTGATGCTTCAACATATTGTCGCACGTGGACATAAGACAGAGTTCGTAGGGAAAGTGCGCGTATCAGGGGGTTCGTATCATCCAGATCCTGAATAAGTATGGGAAGGGCTTTGAGAGCGATGTCTGGCTTCATTCGTGCGTAGTTGACCAGGTAGAGAAAGCACCTAGTCTCCTGATCAGTATCATCGGGTGGCAGAACGGAAGCCCACTCACATCTTCTTGATCTCCAAATTGGGTATGCCCATACAACCTACGATGTCCGGAAAAAGCGCGACCATGTCATTGTTGCTCATTGTCATGTTCGCAACGATCTTCTTGAGCGCGATCTTCTTGGTCAAGAAGTTCTTGTCCTTCTTGCCTCCACCTTGATTGAGCTCGAGCTTGAGCTCTGCAACTTTGCCCTGTCGCGTTTGGGGTAAGCTTGGGTATGGCGAAGGAACGACGAACATGTTGGCCACGCAATAATTCTAGTCGTGTAGTCGGAGATAGTCGCAAGACTCTGCCGAAGAAGTCGCTGCGCTTCAAGAGGGGTGGTGTACGCAGCAGAGGTGGAACGTACCCTAGCGAAGAACTTCGCATCCTGCCCGGCCGCACTCATGTTGGCTGCTCTGGCGCAGCCACCAAGTGGCAGCTCCCGTTGTCAAGCTCTACCGCCAGCAGCGCGAGTCCTGCAAAGCTCCCATGCGACTATGTTCGGCTCCAGGCCAATGCGATTTCAGGGAAAGCCGAGTCGGTTTTGTGATATGGCTGCGTGCGGGGCTGTGGCTGCGAGTCGCGTGAAGGGTACAGAGATCGCGTCTGGAGTCTCGTTCTGGCTGGGAGCGGTGGAAAGCGATGGTGGAGCGGCGTCTGGCGTTGATGTCCGCTGTCTCCTGGCGGTGCTCGAGCTGTCGCATGGGATGAGGCTCCGTGAGATCGCTGATCACATGTGGCTTGGCGCGCGCCATCAGGCAACTTCACCTCGACAACAGCACCAGCTTCCCTAACCTAGACACCAATCCATCATGGCGCTCACGGTACCTAGCCCGCAGCCACGATGGCTCGTCGACCTGAACAGCAACTCTCTCACCAAGCCCAAGAACACCAGTATACCCGATCCTCCCGGCTACACCGCGCCGACCACCACGAACGCTTCCAGATCCAAAAAGTCCGTCTCGACACGAAAGGTCCCTACGCCAGAAGAGATGGACAGCCTTAAGCTCAAAAAGGCATGGGAACTCGCCATCGCGCCAGCGAAACAACTTCCAATGAACGCTATCGGAATGTACATGACGGGCAACGGGCTACAGATCTTCAGCATCATGATGGTATTCATGCTGTTCAAAGGACCCATTCAGGCGGTGCTGAACCTGCAAAACACATTTGCCAGACTCGAGAGTCCGGGGAACAAGGAGCAGATGATCATGGTGAAGTTGGCGTTCATCGGGTGCAACCTGTTGGCCCTTGCGCTTGGTGTATGGAAAGTGAATGCGATGGGACTGTTACCGTAAGTCATACATCAGCTGGTTTCTTGGCCGACTTGAATAACACTCATATACTGAATTCTGATAACAGGACGACGAGATCAGATTGGCTGGCTTGGGAAGCTGCCCGAGAACCGGCGGAAAGAGCGTATTTTGTCCCTTCATAACGACAAGCAATGCCAATTAAATGCCGCCTTACTGCTGTCACGACTCAGCTTTCCAATTTTCAAACGTCTGCTCTCATACCACTCTTTGACGTTTCCAGGACACATACTCTGGCATGCACTCATTCATCTGCACTGACAAAAGCAAGCTCGACGGGTCAATCTGTCAAGTTTCAAATATGGATGGTTGTACAAGGTGGAACTACTTTCGAAGGACGAGAAGTTTTCATTTTGTTCGGCTCTACACATGGAGCTCCGACAAGTTAAGCTGTCTGCTATCAAAACCAGTATCGAGAGGCACAAAACTTGTGCTGCATACATCCTTTAGGACCCCGATTATTCCAAATCGAGGACCCGCACCAAAATCCTGATCTCCACATTTGTGCAAGCATGGGAGCAGGACACTGTCTCATACAGCCAGTTCATCTTCTTCCGGATCACGTAACGTTCTCATCGGGGTCTCAACGACTCTCTTCCGCATGTGCACATCCGGCGTCAGGAACTTGTGATTGATGATAGGTGTGTCCTTGCTCTTCGTGGCACGAGCGCTCAGAGACTTGATGCGAGCGACTCGAGGCCAGCCAGGCTGCCTGGGCGTCTTGTAGATACTTGCGGGAGCCTTGGGCTTCATGAACGCAGGAGAGCTTGAAGATTTCTCGGCGGCAGGCTCGATTTCCTTGGTCGTAACACTCTTCGCAGCACTGTTTCGCGTCTTGCGAGTCTGAATTTTGGGGGCTCTGGCAGGCGCCAAAGACCCGCTTGCTGGCCGCGACGTTGACGAAGTCACCGCCTCAGTTGATGACGATCCTGCTTCCAGAACTGGCGGATCAGAAATTAAAACATCCTCTTCTGGTTCGCTGTTAGGGATCTCAGGAGACTTCAATGATTGCTCAAAGTCTTGTACAGGTTGCAGACCTTGCTTGCTGGGTCGGGCCCGAGGCCGGTTTCTCACTGTAGGCACAGGTGTAGACACAGTCACTATTGGTGAAAAAGTGACCCGACGCGACGAGCTTCCGGCAGTTTGCTGAGAGGGAGTTGCAACGACGATCCCATCATTGTCCTCTTCAGCGGTCTCCAGCATGTTGTCAGGATCCTGTGTGGCTGAACCATTAGATGTCGTGTTGCCAGCAGGTTGTTCGATGAGCTCTTTCCTCTTATCCTCTTGGCTGACTTTGATACGCCACACGTTGTTCCGTGGCCTTGCAGTGTCGACTTCATACGTTGGATTGACTCGTAATTCCTCACGTACACGATCCTTCCAGGCACGAGGAGCGGTGCTGTAATACGGGTAGTTCGCCTCAATCCATTGAAAGATGTCCGTGTTTGACAAAGTTGTCTTGTCAGTCGACTCAAACGCCATTTCCACCATGTTCGCCCAAGAGATGTCCGGCGGTCGCGAGTAGTCAGCAGAATTTTCGCTCAGCAATGGCTGCGAAGTATCGCGTGCGACCTCAACATCGCTCTCGTGTGCATCTCCACTATCATGCACGAGAGTAGTTGCTCTTGCCCGCTTCTTTCGGCTGTGTCGGCGTCCTTGGCTGTCCTCTTCAACCTCTGAGAGAGTGGCGTCGTTTGCCTTGGCGGCTGACTCTTTGCGAGCAGTCACCCGTGACGCCGATATTGTGTCAGCCATCCACGCGCGAGGCGCTTCATCGGCCTGTCCGTCCGGTGGCACTGCAGTCGTAATCGCAGGTATCACATGCTCGATGTCGTGTGGGATGGCTCTGTTGCCTGGCGGGTGACTGAGCCCATTGGTGCTGTTCGAGGTCTCTGTCGCTGGGGCCGCGAGTCTACCCGAGACTTTGGTCTTCTTTGGCTGCGTATTCAGAGCAGACACGTGAGCCTGCTCAAGCCGGGCATCAGCCCCTTGGCGTCTAGCCACGGCGTTGATGGTTGGACTCGACTGATGCGCCTGTTGCATCTCTCGCTCTAGCTGCAGCGATGCTGCGGAAGAAAGGTTTTCGTCAAGATCGGGATACGAGCCTGGACGGGCAGCATTGGAGAGCGCTTGCAAAGCTGGATCGAGCGCGAAAGGAAGGCTGTCTGGCTGATTCAGCTGCTGAATCTCGACGGGATCTGGATGCGCCGTCATGTATGATCGACGTCGATGACTGTTCCCGAGCGCTTGCCGAAGGAGAGCGTTGCTGGGCCTGTGGTTCGTAGAGGGCATCACAGTGGGAAGGCTGTGCCTCGAGCGGCGAGATGAAGAGGGAACGTTAGACGCTATAGACTGTGGTCCTGCTTCTTCGTTGCGTACCATAGACATTGGCGCCGCATCGTCGTCGCCATGCGAATATGGGTCAGCCGAGTGTGCTTCGTGGCCTAGTCTGGCCCCTGCGCGGAGTTGACTGTAATGATGCTGGAGAGCGCCCTGAGTGCGGTTATGAAAACGTTTCGCAATCTTTTGCCAGCTCAATCTGTCGACCTCACGTAGTCGCACAAGTAGCGCATCCTCTTCAGCAGTATACGACCGTGATGCACGCTTGAGCGCTTTCTGTTCACCTGAGTCCGACTCCTCGACAGCGTCGTGCATGTCAGTCTTGTCCCCCGCCAGTAGCTCATACCGGCGCTGAACAGCATCCGGACTACGTCCGGGTAAGCGCTCTGCTATCTCTTCCCACTCAAGCTCATCGTCTTCGCGATAGGCGAGAAGGTCTTCGTCTTGTTGTGCAGTCCACTGCACATCCGGAGACATATTGGGGTACTCATTAGACTGCAAACGAGCATTGAAGAGCACCCTGCCCGGACAGTCTTTACCCTTGAGCTTGGAACTGTAGTTCTTCTGAACGTTTTGCACGCTGCGCGGCGGAAAGTGTTGGGCAATAGCTACCCAGCTCAGGCGGTCGTATTCCTTGAGCCTGATGAGAAGTGCGTCGTCCTCTGTGCTCCATTTATTGTTTATAAGGCCCGGAGGGGTCCATGCAATCGGCCGTGAAGTGTTGGCAGCGTAAGTAGTAGGTTGAGTGGCTGGCTGTTCACTCAAATGAATGCCATTCTCAACTGCTGGCACCTGATGTGTTGAAGGCGGTTGTGGGTCTGTGTAGATGTGCGCATGCTCTTTCACTAACAACACATTTGACTCGGTCGCAGTGTTGGTAAGATCAGGTATGGGAGTGTTTTCAGCCAGAGGGGTGCGCTGAGATGAAGGAGGGCGCTTGGGCACGAGGCTTTCATTGGTGACAAAATCATGCTCGGATACAAGAGTTTGCTCCGGTACAGAACCTGACTTGGGTGAGGCAATGTTCTCGTTGCGGTCTGGCGGTTTTGAATGCACTGCAGGAGGTGTGACAGAGTCGAAGCCTTTCATGCGGCCATGATGGTCGTAATATTGCCAACACGACTGGCACAGATCTTGATCGTGGGGCCCCTTGTGCCAGCTTGAAGATCGGGTCAGACTACAATTCCAGCATCTCTTAGCTTCGCCAGAGTTCTTCGCACTGCCAAATCGACGCACCGGCGCCGTCTTGTCCAACGCCGGAGTCTCGGTACGACGGCGCCTTTTCCGCTGTTCGGGGTTCGGTATGGCCCAGAGAGAAGGGGTCCCAGGGGAGGGAGCATTCGGAGAGGACGAAAGCGGCTGCGGCGGAGGCGAAACATCGCGCTTGCGTTTTGATTTACTTGATGGCCGAAGCTCAGGGTAGTCCCAGATGGGATCCGCGGCCCTGCGCACCGTCGCAGGTTTCTTCTTAGATTTCTTCTTCTTCGAAGACGCACCCATGAGCTTCGCCAGCTGATTGGCAATGCTCATGCCCAGAGCGTGGACTGTCTCATCATCTGCTACTGGCCGCTTCCCTCTGGCATGCGATTCGACAGTAGGCGATCGTCTTAAACCACGACTTTCGTCAAGCATGAAGCTGGGCGTAGCAACAGAAGAAGCCGTCTCGTAGACCGAGCTCGTCTCGCTGCTGTCATCATCTGGAATCTCCAACGGCCGATGGTGGGTGCCCTCGCCCGCGAGAAGCTGCATGAGGTGGGGAAGACGGGGTGGAGGTCGCGATGCATTGTGGGCAGGTGCCGGTACGCTGTAATCGCGCAAGCTCAGTCCGCGGCGGGACGAATCTCTTGTCGATTCCGCGACGCTCTGGTTCTCAGATTCGCTCTCTGGCCCTGAGCCATCCTGACTGTCCTCCCCCTCTGTTTCTTCCTCGTCTTCGGATGTCGACTCGTCCTCATGCGCCAGCTTCTCACGGAAGTTCTTGACAAAACGAGAGGAAGCGGACTTGCCGGAGTCGACCTCATTGCGCATATGTTCCAGATGCCCATTGTTGACAACGAGCTCATCGGTGTGGATGTCGAACTCATCGCCCACGCCCGTGAAATCGCGCTCGTATTTGCGAAAGATGTGCTCGAAGCGCGATTTCAGCTTTTGATCATTGCGCCCACGCTCGATGTCCAGCTGTGTCAGCGCATCGTCGTCGTTATCACGTTGAGGCGCCATGAGTGGGCATGCGGGACATTGCGCGTGGCGGCGCGAGCGGTGGCAGCGGGGGCAGCGGAGTGCACGATAGACGTCGCTCCGCTCTCAGGCAGACGCGATGTTGACGCGCGTGAAGTGGGAGGCATGGAAAGTGGAGCCGAGAAGCGAAGTCTTGGCACCCTTCGCGCCTCACTCGTTTAAACCGACTCGCGGTAACACATGATCGATTGACAAGTGCACAGTATCGCCCTCAACAAACACGGGCATGATGATGCCTAGTCCACTGGACCTTGCAAATCCTGTGTCCAAGCCGCCATTTAGCAGCAGTTGAGATCCGTCATGGCCGCTCCAACGTTGCAGTGCCAGAAATGCAAGACGCCGCTGCGAGTTGATGCCTCTCTCCAGCATCTCAACCCGGCTTCTTTCAAGATACTGGCCGATGCTGCACCGATTCTGGAGCCCAAGGCCCCTGAGCCGCCTCGATCAGCCGCTTCGGCGGAGAGAAAGCAGCTATATGATCACGTCTCGCAGCGTGCAGGTCCACCCGTCCACAAGAAAGATGTTCGACAGCCTACGAGAACAGCAGGTACCCGGAACACCGCCGATGATATGTCCTACATTATGCTTTCCGAATCGCAGGTAGCGCCTGTCGCTGCCTCGCCCAGCAAGAAGAAAGCAGCTACCAAGAAACCGGCGGCTCCAGTCATTGCTGATGACCAATCCGCATTGTCTGAGGAACTAGAGACGACAAGGAGACTCTTTGAGATTCTGTCTGCTCGATCAGATATCGACCATCCAGTGTGTTCTGAATGCACCGAGCTCCTTCTAGAAGGCCTGCAAAAGCGCCAAGTTGCTGTCAGCCGTGAACGTGATGCTTATGTCGACTTCCTGAAAAAGGCTCAACAGGATATCCCCACCGAGGAAGAGAAAATGCAGACCAAACGTGCTCTGGAGGATGCGCAACGGCGCGAGAAGAAATCTCTAGATGAGCTCGAAGCTTTGGAAGCCGAGAAGGCGCGGATGGAAGATGAGATGGCTGCTCTGGATGCTGAAGCAGAAGCGCTAGATGAGGAGGAAGAGAATTTCTGGCGCGAACGTAACGCTTTCACTGCTGAACTCACGGGTTTCCAAGAGGAACGCGACAGCCTGCAAACTCAACTTGCGCACGACACCAAAGTTTTGGAAGCGCTCCAGCGTACGAACGTCTACAACGACACTTTCTGCATTGGTCACGATGGAACATTTGGAACTATCAATGGGCTTCGCCTAGGCAGGACACCAGAGCAGTCAGTCGATTGGCCGGAGATCAATGCAGCGTGGGGTCAGACACTACTGCTATTGACTGTTGTTATCGACAAGCTTGGTTATAAACTCAAGGGATTCGAACTGGTTCCCGTCGGCTCGACTTCAAAGGTGGTCAAGTTGGAGTACGCGCAATCAGCATCGACAGTGGATGGAAAGCCGAAGAAACATGTGTTTGAGTTGTTCAGCAGTGGCGACTTGCCTCTGGGGCTGGGATTCCTACATCGCAATTTCGACAACGCCATGGTTGCGTTTCTCGAGTGCTTACGTCAAGTCGGCGAGCATGTGGAGCGCACAACGCCCAAATCTGGCAACACTGGTTTAAAAATGCCATATCCGATTGCCAAAGATAAGATCGGGGACGTCAGTATCAAACTCGGCAATTTTGGCCAAGAGGAGCAGTGGACCAAAGCTTGCAAATATACATTGACCTGCTGCAAGTTCCTGCTCGCCCACGCTAGTCATGTCTCTGACGCGAACGAAGCAAGGAGTGGTCGCTGAAGAAGCACAATTGTCAACACTATCCCAATTGCGCCCCAATAGCTTGCAGAGGTGCGCCTCGCTGGTGGAGCAGCTTCAAGGTCTCCTCAGCCTCGCGGTCCAAAGGTTCTGGGCCAGTTCGAGATACGATTCCAGTCTTCGGCTCGATCTCAAGCGTCTCCCCTGAAATATTGCCATCGAGGCATTGCTCAAAGGCTTGCACAACAGACTCCATTGATACAAGCAAGCCCCGTGATTCCATCGCGGAATAGAAAACCTCGTTAGAAATATTCGTTCTGACAACATTCGGGCAAATCGCGTTAAGAGTTATCTGTTCCTCCGGAAGGTGCTTGCCATAACTGCGAGTGAATCCGACTACACCGTGCTTGGCTGCAGTGTAGATTGGCAAAGTCGGAACGCAGTAAAAGCCGCAGACCGAGGCTGTCACGGCGACTGCATACAAATGTCAGCGCTATGCATCACTCAAATCACTGCATCGCTTACTCTTGCCTCGGAAGCCGGCCTCGTCCGGTTCCTGACGTCTCATCTGCTGTATTGCAAGCGCGCAGGTATACAGCACTCCATTCAGATCAACGTCGAGTACTTTCAGGTTGGGTTCGACGAAGTCGGTGCTTGTAGGATCGTTGGGTATCCAGACCTTTTCTCCAATACCAGCGACTGGCGCGCGTGTCAGTGAGTCGGCCGGCACAAAAGCGATGGATGGCGATGCAGCATACTGGCATATACATAGTCAATCCTGCCAAATCCGCCTAAGACCGCTTTGAAAGCGCTGATCTGGGAATCCCAGGTTGCGGCATCAAGAGCAACTGCCAATGCAGCACCAGGCAGAGTTCTAGCCACGGCCTCGGCTTGTCCAATGTTGGCATCTGCAATCGCCACGCGAATGCTGGGATTGAATCAATGATTGCCGCCCCCAAGAGCATTGTCGGTGTTGATTGCATTTACCCTCTCTTCGCCAGCATTTCCGCCACCGCCTTACCGATGCCGCTGGCACCGCCTGAATTCACTCAGCTGTGTCGACATTCGCCCGAGATCCGGACAAACCTGTCACATATGCAGTTTTGGGCGCCATGATTGCAGCATTAACAACTCTTTGCTCCTGACGAAGAGTTTGCGCCAGTAACAGTAGTTTGTCGCAAAAGGATAATTGCGTAACAGATTGGTTGCTACGTTGAGCGTGCGTGATGATGCAGCGCCTCTTCGCTCTGGAAGCCTGTTCCCGGTTATCCAAGAGGGGTCTGGTGGTGACCCCGCCATGAGCTTGTCTGCACATCACCTGCCTTAAGTCTATCGGGTGCGGAGTACTCTCACTACAAGGAGTTCGAAGTCCGACAACGTGTTCGGACGGTTCGTCGCTTGGAGGGCCTTGTATTCAAATGGAAACTTCGACCGTACTCTGTCAAAGTCTCGAAGACCTGGCTGTCAGATACGCGCGAACGTACACGCATAATGATTGTGAGACGCTATGAGAAGCCGCACGATGGGCTGTTCTGTGCAGAAGTTATGAACCGCCGACCGCGGCTATGACATTTCTCGTTCCCACTACTGCCGCCTGGGCCTGTCCGCTCCCATCAAATGCACTTGGCGGCACCTAAGAAGCGCGAGAAGCTCAACCCTTACTAATATTGACGAGCGAGCTGGCGTATGGTGCCTCGCCCGCGCGTTCCGTGGGCCTTCCGTAGGCGTTCCGTAGGCGTTCCGTGGCCACGTGCCAGCAGCGCCGCTGCGCTGTCGTTGATTCAGGTGGGCTTACACCCATCACGGCGGCTTGATGCTTCTTGATGAGATCTGCTACAGGCATTTCGCGATGCTCGATCTTTTCGATCGTATCTACGATCACGCCGGTAGCTATAACGATCCGCCGGCGTCACATTCCGGCCGGGAGCTATGTGGGGTCCTTCCACTTCCTGCTATCGCGTGGATGTCGCATTCGAGTTCTTGGTGTCTCTCCTCCCTCTAACGTTGGCTGCCAATATCCCCACCATGCTCTGTACTAATGCCGAAGTCTGCCTCGTGCGGTGACTCGGTGGGTACAGGAGTTCGGCCTTCCGCTGGTTTCAGGATGGTGTCGAGCAGCTGTGTCAACATATCTTGCAAGGCGACGAGTTCGACTTTGGGATCTTGACGCTTGAAGTCCCCCTTTGAAATCTTCATGGAGCACGGCTGGTGTGTATGTCCGAGCTCCATCTTGTCGGCTTCCGGAGGCGCGCGTGGTAAAGTGTCGGCGATCAGGTCATCTTGCTTTCTGCAAGCAAAAGAGCGCACATCTCCGGGATCGCTCGAATGATTGTTGCGATACTTGATGAGAGGCAACGTCGCATGATCAGACAGAGACCGCGTGATGGGCACCGCGGAGGTCGAAGAGACGCTTAGTGCAACGAGCGAAAGAAGCGAAGGTTTCATGGCGGCGCTGCCGACCGAGAACGCTGCTGGCTAAATGCCAAAGTAAATGGAAGCCAAAGCAGCGAGAGCTGCGAGTGTTAGGGAGGACCAGTTCCTATGGCTAGCAATGCACCTGACATCCAGTTGCGCTGTGATGTCACCAGCCATGTCCTCGCCTTTATCTCCTGGACACTCTGTTCATCGTTGCTCTATCTGGATGCTGGTTTTCCTGTCAGCCATTCCCGTGAGCATCTGGCTACCGGACCGTTACCGAACATCCTTCGCGCCCTTTCCGACTTATGCCTGCTATCTGTAAGTCTTGCATCTCGTCGTGCGTAGCACCGTCGTTGTCGGCGTCGCTGTTGGTACTCGCACAATTGCTCCGGACCATGATTTGACTGAAGGTGACGTGTAAGATATGCGGATCGTCGGGGACCCGAGGCATAGATCTGGTTAGAGTGAAAAGTCTGGAATCTGCTTCCAAGACGTTGGCAGATCAGCGCTTTTCCTACCATAAAGTCATTGAAAATTTGGCTTATTGGTGGATACGACGTCTGCTGCTGTCTCACGCGCATGTGAGAGCATCTTCAGCAACAGTCTTTTTGAAACAGAGAGATGTCATCTGGATCTCGCGACATATGTTCTGACATCAGCGGAGCGGCTCTCAGATATCGAACAACGTGGAGGCCGGGTTGCGCCGCCGCCTTGGCGGCGCATGCACAATCTGGTCGAGCACTGTAAACCGTTGAGAGCAACGCTCTCCGGACCAAAAAAACCGCTTGTTTACATCTCGGTCTTCGGTGGATCAAACGCCTCCGGCGGTCGCAAGCTGCCCCGGAGCTAGAATGTGCAGCGCTCCCGACGAAACATTCGCTGCATGGGAAATCCACAAGCCCGGAAAGAACAATGGTTTTTGGAGCCTACGCAATCGAATGAGCGATCATCGGTCGTTCTACTGTCGAAAAAGGCTAGGACGGCAGGTCGACGACTACAAGAGCTTTATTAGCTCCCTCAAGCTCCTCTACGAATCATCGCGTATGTTTTCTGAAGCGAAGAGAACCCAAGCCCGAAGAGCGGACAGTATAGGAGGTCAGGCCTGATATCACATCGTGTATACAGGCAAGCATTGCAGTGGCGAACAGACGAATTCGAAATGACAACGCAGACGACAAAATTCGCACGCATACCAACAGAAAGCCTTCAACACTCGCCCAACTGAAGTTGCTCGGATGACCACATTTGGTGCTGAAGAACAAATTTGTTCCACGCTCTACAACACACCGTTCATTTCGATCAATGCCCACACGCGGACGCAACATGGGATTGGAACGACACGAACATAGTCCACATGTCTCATTCCTAGCGTGTCACTTATCAACGCGAAAATTGGGGTTCGTATCTCGCACAGTCGGTCTGAATGCGAGACAGGACTCGTTCTGAGGTGACGATTTGTGGTTCGGAGGTCGACGCACACTCCATAGCGGCTCATCTTCCACATCGCAAGCCCTGGCGCTGGTCGCGCATTGTCTGTGCCCGCAAAAGACTTCTCTCCGGACGCTTGATTTGATATTGATCCCGTGTGAACAACAGTAAGAAGAATAATGCAGTTGGGCGTTTCCCCTGCTCTTCGAGGACCAGTCGCATTGATCACGGACGGCACAACGATGAACCGCGCGGTGATGCATAAACTAGCTACGCTAATTTCGGCCTCGCTCCAAACTAACATATGGATAATACAATTCGCCCGATTGAAGAGAGTCCTTCGATACACGGACGCTTCTAATGACGATCATCTGGTCCGCTTGGTCGTCGGCGTCCAAGTGGACATACAGATCCATTCGATAACGAACGTGGTGTGCGATGTGGAGAATTTGTCTCAAGCTTCTTGATAATCAACATTTCACGAGTGGAGCGCGATGGGTGATCGTGGGGCAACAGGAAACTGGTCAGTGCCGTATCCGGGGATTCACTCGGCGGTCCGTATTGAGAGCGGCACGACTATTCAAACTTCAGGACGCTCCGTCCGTTATCAAAACTCTGCTACAAGCTGAAGATTGTGCATCATGCCACGGCAAGGTTCTTTCTCTGCCACTCAATGTGGCAACGATGCCCTTCAATGCATCTGCCTCGCGTCACCATCCAGAAATGTAGACTTCTCCAGTCTCAGAGATGGATGGAAACGCTACGGCCTCGGGCAAGTGTCCATCGAAGCGGCGGTCCGTTGATGTGAAGGCATAGGCTACCCAATTTAGCATTGTCTCAGATTGGCAAGTTTCCTGCTAGCCGCTCAGGGCTGCAAGCGAGAAAGCTATGGACCTTTAAACTCTCCTGTTATGGTCAAGCGGCACGACTGGACTGTTGCAAGTGAATGTGTCGTCTATCGAAGCTATCCGGCTAAATTTCGCTAAGCGGCAAATCTCAGGCAGGGGTCTCTGGTTGGAAAAAGGCTTATCACGCTTGTGCTGACTGTCTTCCTCCCTGTGCAGCGAAGCATGTGCATGGGGCTTATTAAGACTTCCACGACTATACTGCTTATGTCCTCTACTGACCAGAAGATGCGCACATTCGCATGAAGTCGTGCATACATCAGGAGGAAAATCAAATCGGCACGGCGGCTCAGGAGAAAATCCCCGGATACGAGATATGCGAGAAGCGAGAAGCGAGAATGTCGGGTTTCGGGTTCGCCTCGGTTTCAATGTAGTTCAGCATGAAACACCACGTGCACCGAGAAGGCGGCTGGCATCCCTGCTCTGCTAAGTCAGCCTTAAGCTTTCTAGCTAAGCGTAAACCTCTAGCTTTGATGTCACAGCAACAACTTCTGCACGTGGCCGAGATATAGCATATCTCTACTTCTTCCTAGAAGATCCCGGCGCGCCTCCTCGTTCCGACCGATGAAGCCGTTAGGGTTGTGTCTTTTTATTACGAAGACCTCTGCTTCGAGTCATGGCTCCTGGATCGATCTCCTCCACGGGCTTGATTGCACGAGCACCGTTAGACTGCTTGTGCGCTAATAATGCATCGTGCATACTCGAAGGAATTGCTAGGCCCAATCTTGGACCGTGAAGACGTTCCCCAAAATATCGCAGCGGTCAAAAATGAAACATCGTCACTCGGGCTGCCCTTAGCATCCCGAGCCAAGCTCCATCGCGGTCACGGTGGGCTATCACGTAGCCTACGGCCACACGGATAGACAGACCTAGTGCTTCTTGCTCGAACTGGCAAAGCCATGCAAAACATCAATCTCGTCGAGTGTGACCACTTTCCATCACCTGGTCCTGGACGGTCCAGGCCCCTGTGTGATCGGATGGTACTTGGCCGAGCTGTGGATTGTGTATAAATGCAGTGAGCTTTTCACCTTGATCCATCGCCATCATCGCACTCACATCCACTTCCATCTCCTCAACTCCGATTCTGAGATCTTTTCGGACAATCAGCCCAAATCGGTCAATCCCGTCACAAGTATGTGCAGATCTCTAAACGCCTACGAATTGCCGTTCTAATCGTCCCCTCCAGGACCCACAAAATGCATATCTCAGCCCTCTTCTCCGCTGTCTTCATCGGCGCCGCTCTCGCCGCTAAGAGTTGCAGACAGTGCGATTGCACATTCACGTGGAGCAAAGCCGATCCTCGTCCGAGAATTGCTCCATCGAGCCAGGCCCAGGTCCAGTCCAAGGCTGAACGATGGCTCGACTTGTACGTCGCGAACAGCGACTACGAGGACTTCCAAATCAAGCCAGCTGTAGGCGCCAGCTGCCCTGCCGACACATCTCTCCCATGCGATTCATACACAGCCGACTTCAAGGCCTGGAGACTGTGCCAGAACGGCGGATCTTTCGTCTGCAGCCAAGATGATGATGGAGGAAACTACAACATGAAGTGCACCTGCACCCAGTCTGTCGACTGCAGGGGTAACTGCCGGAAGGGCTGCCCAGCACTTCCAAACTAAGGATATCCGCGAGCGAATGATGGGATAATGGATGGGATACTGCATATGACATGGTTTCTGTTACGAGATGGATTTCAGGTGTAGCATTGTATTGTACAATTTCAAGAGTTCTTTGACTCAGCCATTGCATACAAGCCTCACCCTTCTATTGTGGGTCTTGGTGTTTCCGCCTGCCCAGTCAGTCACTTCGTCTGAACAAAGCTCAGCAGCAAATGAATACTGCAGCGGAACTAGACCGCATGCCTTCACATGCTTATGCCATGCGTGTCACTGGCACTTCCCACGGTCCCCTACTGTCAGGTACGCCTTCCGCAAGCATGGATCGACAACCACCGTGTCTGATCGCGCTTTTCTCGCTCTTTTCCCGTCGAGGACCCGTGTTCACGATTAGCGAGATACCGTTCCACGCAAATCTGGAGTTCGCTGTTCCACCATAATAGCTGCATCATGTATGTGAACCGCTGCTCCGTGTACTTGAGAGCTCTGATCTCGTTCAAGTCCGTCGGTCGATCGCCTTCGCCTGCGCTACCGGGCCTGACTTTGCGATTGAAGTCCTGGCGTCAACGACAGCGGGTACGATACCAGTTGCGGGAATGGTATCCACGGGAAAGAGAGTCGTTTTGCTAACCAGAGGATCCGTATGAGAAGGACCTTCCGATAGAAATAGCCTTGGTGAAGCACCAACGATTATCCTTAAATTCAACAACAGAGCCGTCGAATGCCTCATAACGGCGTAATAGGCGTGCTTGGACTCAACATGCCAACCGTGCTAGCCGGACTCCTCATTGAGCCATCTGTTCCCATCACTGCCCTCTTGCAAAGCTCTGCATCTAAACTTCTCTCGAGGTCTTCCGCATTCGAAAGCAGGACCCCGAGCTCCTGCTCTCGTTCCCGCATGGAGATAAGAGCGCCGACTAACCGCGCAACGCGAGGAAAAGAGAGCCTCTCCTTTCTCTTCTGCTCTTCGTCATCTGTACCGTCTTCGCGCGGACCAGAAGGATCTCGCCTGCTCGAATTCGTTCCTCTACGTTTGCAGACCTCCGACTCTGAAGGCTGCGGGAACAAAATCCTGACCTCCTCCCTTGCAGCTTCTAACTCGCGTTGTAGTTGCCCCATCTTCGCCTGCGTAGCTTTAAGCTGATTCGACAAATTGTCAACATAAGCGCGATGTTCGAGATTCGAGCCAAGTTGGATCTTCGCCGCCAGTGGAATGACCATCAATGCAAGGATAGAATCAATATCAGCATCCTCGCCGAGATCACTTCCATCGTCTGCAAGACCATCTTGAGCTGTAGCAGCAAATATTTTCTCTCCATCTGGCTCATCCCCAGAAGCGAACAATAAATCATACCACTCCCCCTCCATCTCATCCAACCTCCTCTCCGCCATCCTCAAAACCCTCTCCGCACGCTCCATTCCCTCCTCCGCCACCTCAACCCGTCGATGCGACTTTCTAATCCTCCTATCCAAACCTCTCGTACCCCCGATGTTTGTTAACCTTCTCTCAGTCACTCCAAGATCATAAAGACTCTCCACCCTCACATCCTCCAATTTCCATAACTCTTCCTGAAGAACATTCACGGAATTCCGATAGACTGTAACTTTTTCTTTCGCTGGCTGGAGAGCATGTAAATGGAAGTCATAACGTTGTTTGAGGAGTTGGAGTAGGCGTCTTGCTCGACGAGCGATCGGATCCAATGAGAGAGGTGTCAGCGGAGTCTGCGGGAGTGGTGTCCAGAGGTACGCTGAGGGCCATTCCAAAGGACGGGGAGGTTGAAGGGAAGATATGCGGGAAGGTGGAGGCAGGGGAGCAGAGACGGTGACACGTTTTGGTATAGTAGCGGCGGCAATTCTCTTTTTAGGTGAGCGGCCCTTAAGGATGCTCTTCGGCGTCGATGTAGCTCTTGGAGTAGGCGGTAGAGTCGCTGATTGCCTCGCAGCATTTGTAGGGGACTTCGATGCTTTGCGAGCCTTTTCAGTGGGCTTCCTGATTCGCGTAGAGTGTCGTTCTGCCATGGCCTTTGTGACAAGCGATTGCGAGATGCAGGCTATGTGCTTAAGAACTATTAGTGGGTGTGCTACGACCATGACCAGGCCCTAGTCAGCATCGTCTTTGTCATGTCGGCCGGATCAGGAAATTCTTTGTCGCACCCCAGTTTGTAGCTAGTTCAAGACTAGGAACTGAACATGGGCAAGAAGCCATTCGTACAAGACGTATCATTCGTCAGCAGCGATTCTATGTGTACATACCCAATTCCCCGTCCAAAAGTTCAGCGACAATGCTGAAATTCAGCAACACAACTAGTACTGGGCCTGCTTCGACGCGACCTTGAGTCCCTCGTCTTCCAAGCCCTTCTTAAATGCATCCTTCAAGTCGTCACCATTAGTAGTCTTGGTCTCATCTGGCTCTTCTTTCTTCACCTCTTCCCGCTTTAGCTTCTCCGCCAGCATTTCTTCAACCATCTGCTGACCGGCCTTCTCCGCCTTCGTCTCATCTGCCGCAGTTGCACCTTCGCCAGCAACACGTTCGTCAAGCGCAATTTTGGACTCGCCGAGTGCATGAATTTGCTCTTCAATGGTGCCCTTGGTGACGAGACGGACGACCTCAACTTCGCGCGTCTGACCTACGCGATGCGCGCGGTTCTCAGCCTGGATATCATCTTGAGGGTTGAAGCCAGAATCGAAGATGATGACTTTGTTTGCCGCCGCCAAGTTGATGCCCGCACCACCAGCACGTGTCGATAGCATGAACACTGGAATGGTCTCATCCGTGTAGAACTTGTCAATCATGTCCTGTCGATCCGCCATGTTCGTGGACCCGTCAAGTCGCAAGAATTTGATGTTGAGGGTCTCGAGAACTTCCTCCAAGATGTCCATGAGTGTGGTGAACTGCGAAAAGACCAGAGTACGATCGCCATTCTTCACAAATGCCTCAATGAGCTCTTTGAATTTGACCACTTTGCCAGCGTCCATCCACTCCTGCTTCTTCAGCGCGAATTTCTTGTGCAAGAACTGACGATCGGGATGAGCGCAGAACTTGTGAAGGCCGAAGTCACCACCCTTGACACATTGCGCAGCAGTGCCATCGAGATAGGCTCTGATTTTGTCTGGTGGGTTGCTACCAAACTCTTCGGACTTGGTCAAGGTAGTGACAAGTTTGTTCAGCTTCTGGTCGTCGAAAATTCGCCTGGACAGCAGTGGATGAATAGCGGCTTTGCGCAGAGCCATGATAATGTTGGCACTAGCCTTGTTCACAGCGGCGGACTTCTTAGTCCCTAGCGCAGTCTTTTCCTTGAGCACTTGCTGGAATTGATCAAGCAATTCCCCATAATAGTTCGCCTGTGTGTCCGTCATTTCGCAGTATTCCACACGCGAATCCTTCTTTGGGAGGTCGAGCACTTGCTGCTTCTTGCGGCGGAGGATGAACGGGGCCATAATACTACGAGCTCTAGCCACACGTTCGTTGGAAAGCAGCGCAGCCGACGATGTATCCTTCGTCGTGGCCTTGTGCTTGAACAGGAAATTGAGGTCCTCGCGCTTCTCGGTGAATAGCTCAGGCATGATGAATGCTAGGATTGCAATGAGTTCCTGCAAGTTGTTTTGAAGTGGCGTGCCCGTCAAAAGAACCTTGTGGTTCGCATCGATCCGTGTAAGCTGATTGTAGCGGTCGGAGTTGGGGTTGCGCAACATGTGCGCTTCATCGTATACGCACACTTCGAAAGGCCCAAACCTTCGCAAAAACTTGTTGTCGCTCTCCTTGACTGCCATATCGTAGGTCGTGACAATGACATCGGTAGTGTCTTGGTTCGCTTCCAAGTCTGCCTGCAGTTCAGCGCGTTCGGCCTGGGATCCATAGTATGGCCGCACTGCAATGTCAGGTGCGAACTTCTCGAACTCTCGCAACCAGTTCTCAAGGGTAGAACCAGGCACAATGATCAAGTGGATTCCATCAACCTTCTCAACATGCAGCTGCGCCAAGTAGGAGATGATCTGGCACGTCTTGCCAAGTCCCATGTCGTCGGCCAGAATGCAAGAGATCTTCTTGGTGTACAACATGTACAGCCAGTTGAGTCCCACGAGTTGATACTCCTTCATAGGTAGGTCCTTGTTCATGATCTCCGGCTGCTGCAGGAATTTGCCTTTGCGCTTGCTCTTGATGCCGTTCTGGACAGGTGCATCTTCAGCGACCGAGCTCGCTGGTGTGCCAATGCCAGAATCGTGTGCCTCGTCGAGGCTCATAAGTTGCAGCTCTCCATCCTTGACATCACCAACACCCCAGGCTTTTAAGGCTTCCTGCAGCGGCGCTGCCATCTTCTCACACTTGACAACCAATTCGTCGACGGCATCATAACCTGACATAACCTCGATGCATTCTTCGACAAGCTGTTCTCCAAGCGCTTTCGTCTTCTTCGACTTCTTTCCAGCTTTGGTCAAAGTCTCCTGCACGATTGCGCGAACCTCATCCAGGTCGTTGAACGGGCGTTGATCCAATACAAACTTGATGTTGTCGACAGGTTTGGCCGTGATCTCAGCAAGGTCGGCCACTGTCGATTCGTTGAGCAGCTTGAGTACTCTCGCCTCTCTCATCCACACCACATCTTCTGAGACCTCCGCAACGACTTGCTGTTCAGGCTCCCCGTCAGAGCCATCACTCACATCATGAATTATGCCCGAGTCGCCATCCTCGTCATCAGAAATAATGACTGCCGCACGCTTCTTTGCAAGTCTGCCTGGTCGAGTGCGTACCGGAGGTGGAGGTGACGACATTGGACTAGATCTCTGCGTTGTACGCCCGCTGCCACGGCCTCGCTGCACTACCTCATCGTCGTCTTCGTCACTATCTTCGTCCTCGTCGCGTACAACGCGTGCATTCTTGCGCGCACGATACTTTTCGGCGATCGTCTGCTTCGCTCGAATGTCCTGCTTGGCGGTCGGGCGTGGCGGCCCCTGTGAAGAATTCATGGGATGGTATGGCGACATGTTCTGAGCCACACCTCTTCTCGGAACAGGACTGAGACTAGAAAGTTCATCCGCGGTTGTTGAAGATTGGCTGCGTTCGCTCTGGTCGACCAGCCATGTCATAGCAAGACTCTCGTTACCTCGAGTCTTTTGCAAAGCATGAAGACATGCCACAACACTGTATTGGGGTAGAGCATTCTGGATGGTTTGCACCTTCAATCGAAGGTGATAGTCAGGAATTTCATTTGCAGTGCGGCATCCTGGATGTGGTTGCTGTTGCACAGGATGACCGGGCGGCATTGGTCGCGGGGCATATTGTTGTTGTCCAGGCATCTGATACATTGGTGCTTGTCGTGGCATCCGAGTCGAGTTGCCGTAAGCACCTGCCGAGTCGTACACTGGTTGCTGATAGGGGTAGTGGTGATACCCGAGGGGGTTGACAGGCGCTGGACGGGGCTGCTGCGGCGGTTGATGGTGAGGTTGTTGGCCAGGTCTATGACTGAACTGACTAAGCATCGACATAAACGGCGTGTTGATATTGTTGGGAGTTGGCGCATATGCCTGATTTGCACGAGGCGACTCCTGAACCCGCTGCATCTGGGGCGGCGACGAAGGCAGATGCACACCCGCTCTCTTAAATTCCGTGGGTCGTAGCGGCGCCCGAGGCAGCTGACGGGCCTGGGATGGCTGACTCTCATGCCGGACAGGTGGATCGTCATCCTCATCGCTCTCTGCAGACGTAGGCCAATTTTGTGATTGTACGTTGACTGGACGCCGAAATGCCGTTCCCGGCGGCGCCATTGCGCTCGCGAGTAGGCCACCACGCACGCCTTGTGCCATGTTCAAGGGATTACGGATCGGCTGCGGAGTCGGTCTCTGTGCCGTTGATCTCTGCGGTGATTGCGCAGCGGGCGAAGAGCGCTCGACTTGCACCTCTGGCCGCATAGGCTGCGTCGGCTGCGTGACATGATCGGGCGTGGAAGAGGCCCCAAGATCCGAGTGGAATTGGGCAGATGAGTAGTTCAGCTGGTTCTTCCTCTGCTGTGTCGGCAATGGCAGCGTTGCCGCGGTCTGGAAATCATCTGCCTTGAAGTCGTCCCCGCTGTCTTCGTTCGAGTCCCATTCCTTCCCACCACGCGCGTCATTAAGTTTCCTCCTCTTTGCAGGCGTGCCATCGCTTATCGGGTCGAATCTGTCAGCCATGATCGGCGAATGTGCCGCGGCGGGCTAGTGGTACAGGAGTGTGCTCCGTGATGGCGGCGACGTGACAGGGCAAAGCGCAAAGCGGAAAAGAACGCGAGGAACAAAGAACACGCTGTTGTACAAAGGCCGCGGCCGGTGCGAGTGTTGACGCGCCGCAAGAGTATGCAAAGTGCAGTGCAAGCCGTTAAGTGTCGGAAGCGAGGTCGAGTCTGTGGGGGGAAAGTGGTGTCAAGTGAAGTTAAGCACAAGTGAAGATGTCGACAAGCACGCAGCCAGCCAGCCCGCGGGCCTTGGACGCTTTCAGCCCTACGCGCAACAAGGTTCACCGGGATCACGCCCATACAAACGTCAGCCACTCCGAGCAAACCATCACTGCTCGCAACTCCGTCACGCAACAAACACAAGAACTACCCGAAACTCGCATCTACGTACCAAACAATGGCGACTCGAAGAATCAACACGTCCGAAAAGACACACCTCGACCAAGATGAGACCAAAGCCGAAGTGAAGTCCAACATCAGTCCCGCCGTGCCATCGTACGCACACCACGCACCATGCTAGCCCATTCCCGTCCCTCACATAATAACCGAAACCCTCCAGTTCCGTGATCTACAAACTCCTCGGCTTCACAATCGCAATGTTCACCTTCCCAATCGGAACCTACTTCCTGACCGTAAATTTGGTATTTGGTGGTATGTTCAAACATCGCCTCATCCAAACGACCACACACATCTCAACTAACTCTCGTCTTCTCATTGACAGGCAACTCAACATACGCCGGAGGTCTCGCAGCCGTAATGGCAAACGTAGTCCTAATCAGCTACGTAATCGTAGCCTTCAACGACGACAAGAGCGAACGAGAAGCTTTAGCAGAAGAAGAGAAGAAATCGCGTTGAAGATAGTCAGCGCCATGAACCAGACCAACGTCCCTATCTATGCAGTGCATCGCGGAGTACCATTTATTCCATCGCTATCTAGCATTGCGTGGCACATTCCAACGAATCGCCGCAAGCAGGCATCAGAAATCTCGTGGCATGGGTCAGCGGAAGTGCCTCCCACCAACGCCGCTCGTACCTTTTTCTTGTCCCTTTATCTCAGCCGCATCTGCACGCACGAGACAGGCAAAGCTTATCGCACCTCAAGCATCAGGCTTGCAGAGCAGAGTCAAAAGCACTTCAATCGATAGGCCGGGGCATTCAATGTTCAGCCCAACCAAAATTGAAACCGCAGACATACTGCGAGAAGAAATAAGAGTCCATTTCCATTTCTAATGACCCTAGTCCCGCATTGTTTCGAAACAACAAAATGAAATAGTCATGCCATAAGTTCAGAGATAGTCCAAAGAAGGAAAGGCCCCTCAAGACCTGGCTATCCATCACCGATTCTTCTTCGTCGTACGTCGTAGCCAAGTTTTTCTCAAAGCGGAAATTATCTCGCTTTCTTTTGCTTGTTCTTCTTTCCATGAATCAATCCCAATGTTTGACAGGGAGCACGCCGTCACAAATCAGAAAATCTCCAATCGAGCACTCGGCGGAGAGTGAAGACTCAGCCAAGTTGCTGTTCATCTTCCCTTTGCCGTGCCATCCCACCATGAACTGCATTACTCATTACATTATTATGTGCAACGAAGCAGAAAATGCCGAAGAGACCTTGTTCATCAGAGGACCTCCATATGCGTGCACGTAGAAAGATGCTGCTGTACATATGCTTAGTCTTTGCCCTTCTTGCTGAACATTCGGCTCAATCGACTCTTTCTCTTCTCTGGCTCCGGTCGCTTCGATGATGGAAGGCTTCCAGGAGCGGGTGATGGGGTGCCATAGCTACTCGTGTTGCCGAGAGGAATGGGTCGTCGGGCGCCGTTCGGTGGCTGAACAGCGCCACCGTGCTTCATCGGATACGCGCCATCTTCGGGGATAGGTCCTGGAGATCCGGAACCGTAACCATTGTGCGAGTATCCGTTCTGGCCATAGCCACTTTGACCATAGCCGTTTTGCCCATAGCCATTCTGTTGGTAGTTCTTATCAATGGAGCTATTTTCGCTGCTGGGGTCTGTGCTGTTTGCCCATGGTCCTGTGCTATCGGAGCCATTTGTCACCGCTGTCGCCATCGTGTCTTGCGAGTACTGGTGTCCATGTTGTGGAGGGTATGGTCGTGGCATGTTGGGCTCGGACTGCATTCGAGGAGCGCCATAAGGAGGCCTGCTCGGACCTGGTCCGTAGCCTTCTGGTCGGTTTCCGTAGTATCCTCCTCCGTTGCCATTGCCGTATCGAGGTTGTGGTCCGCCATTATTGCCTGCAGATGCTCATTAGCGCCAGTCTTTGCGCCGATGCTGAATGTACCCACCATATGCACTGTTTCTCCTCGATTGTCCGTAACCATTCGACTGGTCATTATAGGACTCGGCACGCCCGTAGTTTGATCGTCGACGATATCCAGAATCAATAGCTGCTTCGAACGAACGAATAGTGTCTAGGGGACGCTCCATGCGCGGTCGCGTTGGGTTGGACAGGTCAGGATCGGCTGTATGGATTGATTAGTCTGGGTGTTGCCGCTTTCGGCAGGACTCGCTTACTGATAATGTTGCCGTTGGCATCTCGATGCTGTGTCGCGCGCAGAGGCGACAATGTGCTCTCCTCAATGATAGCAGCGACTGCAGGTGAATTAGCAAAGATGTCCGACGCCGGGCGCGACTTGATCGAAGAAGCCATTGGTGTGAGTGGATGGATGTGCAGAGTAGGCAGCTGGAATGAGCACAGAGCAGCGGAGGTGTGATGTTATGAAGAAGGCTGGGGAGATAGGTCGACCGTTACCCACCTGCCGGAGTAGCCTCAGTCAAAGCGGCATTAGGATTGGCCTTGCTGGTCGTACTCCAGATTTGTGATTTGCGCGCCTTTTCTTTGGGACTTTCAGTCAGATCCTCCTTCGGACGCGACGATCCGCTGTTGTCGCTGCGAAACGAGAAGCCCCGCGAGCGTGCCGAGGGCGACTGCGGACCCGGAGTGCGCAGCGTCTGTTCCATCGCAGCGGCGGCGCAAGGGCGTTGCAAGGGCCGTTGGGGAGAATACAGTGGTAGTGGATCCAAGTGGGTTCGGAGAGGAGCCGGCGTGCGATAAGATGGTGGTGTGTGCGTAGGCGGTGCAGCTGCTGGGGATGGATGCACGAACGAGCGACAATGTCTCTGCAACGACGGTCTGCGCGGTGGCGGCGGCGGTGATGATGATAATGGGGGAGAAAGACTTCACGGAAGGGAGCTCAATGCTGACGGCGACGGCGGCGACAGTACATGTATACCTGAGTACGAGGCTTTACGCGTGTGCTTACAGCTCGGCAGGGACGGGCGTTCATCGATTTAGCTTCAAGCTTCACCGGGCAAAGATAGAGCGCGCTCCTGCTGCACCATCCCGAGCGGACGACGCACGCCTGCCTGCGCCGCAACGCTGCTGCATTCACAGCGTGTGCGCGTGTCCCCAGCAGCAGCAGCAACAACGTGGACAACACCATCCGGTCCACCGTCTCGCTCTGCTGGTGACGCTGGCGTTGACGTCGTCTTCACGAGGACGAGGATCTACCGCAAACGCTTCGCCAAAATCGGTGATGGGCGCGAGCACGGCTCAGCTGTTCCTTGGCAGAAGAACCTTGCAACAACACGCTGCGCATTCCACTCTGCTGCATTCGCTTTGTGCGCATGCGCTGTTTCCAGCACGACGAAACAATTCCGCCATTCGCAAACGCCGCTCCCGCCATCTTCTGCAAACGCAGAGAATCATCTATGCCAACATTCTGCCAGCAAGACATGCGTTGCACAAATCATGGCAGTTGTGGCGCGATTTTCGTCTAGCGCCAAACTCAAAGCCACTCGCTTCCGCGCCAGGGCAAAATATTCGTGGCCATTCATGCATTTTCGCTGTCAGCTTGGCCGATTTGAAACACCTTCCACGAGGCTGGTCCGAGCCCCTGTGGTCTGACGTTTCAGACCACTGGACTTGTCGTGGCTGTCGCCGTCTCTCTGCATGAACAACCGGACACCTCAAGGACCGAGCTCCGTACGCTGTATGGCACATATTTGTATCAAACTTTATGCCAAAATTCTATTAGATTGCTGAGCAGGATGGTGAAAGGCATTACTGATGAGTGCAAGTGAAGAGCAGCATCACGGATCTCCATGGTCGTTGCACGCCCACACCGCTCCGCCACGCGATCCAGAATCCCATGCAGTGATCTTTGCACGCACGCCCACTGCCCACGCCTCCGACGTCAGGATGTTCGTTGATGGCTTCTGCTTAGCGGATCACGGCGCTGCAAGGTCCCGCTACAACCATCGACATTCCCCTATAGTGATCAAATCTCACCACCCGTCAGCTTCCGCCTTGCTGGCGAACTTGTGCATGTAGTGCGTGAAGTCCATATGTACAGCATGTGTTTCGAAACTCTGCCCTGGCGTGCCCAGATCCTCCCCAGCTCTTCGCTCTTCGACGATGCGTTCAGTAGTTCATGGCCGACACGTGGAATTGAAACATCCATTGTTGCTCCGACACGATCGTTCGCGCTTGACTTGGCGCGCTGCACAACGGTGAGTGTGTGACGGCGCCGCTGGTTTGGCGTTGGCAACACACCTCCCAACCACCGCCACGACGCGGCCGCATTGAGTGGCATGAACATCAGTCATCAGAGTCTGAAAGCATCATCCGCGAACACAACATGACCCAATGCCGCATACCCTCCCATCACCAAAATCATCTCGTCAACTGCCCACAGCAACACCCACTTTCTCGCCCATTTTCTCCTCACCTCCCTTCCCATCAACCTCCTCACTCCCCCTCACCGCCCCCTCCAACAAAAACACCACATCCTCTCTCCTCCCCTTCTTCTTTCCCTCCCCTTCCTCATTCCAAAGACTCCAATCCAGAAAGTACCCCACCACAATTCCACACCTCCTACATTTCACGAAAAACCTCTTCTCAAATCCATCTTCCAACTCTAACATCGTGGCCTCGTTCTCCACTTCTACGGCATCCTTGATCAAAAGACTCGTATTCGCATCTAGAGCTTCTTCTTCCGTGCTGATTTTGAGAACTGAAGATTTGTCCGACTGTCGGGCGGATAATTGCTTGAAATTTGCTGGAGTGGCGAGAAGGAGTTGAGAGCAAATGCAATGGTAGGTTGATATCGTGGGAGGCATTTTCAAATTTTGCTTGTTTTGTTTTGTTGCTATGTTCCGTGTTTTGCATTGAACCTACTGGTCGGAAAGAGGATTTGAATTTGGGGAAGGGATTTCTGCCTGAAGCTGCCTTACTGGCTGGAGCAGCACTACTAGGGATTCCACTAGAAAGCATCTACAGTCATGATAAGGTCGGAACGCCGTGACCGTCATAGAAAATGGAGAGGACGATCTCAGAGCATCGAATTCATCAATTGTTGCGAGCTTTTGCTTTCATTCTCTCATAAAATCTGGTGAACTTTCCTCACGTCCGCACTGGACGCTTCATGATGCTGTAACGGCAAACGCCCCTGTATGCCTTACCCCTCACACGCTATGCTACAATTCATTCCTCTGATCTGTCATCCAAAACTTGCGATAAAAGAGAAATTTCGCGAAAACTCCGCGCATGGAGGCAATGCAGATGACAGGAGATGCTGCTGGCCGCGATGTATGCAACTCTGTTCACAGTATGCAAAAAGAAAAAGTACTCGCGCGGCGTCTTCTAGTCCTTCCACCGATTGAGAAATTTCTGCATGTCGTCCGTCGGTCCTGCTTGCGGCGCGGCCTAAGAGCAGATGTCAGCGTGGCCGACGTAGCAAATTTGGTGTCTCAACTTACAGTGTTCTCCATGCTGCTCACATGGAACGTCTGGCTTTGAGTGATAGTGGTCTGGACCTTCGCATTCGGCAGGAAAGTCGTAGCTATCGTGTAGCCGCTGGTGGGATGCAACGGCTTGAAGTTCTTGGCCGATATCTTCGTCGGAGGAATGCCTTGCATCGGCGCGTACTTGGTGGCTCCAGACTGATCCGCGTAAGGCACATCAAAACTGCCGCCATCTGCTCCCACGGCAGCTCCTGCGTTGTTTGATACTTGGTCAATCGTAGCTGGACCAGCTGTTCCTGTCACTGACTTCATGGCCGTCGCCACGCTCGCTGGTGCGGTACCGGTCAAGCCTGTTATGCTGAACCGATCCGAGAAATTGATCACTTGTCCTCCCTCTTTGGCCACCGATGTCATCTTCAGGTAGAAGCTATTCTTAACGTTCCCCGAGACGGCAGGGTCGACAGTACCCTGGGCTGACATTCCAGCAGAATGTGCACCCTTAGCGGACAGCACTGCCAGAGCGACCTGGTAGAGTGGTCAGTGCACCCCTCTTTATGTCCTTCACTCGAGGTGTTCGCCGCCAGACGATTGGCCATGCAGATTCATTGCTTCTCCTGCTGTTTCCACGCCAGATGTACTGACTTACCGAGCTCGAATCGTCATTTCCGCCTTGCATCAATTGTATTTGATATGAAGTCAGGTCGCTGAGCTTCGGCGTATCCCCAGAATCATCCCACTCTATCGATATCGTGCCGGCGGAGAGAGTCGCCCCAGCCGCTGGCTTCGAGAACTTGACATCTGCAAGTGCTGTCGTTGCGAAGAGAGCGGTCAATGGGAGGAGGGTAGAAGGCCGCATCGCGGGCAGAAGGCTCTGTAAATGTCGCAGGCGGGTGCTGAATGCGTTCGCGTGAGGCTTGTGGATCGTCCAGCGACCGAGTAAGTGTTGGAGGACTCTTTAGATGTCGCTGTTGTCGTGAATTCGTAACGAGCGTGGTTTTAGTGCGTAAGTTCGTTGTGAGTTGCAATTGCAAGCAATGTTGAAGCGCAAGTACAGACCAGTGCATGCGCGTTCCTGACAAGGGTGCACGATGGCGCCTGCGGATGATCGACCCGCGCGTTCTAGCGTGCCGAGGCGAAGGATCCCTGCGAAGCTCGGTCCCTCTATGTATGGGATGCGACAGAATCACAGAGACCAACAAATTTCTCCTATGAATTACACAAGGCAGGGCTAGATGAGAAATCGAGGATATAGGAGAAATGATACAGGAGCTACTTTCCACGTTCCGCGGCGCTCACGCCTCACGGAGCAAGCACGATTCAGCTCAGTGCATAAAGCCAGATCTATTTCCAAGTACATGATACAGTAAGACCTTTTGCCATTGGCACGTGTCATACAATGTATCCTAGACACAAGCACATTGGAAGACACAAATGACACTTCAAACTTTTTCAAGATTCCCCTGTGTTGCATCGTCCATCGACGATAAACATGATACCTGCGGCGACACCTCTCTACCTGGGCATTTTCGTATCATGCATCGTAGCGGCTGTTATCCTGTCGCTGTATGGCGCACGTGCTCACCTACCTTGCCTGATTTTGGTCGATTTGAGTTTGATATTGAGCGCAGTCCGTAGTCATGGCACGAATACCAGCAGAGGCTGAACTCAAAGCGAGTACGATCCTGATCCATAGCGTAGACATAACTACAACCGCAGACGACCGGTGTTCTAGCTTTCGAAGCCGGCGGAATGGAGCGGTCCGTGCACATCGGTTGTGCCAGGTCGTGAGTGTATATGGTATGGATTGGGCAGCGAGTTCGTGCCGTGCTGCGAGTGGCTGAGAACGGCATTCGTAGGTGGTCTTGCCCGCGCGAGCTGTAGCGGTGGGTATAAATCCGAAGCCAAAGCACGCGATTTCGTAGCAGGAGCTGTTGCCAGTCGCGCATCGGCAAGTAGATATTGTGATACTCGCATCGAGAGTAACGAGGCAAGTTCCAGGCTCAAGAGATATGTGAGACCGCCGTGCCCAAGTTCCAATGTCATGTTCGGTTTCTCAAGATGCTCAGGCTGGCCAACAAGCGAAGGAATCGCACCTCAATTCCTAGTGCCACCCAATCCAAGACGCTGTTCGCGTGTCATCTTCGCCCTAGATTTGGGCTGGCCAGCAGGAGTGTCGTCTGAGGGCTGAAGGTAGGTCTGTTCCGCGTGCGTGTTCTCATCTTGTCGCTTGAGCGCGTCCCGCTGAGCCTGTCGTCGCTCGTACTCGGCGATATCCTCGACAGTGAGACTGAGCTTGGTAGCTGGACGAGAAAGCATGGTATCGACAAGATGTTATGCGTGTTGTAGGAATAATATATTTGTTGAAAGATGCGTTTGTAGCGGCAGAGATTCGCGGCTTCCAGATGGAAGAAACGACGCGGTCTCGGCTTGGCACAACACAACTCTACTTTGCGCGTGGCGTTTCCATCCTTCTCTGTTCTTACTTCACCTTGCTTCCTTCGACTCACAAGTTGTGCCTCTCTGATCGCAGTCGCTGCTGCGTAGTTCCTCTGCCCTCAGCTTCCATGATGCATCTGGACGATCGCTTTCGAGTCTGCGACGTCTCCACAAGATCTAGCCAGGCAAAAAGATCATCATGCGCCTGCATAGAAGTGCTGAGGCTCAATGTACAATGTGGAATGAAGGCCATTGGCTGAAGCAGTGAGGAATGTAAAGGTATGTCGGTACGGACAACAACTTGTCTTTTGTACTATGGCTCTATTTTTTGGTGTTTCCTTCGTACCCTTTGAATTGAGTTGCAGTCGCTGTTTCGCTGGAAGTCCATCCGTGGGGGCAGCAGTCATCATGCGGTCCTCCCTACTGCGCTCGGGCACATCTCTAGGAGTGCTGCTGCCGTTTGCTTCTCATGCTACAGCCCAATGGGCGCCTGGGGGATCTTATTTCAGCGGCTCAGGCGCACCAGGAGCTGCATCTTATCGACTAGTGGATGATTATACTCCATCTGCATTTTTCGACAAGTTCACCTTCTACAACCGATACGACCCAACCTATGGTCACGTTAAATACGTGAACAGGAGTGTTGCGTTGACTAATGGCTATGCCTATTACTCCTCGGCGAACAATTCCGTCGTCATCAAGCCGGATACGATCAACAAGTGGCCTCCTGGCACGTTCCCGAACGGCGAGTATTTGCCCGGACGTCCCAGTGTTCGTCTGGAATCTTTCAACACCTACTATCATGGCTTGTTCATCTTCGATGCTAGCCACATTCCCACAGGGTGTGGTACCTGGCCAGCGTACTGGCTTCTTGGGCCAAATTGGCCTGCGAACGGAGAAATTGGCAAGTCCTGCATTATGGTTACTTATGGTCGAAACTCCCGCTAACACTGTTTAAAGACATCCTTGAGGGAGTCCACACTTCCGAGACCAACACCATGTCACTACATAGCTCGCCAAACTGTAGCATAATGGGTAGCGGACAGACCGGAACTTTTGCAACATCGAATTGCGATTCGTCTCTGAATGGCAATTCCGGGTGTGGATCTGAGCTCAAAAATACCACGGCCAATCCGAACAACTATGGTGCCTCGTTCAACGCCAATCGAGGTGGAGTCTATGCCACCGAGTGGACTTCCAACTACATCAAGCACTGGTGGTTTCCGCGAGGCCAGATTCCTGCCAGCATCGCAGCAGGAAATCCTGACGTGAATACATTCGGACATCCAGCAGTCAACGCACAAGGTGCTTGCGATATCGACTCGCATTTCCGAAACATGTCTATCATAATCAACATCGATTTCTGTGGCGCTTGGGCTGGCAACGTCTACGATCAGTGGCCTAGTTGCCCACAGAATGTGCCAAAGAATACTCCTGACAAAGCGATCGACCGATGCAATGCTTACGTGGGAGAGTATCCCGAGCGCATGAGTGAGGCCTATTGGGAGATCAACAGGATTCAGGTGTTCCAAATGCCTGCAGACGTGGCCACTACATCTACGTACTCCACGAGTCTCAGCTCAGTTGCACCTACAGGCCGAAGCACAAATACGATCCCTCTGGGAATGGGCGCTACCACTAGCACGTTACCATCAGCTCCGGCCTACACAGGCCCTGTGTCGACAGCGTCTTCCACACGGTCTGTCTCGGTGTCTTCTTCCATGGTCACGTTCGTGTCCAAAAAGTCTATGAGCTGGGTCTCTGAAGGCATCACATACAGCTCACCTTACCCTTTCACAATTGCAACAACCTCGACATTCGAAGTGCCTGGTCAATACAGTTCTGCATCCAGTTCCAATGTAGACGAAAGTAGCAGTGGCACCGCGTCTCAGCCCGCAACAATGCCGACGACCAGTCCAAGACCAGCGTGCCCAGGAACGTACGATGAAGCCTGTGGTGCGCCATCTTCCTCGGACGATCCGTACTGCTCGAACTCCTAGGGCAACACATACGCAATTCAATGTGGGCGTGGTTTCATTGGGACCATTATTCCGCAGGATCAGATCGTGATCACGATCGTACCGGACTCCTACAAAAGAGATATCCTTCCCGACGTCCCAAAGAGAGTCATCGTGCCGAACTATGCCTCTTGCTCAGCCACGTGCGATAACACGGCGGGCTGTGTGGCCTTCCAATTTGAGCCCCCGAATAACTGTACGCTCTTCAGTGAAGTGACTGGCACTTACGATCTACCAGGAGGCGTCGGCGCTGCCTCAGTCCCAGATACGTCTAATCCTCCGAGCTATGCCGTTCCTACAACTTCGTCTTCTGCTGGATTACCGTCTGGCTATACCGACTTAGTGCTTTCATCCTCGACCGCATTAACTACGACAACGGCATACACTTCGCCTTTGAGTGGATCATCGTCGAAAACTTCTTCATCCCACATCGTGAGCTCCACAGCGATCTCCATTCTTCCACCACTAGTCACAACAGGCTCGAGCGCAATCACAGGCATTCCTCCCACCACTGCGCTGCAATCTACCAGTTCAGCGCAAGGCACGACCAGCACTCCGGGCATTCTTACCACACGCGTGCCTAGCACCTGTCCTCGCGTTGTCTCCGGCACTGGATACACCACAATTACGAAGACATACACAATGACAACATGCGGAGCAGGCGAGGTCTGCGCCAATCCCGACTATACAGCTATCGGAAATTATGCAGGTTATTAGCAACCTTGAAGGACCATTCATCAAGACGACCACAAACAGTCGAGGAAAGTCTGTAGTTATCTTGCTGGGCTCTCGGGCACATCGTTCGCGATGTGGCCGCATTCACACGAAAGGCCATTCATGAACAGCCTTTGTTCCCCTATAACATTCGTATAGTTATAGAATGTATTCAACTCGCGTCTGGGGCACTGTAGCGAAACACGGAAACGACAGAACTGTTCGGCTAATCTTGGCGACCGACAGTGTGGATCTGGACCTCAATAACGGAAGACCTTGCCTGTCCGCCGCTCTCTGCACTATCGCTGACGCGTGGTGACTGCTCTCCAGTCAGCTACAGTACGAATTGTTCTCATTAGATGTCGTGGGCCATATCTTCCACAACCAGAAAAGGATAGTCCACGCAGACCTGCATGGCAACCTCTTCCAGCTCTGCTCACAGACTCGATGTCCGCCTGACCGACTGGAACGACAAAAACGCCGTTGCATTGAGAGCAAGACAACGACAAGAGATTTATTCCGAAAACGAAGGCAGGCAAGGCACGGTACTCTCAGCAGAAGACGTCCCTGTTTTTGTCGTCGCAACTTACGACGAGACCACTCCTGTTGCTTGCGGTGGACTGCGACCTCTCTCATCCACTGTGGCCGAAGTCAAAAGAATGTACGTCGTGCCAGAGTTCCGAGGACGAGGGTATGGCGCTGCGGACATGGTATTGCAACAGCTTGAGACTCAGGCCTGCCAGCGGGGCTGGAACATTCTGCGGTTGTCAACTGGAGCCCATATGCTCCGGGCGCGAAGGTTCTATGAAGGTCGTGGGTTTTATGAGATACCGTTGTATGGGGCTTACGTGGAGTCAACGTGGACCGTATCTTATGAGAAAACTCTGAGAGCGGACTCGTCCTGTGATACGTCATGTTCGAGGCGACGAATGCCTTACGATCCCTTCTTCTGTATCAGCTAGGCGCACTTCCAACATTGAAGAGGTATGCTGCTGATGAATGTAGTGACGTGAGCATAGATAGTAGAAGCGTTAATTGCACTGTGTTTTTTGTTGCATCGGTGTGTTGAGTTGCCTTTCCACCATTCATCTATACTCGGGACGGTCGATGGCCAAGTCTTGCTCGTTTATCTGCGGCTTCTTTCTTAATACATGTATGTCATGAGGATGTTGAAGTTGATGTCGAAGTGCGAAGTGCACTGACACACATCCCCCACTTTCTCGGACCACGCACCTCCCCTTGCAGGCAGCTCATACATTAGAGGCACACCGCGTCTACACATCCCGCCAAACACGCCCAACATGGCCACAACAGATCCTTTTGATGCAGCGCTGTATGTTTGCCCATCGCCTCTCACGCGACAACGCTGACCCGCTCCTCTAGCGACCTCCTCCGCCGCCTTCCACCCTCCTCCACCCAGCAAAACCTCAACGGCATCATCTCTCTCCAACCTTCGCTGGAAGAAGACCTTCTCTCCTCCGTCGATGTCGCTTTGACATCCAAACGCTGCACCAAAACTGGCCGCGACTACCTCTGCTGCGACTACAACCGCGACGGAGACTCGTACCGCTCGCCCTGGTCCAATGAATTCGAGCCTCCGATAGCCGAAGACGATGCCGCCGACTTGATCCCCTCTGGTCGCGTACGCCGCATGGAGGAAGTCTTGAACCAAGGCGTCGATGTCTACCGAGAGCTGTACTACGAAGGTGGCATTAGCAGCGCTTACCTCTGGGCACTGGACGAGGGATTCGCAGGCGTAGTGCTGTTCAAGAAGAGCGTGAGTGGATCGGCTGCAGGAAAAGGCGGTTGGGACAGTATCCATGTGCTGGAAGTCAACGAAGCCGCGACGAAGAGAAGCGCGCACTATAAATTGACATCAACAGTCATTCTGGATCTCGGGCTGCAATCGAATGCCGTGGATAACCTAGAACTGGCGGGGAATTTGACGAGACAGACACAACAAGACAGTCCTTTGCAGGGACTCCGGGATGCCGAGATCGAACAGAGTCACGTCGTCAACATCGGCAGGATGGTGGAAGATATGGAGACGAGGATGAGGAATATGCTACAAGAGGTGTATTTCGGGAAAGCGAAGGATGTGGTCGGCGATCTGAGGAGTATACAGCCGCTGAGCGAGGCGGAGAAAGATCGTGCGGCGCATAGGGAGGTGATCGATAAGATGGGGCGATGAGAGAGTGATACAGACTGGCGCGGAAGCTGCGTGGTCAGGCGTGCGCAAATGGACGGCAGTGGCCATGGCTGTCAGTAGAGCGTCGTGGCGTGACGACGCCAGTCATGCGACCAGATGAAGCATGATTATAAGATACAGGTACGAAATGCATGAACAAATCAGCTTCTACTTGATCAGCTATCACAATACCCATGAGCGGTCGGCCATTGACCGATCCTTCAAGGCCTGAGCTACTGACCGACCAGAATCTGCGGCATCATCCCAAGCCCCTGGAACAGCCATGGCCATATTGCAAGGCATGCCTCCGAACAAGCGCCTCAATGCCTCAACTGGAAAACGACAACCCGGTCAAACCAAACCTCTTCCCGAACTCCCTCTCGTCAAACATAAGCCCTCTTCTCTGATCGCCATCACCAACACTACTCTCCCACTCTCATCTCTTCGTCTCAAAGACATCGACCTCCACAAACTCACTCTCAATCTTCCTCGCCGCCAACGAACCGGAAAATGGTTCTCTCACCTCCCCTCTCCAGCAGGCCTCTTCAGCACCCTACCTCCAAGTCTCCGCCGCAAGATTTTCACTCTCGCCATGAAATTCCCTGAACCCTTCGTCATACACGCCTACCGCGACGAAGGAAACCGCCTGGCTCATGGACCCTACGTGAAAAGGAAGTCTGGCAGTGGGGGAAGCTCGTCTAGCAATGAAAGGGAGAATCTCCTCGCTCTCACCCGCGTCAGCAAAGCGATACGCTACGAGACACATTTGCTATTCTATCAGCAGAACACATTCTACATCAACCATGATCCGGATTTTCAAGGCAACGACGCGAAGAGCGTACTCACAAAATTCCGCACTATGATCGGCGAGGAAGCCTTTCAACGGATCCATGGTTTAGGATGCTGTTGCCAGGTGAGGAACGAACGGGTCTCGAGAGTTCTGTGGCCGAGGGGTGAAATTGGAGGTCAAGTCATCGAGATTGTGAAGCGGTGTGTCGGGGCTCTGGAGGAGGTTGACCTACAAGGAAACAGGTCAACCGAAAGGAGATGGGGAGGAGAGGTCAGGTTGGAGATCTGTTTGGAAGGATTGATGAAGAGACGCGAGAAGAAATCGTTGCGTTCTACAGAGCGAGGAGAAAGGTTGCGGAAAAATGCGCAGCCGAGCTTCTCGATGAGGATTCAACTGGACCTGGGCCTTCCAACATGTATGTGGGATCGACATCTGGCAAAATGGGCCAAATTGGCTGATGAGGCGGAGAAGAGAGGCGATATGCTTCGGGCGAGAGGGCTCAGAGAGGTGGTCAAAGAGATGCGAAGCGCTGAAGGCAAGCTGGAGAGCGTACTGCCTTTGCAAAGGAGGATTTGATGTCCACTATGCAAGCGGCAGTGTACCAGCTGTCCAGTCGGAGTGACCACAAATGTAAAGATGTACTACACTGGACGATTTGGAATGTAGAGGCAATTGTGACGTGACTCAATATAATTAATCTTCAAACCCAATCCTGGCCGTTTTGGTTCGCGAGTCAGTGAAATGTGCGTCAGCCTTGCGTACCTGTGCGACGAAACGTAGTGTGTCTTCTTGATGAGCGAATAAGACTCGTGGCCAGCAAACGTGATAATTCTCTGTACTAGTCTTCCCGGCTATATGTCTGCGTTGACAGGTTACTAAGCGAGCTACGATCCCAACTGTCTGCACTTATGCATTAGGTGACAGGAAACGTCGAAGAGGTGGGAAGTGGGACTTGCGCGAGACACGATGCATGCCTAGGCAATACATCAGTCATCATCGTCGCTTTCTGTAACCACTCGTCTCTTCCTCCCTTTCGCGAAGGGTCTGACATCGATTTCCACCACGTCATCCTCTTCGAGATCCGCTTCCAAATCAAGCTCCATCTCTTCCTCGCTCTCAACGATCTCATCCACATCGCTGAGTCGACTTCGCACTCCCTGCTTCAGCCTACCACGCTTTGGAGCAGGCGTGATAGGTTGGGAGGAGCTCATCATGCTAACCTCATCACTGGGTGCCATGAAAGCAAGATCTTCACTGTCAGGTTGCTCCTCCTCCTCCTCCTCGCCGCTTGTGTCGCGGGAGCCAAGTTCCTCACCCAACGCGACCTGCGTAGGGATACGCATCGCAGCTGGCGTGCGCTCAGGACTCGATTCTTCTCCTTCGGCGGCCGCATCACCGTAGGATGGTTCGCGTTGCAGGGCCCGTTTCTTCCTCGGTCTTCCTCGAGGCTTGGGGGCAGGCTGCGGTCGCACTGGAAGTGGTAGCTCGGGTTCTGAATCGGGCTGGGCTTCCTCTGGTATGCCGCCGACTTTGATGCGGCGAACTCGTGCCCGTGACTTTTTGGTGGGAGCCCTCCCAGCTCGCCCCTCGGTCTCGCTGTCGGATGGTATCGTTGTCGGCTGCAGATCGGTGGTTTCCTTCGGCCGCACGGCAGGATGTTTCGTGACAGCAGCAGGAACGATTCCAGATGCAGACTGTGGTTTTGGACCTCTATTTCTTATTTGTGGACTGACAAGTCGATACTTGGCTAGGCCAGCGTCTTCTAGGTCACTCAGATGCAGAGCTTCGTTGAGCTGAAGACACTTCGCAGTGGTGATCTCGTGCACCGCTTTCATTGTCTTCTCGGCTAGCAGAGCAGCTCGACCATGACTGATATACTTGGTGGATCCAAGGTTCCGCAACTTCTCGGGAAAGCGTTCAAGATCAGGGCCAGCCATAACCCCGTCCAAATCCGCGTCCGCAGTGCGGGCGTACTTCTCTTCCAGCTCTTGTTGTTGCTCGCGCGTGAGCAACACCTCCTCCAACGGCGGCAGAAGAGCGATCTCTGGCTCAGGGGTGATGGCACGTGTGATTGGCATTGATACCTTCTGGAAGACGGGAGTCGTGTGCTTCTTCCTTGACGCTGCCGGCTTTTTCTTTGCCACGACACGAGTACTGTCATCATTATCACCTTCGCTGTCCGAATCCAGCTTCGATGCCTTGACAAACCCCGTTCGAACATTGTCTGGCATGTGGAACTTCTTCGGAGGTCGTTTAGTTTTGCCTCGTCCCTTGCGATGCTTCTCGTTGAGGTCCACAGGCTGTGTATTCTCAACCGGGATCTCGACCGGTCTCTTGTCGGGCACTGGCTTGAATTCTCTCGGTAGGATGCGAGGGCTCTGGTCGTCTCGGTAGGAGTATTTCGTTGCATCTGCGATCGTCTTCTGGATGTATGCATAGTTGTCCTGAGCTTTCTCATAGTCTCTCTCCTCTTTGCCCTTCGTCAGCAAGAGTTCAACCTTGCCGGTCCGCTTTCGCCCCGTGCGCCCGATTCTTTGAAGCATGCGGATAGGAGATGAAGATGCATCGTAGCAGACGATCATGTCCACAGTACCAATGTCAAGACCTTCCTCGCCAATCGACGTGGCGATTAGTGTGTTGTACTTTCCGGCCTTGAAGTCCTGGATGATCTGGTTCTGCTGCTTCTGGTTCATTCCCTCCTGCCCTTTCGACGCAGCTTGGCCAACAAACACATGAGGCCGGATCGTGGGCTCGTTACGCTTCAAGACCCGGCAGATCTCTTCTGTGCTGTCTCTGTAGCTAGCGAAAATCATGATGCGAGTTGCGCTCGGTGGCACATCACTGCCTTGCCTCCCTTCGCCAGCGTCCAGGAAGTGGTTGAGCACAATTTCGCGCAGGTACTCGAGCTTCGGATGGCCGATGAAATCTGGATTGTTAGTCCAGGTCCGAATAGTGCCCATCATTTTCACAAAATTCTGATCTTGTGCGATGTTCGCAGCAGTCTTGCCCTTCTGGGCACCACTCTCCACCTCTCGCTGAAAGTTGAGCACACATGAATAGAAGGGCCCGATGCCATGGTGTTTGAGTAGCCCAATACTATGGGCCAGGCTGGACAACACGTTGAACGCGGCGTTCATCATGCCTTTGACCGGCATGGGTGCTTTCCGGCCAGCATCAGACTGTGTCCATTTTGTCCGAGCTTGTGTAAGACCGTAGGCAGTCAGTGCGAGTGGATCGTTAGACCAGTATGCATTCTGTCCACGAATCTTGTCAAGCAGTGGTCTCAAAGTCTTAGCAAACAAGTCCATGATCAGCTCCTGCTCAGGGCTAAAGTCGAAGACTTGAGTATCGGTGTGCTTCTCATGAGTGTACTGCCTAATGTCGAGGGAGCTCTCAGTGCGAAGCTCAACACGCGCAATGCCAAGGTTGTCGATGACAGCTTGAACGGCCTCAGTTGTGGAGCCAGGGGTGGCAGTGAGAGCCAGCACGCGGAAGCTGCTGTTGAATCGACGCAGAAATTGTACGACTTCAGTGTAAGCATATGCGCCAGTCGCTTTGTGCGCCTCATCCACCACGAGTAGCACGAACTTCTTTGGGTCGCATATACCAGTCTTCAGATCGTTGATGACTGTTTGTGGCGTCATGAAGAACACCCGTTTCTCAAGCCATTGATCAGCTCGAGCTGCTGGAGTTGTCTCGCCAGTCATTAGTACTGTGTCTCCCTTGGGTATGCCAACGATGCCATAACACGCGTCCATCTGCTGGGCGATGAGGGGCTTCGTCGGCGCCATAAAGACAATTTGCGCATCTTTCGTCCAACGATAGTAGTTCAGCATGACTGTTGCTGCGATGAAAGTTTTCCCTAGCCCTGTCGGTAAGGCGACTAGAGTGTTGTGGAAAAGACTTCGCGACACAATGTTGAATTGGTAGTCACGTATGCTACCGATGTTCGTAGGGTATACCCAGGTTGCCATTGCTTGCTCGTCGAGCTTGTGGTGAGTCGGGTTTTCATCGCGATTCGCCAGGGGCCAGGCATGCCTTTTCTGTGCTGCTTGAGATGCAGTGAGATCTTGTGTCGCAGGCTGACCGAATATCGTCATCTGCTTGAGACCATCTTGTGGTCCACGGAAATTCACAGGACGGGGTGCTTGAGATTGATTCGGCTGTGACGACAACTCGATAACGGCATTCCTGTTCGGCGATTTTTCAGGCGAAGATGAAGAAAAAGCGTCCTCCGGTAGATCTGCTAGATCCTGTGTCGCATCAAAATTGGCTTGGGTTCCCGTGCCCACGTGTTGCTTTGCGTAGCGGCGTCTTGCCAATTCATCTTCCTCTGCTTGCAAACGTGCGGCCATAGTCGCATCATCCTCTACGACAGGTGCACGGACCCGACCAGGCACTGACTGGAAGTAGTTGCCAATGCTGTTGATAGCAGCCGCCTTGATACCAGCGGCTCCATCCGGCATGTCACTGCGCTTCGCTGGAAATGCCAGAGGCACCGGCGGTTTCGGTCGTTTCCATACTGCGCCTCTGAAGGCTTCGGGTCGCTCATCAAGGCCATGTTGTGTTTGGGTATAGATCATATCTGGGAACCTGCCTCCTTGCTCAGGGACGTGAATCTTGAATCGGCTCACCCTGGGGACTTCCTGCACATCGCCAGGGAGTTCCCCAGGCAAATATGGGTTGTCTTCAATGTCATCGCTACCTCCACTGGTGGCCTGTGTGAAGCCATTGGCCGTACTTTGCAAGTTAGCAGAGACCTTCGGCGGGCTATGTGCCTCCTCGTCCGTCTCCGACCACTCATATTCGACATCGCTGGCTCCATCGACATTTGATGGGCCTTTCCGAGTCACCCGGCGGCGCTTGGGGGGCCGGGAAGATGGCTCAAAGTCATGAGGCTGGGATGCTTCTGCCTGGGTGGCAGCGATAAGAAATACTGTGTCATCGTCGTCGGTTCCAAAGTCGTCACTGTGCGGCATCTCTCATTTCGTCAAAGTCTTGTCGTTGATGTTGCGGCATGAGGTGGCAACCGGAAATGGGAAGCGCGTTCCAGTCGCGTCGGCCGTCGCGAAACCGACACGATCACGTGAACACAATTTTTCCCCACTTCTGCGCTGTTGGCTGTGAAGCACGATGACAACATGCCGCTGATCGAGATCCGCCCATCACAGTCTCCATTATTGCTTGGATCCCTATAACAGCAGGACCGCAGTCCGTTTCAAGCTCCATGACATTGACTTCACCTGTCACCCGACATGGACGACAACGGAATGTACCTGGAGAAGCTGCGGAATTGTCAGCAGCTCGAGTAAATGACCACGAGAGCGACAACACAAATACGTGCGGAGTCGTGTTGGTCTAGAGCTTCACCTACGTCAAGCTATCTTGCCTCGAGTAATGGTAATTCTCCTTTCTTCTCCTCCTCGGCCTTCGTATATCCAGCGTCTGCTCCCAATTCCCTTCTCCTCCTCTCCTTCATCACCTAACATACAGTCTCCAAAATGCCAAACGCACCCACCGGCGATCCCAAAGACCACGACGTGTCCGAGTTCTCAGAGAAGCTAAGCGGAACATGTCTCTGCGGTAGCGTGACAGTCACAATCACCGACAACGAGCTCTTCACGAAACGACGCGGCCATCTCTGCCATTGCGCCAATTGCCGAAAAGTCGCCGGCTCCTACGTCGCGAGCAACTTACTCATCGAACAAGAGAAAGTGTCAATCGAAGACAAAGATGGAACACTGAAGACATACGAAGACTATGCGACACTGAGCGGGAATGCCGTACACAGGACATTCTGTGGTAAAGACGGGAAGTGCGTTGACATTTCTCCTCTGATTTCCAATGCATGATTTCTGGGCGGTTGATCTGGTTACTGACATTCACTCACCATTTCTCAGCCCCATCAAATCTGAAACAGAACTCTATCCGGGCAAAGTCGTGCTCAAAATGGGCATCTTCCCTCGAATTCCGCAACCAGAAGCAGAAGGGTTTGGACTGCATAAACATGATTGGCAAGGTAGCCATGATGGCATTGACACGTATGAGATCAAGTGGGCAGGTCCGGATAAGAAATTGATGAAAGAAGGTGCGGAAGAGGATGAGCCAGATATGGTTTCTAAAGGTGTGCAGTAGAATGCCCTTTTTGACACAACTTGTACAGGAAGCGCGTGAGAACCGGCGACGATTAACAAGAAGGATTGTACGTACTGTAAAGCGACTGAAGGCGCCCTAGATGAGAGACCAAGTGAAGAGCAAAGCTTTGTGACTTCCCTCAAACCGTCTTGTTACTCTCTTCGCTCACTCGCCGGCCTCGGTCTCTTGCCCTCCACGGAGACTTCACGCGGTAGTACCGCTGCTCGGCAGCTTTTGCGTCCTGCAGTCCATGGCCAGGACCTTCCGTCGTGCCGAGTCCTGTCTGTATTTCGTTGACGGACCCATTGCGTACTGTCGAACCTCCCTCACCAAGCTCTCCGATCTCACCACCTGCCCCGGGTAGTTCTTGACGTTTCTCCAGACGCAGCCCTCTTCGACCTCGCGGCGGCGACCGAAGGATGGGCACGCCATTGATGGTACCAGGTTGAGGCAAAGATTGGACTTGCACTGGTATCGGTTGCTGTTGCAGGAAATGACTGTGCTCGCTGTTCGTTGGGTAGAGATAAAGATTGTTCTGCCGCCATTGGAACTCTAGGGGGCTTTCATGCGGCAAAATGCTTCGAGGCGGCCATGCGTTCTGCCGGGAGTGTATGTGGGGCACTGCCCAAGGATTCGTAAGTACGGCCGGCGTCTGCTGAGTTGGTAATGCAGTGGCTAGATTGAATCGATGCGGTCTGGGGTAGGCGTAGGGGTGTATGTGTTGCATCTCAATCACATTTGAGTTTGGAGCTATGCCAGAGAATTGATCCGGTCTTAACCATTGCCCTTCGAATGACTGCCATGCTCCTTTGCGTTGCGGTCGCGCGTTAGGTCTTATCTTCTGTTTTCCCGCCATGTCGAGCGGCCCGTTGATCTTCTTGCCAGTGATAGATTCCAATAACTCCTCGATATGGAGTTTTGCAGTTTCGGTCTCCAGAAACGCTCTCATCTGCCAATCTTGCCTAAGCATAGCCATGATGTAATTCTGGGCCACGGGGGACAATATATCAGCCACTAAAATCTGAAAACCATCGCTCGAATCACTCACCTGCAAGACTGTACCCAACTTTGTCCAAGCCCGCCCGACCTCTCCTTCGGCGCCAACCCCATGCAGGCTCATGAAAGGCTCATCGACTCTCGTCGTTGCCGCGCCTCCACCTACTATTTGTTCGATATTCCAATAGCCCTGTCTCGCATACCATGACTCCCGGCCTCGAACCAGATGCCTCCTTCCCACGTGCCCAAGCTCATCTCCGTGCTGCGAATCCGGCCACAAGATCATCCCATACATATTCAGAAACGCATCGACCAGGTGTAATAATTGCGCTGGTAGTCCAGCCTCCAGGGTGGTATTCTGGAGGAATGCGACAGGATTGAAAACGTTCGGTTCGATGACAAAGTTTTCGTTGACATGCTTCCAGACGAGGAGGTGGAAAGGTCGTTTCGCTGCTGGAGTCAGGTGGAGTTGGCCGGAGATGTCATCAAGGATGGCCGAGGGGTCGTATGAGACGGTAGAGTCGACCCAGTGTTCGCTGTTTGGCGCTGGCATGACCGCGTATGTGACAAGTTAGAAGTTTGGGGAAGAGAAAACGAAGGCATAGATTGTGGAAATGGGCAAAAGCGAGATGCAATGATTGGAGGCAAACAATGTAATGTGAGTGACAATGAAGTGAAAGCTTCATATCTCATTGCGTGGTCGTCTATTAGCTACAATCAGGTCAGCGCAAACAGCCACCGTCCCAACGCTCCTGCTGTGCACAGAATCATGCCTTTTTATGGAATAGTGCCTGCCCAGCGACGTGCATCGCCACTTCAGTACAGCTAGCGTGACCTTCACCCTATGCATTCTTTTTGTCATATACATTCAGTCTCGCGCGCGTTATGCGGCGATCTACAACACAACCATCAACTCATGCCGCACCAGCTTGTCATCTTCGATGGCTGGATAGTAGGGCACCATGGCATCCGCGCTTTGCACGTACGCGTCATTGTACAGTCTCCAGTACGGCACTCGCACTTTCCTCGCCGGGTGGAAAAGACCTGCCCAGACGTAATTCATAACCGCTCCCGTGCCCACTGCGAGGCGAATTGCGTCGATAGCTTCGATAACACGATCGATAACGTGCGGACTGGTCTCGAACAAGTTCGGGTAGAGCAGGTTGAGTAAGTGCAGCATGGCATCTTCGCACCCTAGACCGACCACTCCAAGTGCGACGTGCTTGACGACACTAGCGGCAGTTTGACGGTGCACCTGGTCGCGATCAATGAGGGCATCTTCGAGAAGGGGCGTAACGGCATAGACGTAGTCTTTAGCCATTTCGCCGATGTACTCGAAAAGGAAGGATAGTGACTTCAGAACACCATTCTGCACGTTCAGCTCTGGAACGCGATACTCGTTCATGAGAGCGGGCAGAACCGTGAAAGGCGCACATGTCTCGGCGACGATACCAATGGCGACAGCCGTGCAGACACGCGACTGACGCTCTTGGACGCGCAAGTTGTTCAATAGTGTGGCAAGCACATCCTGTGGTCCAATGGCCTTGGCAATGAAACCGAATGTGTTGTTCGCAGCACGCCGGATGCCCTTCTTGTGTGCCTTGAGCATGTCGAGCAGCTCGAAGCAGATTCGCATCCACTCGCGTGCGTTGACCGACTCTGGTCCGCGGTCGGCGATACGTCCCACTAGATCAATTGTGTTTTCTTGCACCTTCTCGTGCCTGTTCCGCAGAATTGGTGTCAATCGCGGTAGCAGATCCTTAATAGGGGGCTGCATGCTACTGATGCCAACCACGGTAACGATGCTCCTCATGGCGCCCAAGATACTGCCCAGGACTTCGGGATACTCTTCACCGAGGTATTCGTACAGGACCGATCCCAGCTTGCCAAGTAAGACGTCCTCGTCACACTGCTTCAGCACGATCGCAATCCGAGTAATGAGATCTGCCGCTTGCTGTCGCACGGTGGCAGATTTGTTGTTGAGTCGCCAGAGAATGGTACTGACGATCTGTGGCAAGTATGGCTTGCAACGCGTCCCAAGGGAGTTGACAACTGTACCAAAGCCATTGAGCAGGACCACGTCCTCGACGCTCTGCTCTTGGAACGAATGGAGAATACCATCAACAAGACGTTCTTCGAGACGCTCGTTGATGTCAGCAGCGCCCATGGCAGAGATGACCTTCTCGATCGTCTCGACTGTCATCTTGCGATAAGCTTCGCTCTCATCTTTGAGGTTACCAACGATTCGCTCAACAATCTCGCCGACGCCGACTTTTTGACCCAAGTCGACCGTGGTCTCGACGACCTGCTTGTAGTTCCGCTTATCGAGCGCCATTCTTCGAACCCAGAAGAATTTGAAGAACTCGTTCAGCACGTGCTCTTTGAGATAAGTGGCCGTCACACCCGCGCCACCAGCACACTGACTGATGACTTTGAGCACGACCTTCTTCATCTCTTCATCTGGAGACTGGAACTCTCGGATCAGGATTTCCATGATTTGACTGGTGTAGTAGTTGCCATATTCTTCGTCCATGAGTGGGATGATGTAACCAACAGCCTTCAGGAAACCAGCCAAGCCTTTACCACGCTGCTTGCGCGCTCCAGTCCAGAGTGGGTTGAGGATGTCGTCGAAGCTTTCGATACCGAAGGGGTTTGACGCTTCTGCAAGCGCGGCAAGAGCAAGCGAGGTGACTGTTCGAACCTTTGCTTGCTCGTCATTTAGGTTCTCGCCGATGCAGTCGACAAGACCTTTGAGATGAGGGAGCACAGCACAACCCATAAGGATGGGAATCTGTTGAATGATTTTGACACCAGTATGTCGAGCTTGCCACGACTTCTTACTCTTGCACACAGCTTTGAGGAATGGTAAGAGGGTCGGGATGCCGAGTGCTGAAGCAACGACAGCGAACGCTCGAGCTGTTGTATTCCGCACGTATTCGTCCACATGATCGATATCCGGCCGCATCGTGGAGATCATGGTGGCCAGACCGGCGGCTTTGGCCAAGTTGGAGATGATTTCGCGACCCTCCACGCGAGCATAGTAGTCTTGATCGATGAGAAGTGGCTCAATAACCACCAAGATCTTGTGCACGTAGGGTCTGACGAGATCATCAAGCTTGTAGAGAACACGATCGATGACTTTCACGAGCAAGTGGCGCTCTTGGTCCTCCAGGCTCTTTTCCATGAGTAGGGGGAGGATCTGGTCAAAGAGCGGTCCGGCACCAAAGCTTCGTGCATTGTCCGTGAGTTGACGCAGTGCGGTCTTTCGCATTGGTGGTGTGCCGTTCTTGACTTTCAAAAGCAGCCGCATAATCTTGCGTTGCTTGAGCTCCTCCACACTGAGGTCGTTCTCGTCGGCTCCGTCAACCAGCTTGCCGAAGTAGGCCATATCCTCGGCCTTGAAAAACTGTAGGTCTCCAACGCCTGGGATCTCAGATGGTAGTTGCTTGCCCATCGACCGCGCGTCCACTGGTTCCTGGTTCATGAAACCGCCAGTCGCTGGCGTGGCTGATGGTGCGACCCTTCTCGAGGGTGCTCGCAGTGGTTCATAGCCTGGAGGTGGTGTGAGGATCTTGTAGCCCTCGCTGGGCAGCATTTCGTCCAACTCTTCGTCTGACAGCGGTGCGTTGCGGCCTGATGCATCATTGCCGAAGGCCACCACAGGTCCCGTTGGTGCCGCATCTGCTGCACCATTGGTTTGACCGCCACCTCCGCTGCCAGCTGACACCAGATCCCACTTGGAGCGCTTCTTAGGTGCTGAATCTCCATCGGGCGCTGGTGTGGAATCCCATCGCGATTTCTTGACTGCAGCCTCTCCGTTTGTCGCGTGCCCGTTCGTGCCATTCGTGCCGTTCGCTCCGTTGGCCTGCGCATCGCCATTCGTCTCCGCAGGTTCTCCCGAGGTGTCCCAACGTCTCTTCCTCGTTCGCTTCGGCTTGTCCTCTGCCTCGGGAGTCTTGTCTTTCAGTGTGGGGCGGCCTTCCACGCCTTCCATCGCATCATCGTCACCATTGGCAATCGCCTCCTTGTTCTGGTCCTCGATGAGCTTACGAACTCGTTGCTCCTCGCGCTCCAGCTCTCGCTCTGCCATAACCTCCTTGTACGTCTTCTCGCCATCTCCATCGAGACCGCGCTGGAATCGACGCTTTTGGTAGTCGGTCTCTCGGCTCGCAATTTGCGCCTGCTTCTCGCAACTCTGTAGGATATCGTCCTCAGCGTTCTCACCGTGCGCCCATTCTCCTATTTGAGCAGCCGTCGCGGTGTACTGGCCGATCAATCGGCCGCTTTCGCCGTCGTCGGCATCCTCCATGTCCTCGTCATCGTTGACATCGATGATGGTATTGTAGCCTGCAAATTTGTCGCCTGAGTCATTTCCGTAGAGCTCCTTGTCGAAGTTTTCGGTGAGAGAGACGCCCTTGTTGTTGTTAGTGCGCTGGCTGGAGGCGTCCTTGAAGCCTTTCTTCCCTGCGTTCCGCTCGATTTGCGCCTGCCGCACTTTGTCGAAATCGGCTATCAAGTCACTATCAGTGGGTTGCCCGCGAAATGCTGAACTGCGGAGGGGCGTACCGTCAGACATGGCGGCGGCGGTGCGAGCTCGTGGAGCCGCTACTGCTGCTGGAAGTTAATTGTCTGTCGAGCGCGCCAGATCTGCCACAGAGTGAGCGCTACCTTGGCGATGTCCTGTCAGGCCGGTCGTGCGTGCGTGTAGCGATGTTCGTGTCGCGACGCTGAATCGTTTCAAGACGGCAAGTCTGATCGCGGCGGCAGCGGCTTCTTCCGCTCTCCGACTCCGACTCCGACCCGACCCTGTCATCAAGCAAGGCCTCCTGATACTGATCGCTACACCCTCCACGTCTTGCTCTTTCTTGCTGACTGCAAGTCCATCTGGAATTTGGACCGCTGCATACGTTTTGGCACAATTTTTTTTTTATCACCGCGCGCAAATAATATCTTGCTCAACAAGGCTGGTGTCCGAGCGCACAAGCCTGCCAGACTCGACCACTTCACGGACACCACGCAATGGATTCGATGTGACCTTGGTCGGGTATCTCAAGTTTGTCGAGGACATAGAGCAGTCGTTGGGGAAACCCTATGGCTTCATCTGCGTGTCTACTCAGCCAACAGCCCCAGTTATTTGCAGTTTACTTGTCGTTCCCATCATCTCCTCCATCGTCCACTGGGCGCTTTGGCGTCAGGAGGCTCGCAAGCTCGGCATGGTCATTTGCAACCGCTATCTCCAATGCAATTTGATGTTTATTTCCAGACGGTTGGCTGACATCTGCACCAGCTCGCAGCAACACTTCAAGTATCTCCAGATTGCCTGACGCTGATGCAGCAGCCAAAGCAGTCACGCCATTGTAGTAGCTCGCGGCAGCGTTGACTTCTGCACCTTCTTCAAGAAGCTTTCTCACTATAGCGACATCTCCGCAGCTGCACGCCCCTTGAAGCGCCGTTAGCCCTCTGTACTTCGAAGCTGGGGCATTCACGTCTGCGCCACATTCAAGCAGGCACTCTACGACGGCGCCATGTCCTCCGGCTGAAGCTGCTTGGAGTGCTGTACGACCAAAGTGGTGTGCCATAGATGCGTTGACATCAGCACCTCGACTCAAGAGCAACTCCACGATCTCCAAATGTCCGTTCTCTGCGGAAGCCTGCAGCGTTGTCCGACCCATGTATCTATGAGGTGATGCGTTGAGATCGGCACCGGCTTCAATGAGCAATTGAACAATAGACATGTGGCCAGATCTGGCCGCGAGTGCCAATGCCGGTATACCACCATTGTTTCCGCCTGGCGCATTTGGACTGGCTCCAGCCTTGAGGAGATGCTTGACAACAGGAATATGCCCGTCGACTGCTGCAGCCTGAAGAGCTGTTCGCCCGTAGAAGCCCCTCGGAAGCTCATTCGGATCATGGCCAGCTATTAGCAAAGCCTCAACAGCTGCAAGATCTCCACTTGATGATGCAAGTTGCAGAGGCGTCCACACGTCTCCTTCATCGACTTCTTCGTCGAAGGTAGAGTCCATGGTGTTGGTCGATGGCACGGGTGAGTCTCAACACCGAGAGATGGCTCCGTCCTCTTGTTACGATTGTCCTGCAGAACAAAAGCTCATGCTTCAAGGGTGCGCCTGATAGCTGATCAGAGAGTGCCGAGATGCCGCACCTGCAGATCCAACTTGCTGCATCGTCGACGACAGGCCAGGAGAATAACAACCTATTATGTTACATGGCCCCATGCATCTCCGAAAGCCCACCCCAAAAAGACATTCTACGACCCCAACAAGACGGTGTCGCATGTCCAGTCGAGTTCGAGGGCAACGCACAGCCAAAAATCAAAAAGAATGGTCAGGTCTGAAGACTTTGTATAGGAATAGCCGAAGGTGGGGCTCGAACCCACGACCTTGAGGTTTCAGGACATTGTTGTCCTTAAGAGCCACACGCTCTACCGATTGAGCTACCCCGGCAATGGGGTTGTTGGATGACAGTGAGAGGAAAGGCGCAAATATGAAGACTCAGACAACAGAGTTTTTCGAGCTAGCATCGCGGACCCACTACGTGTGGACTTGGCACTTCAATCTACCGAACCACCCGGAGCTTGCTACAGCAGCAGCAGCATCGATATTCGATAATCCTCAGGTCCATGCCTCAGACTTGTGACGACGAAAGAGCATCACGCAACCCAAGGTGCGACTGCAAATGTAGTCCGATGGGTTGCCACACTCGAAGGTATAGGAAGATTGTGACATCTCCGGCGAGAAAAGCTGAATTCGCTCCAGGTATGCAGCAAGACATCCATTCCAATGCCGAAATGCACATGAAGTAATGACCTTGCTGTCTCGACTCTTCAACCTGCTTCGCTCCCGTCAATAGATGTATCGGAAGTTCAAATTCTCGCGATCCGTCAAATCGGCAAATGCAGTCCCATCCAGATCTCTTCCCTCCAAACCACCTTCCTGCATACTCTGAATCATATCCCTTCTCTTATTCTCCCGACTCAGCAACATCCTCAACACCAAAATCACCACAAACTCAATCAGATGACTAACAATCATCGACCAGATCCCCAACTCATACCCAGGCTGCTGCGATTCCAGGTAGAAAAACGGACCAACAATATTTCCGGTACAGTATCCCAGAAACAGAACAGCATTCGTCACCACCTTCTTCGTATGTCCCGCCGTATTCGCCGTCGTCAACGACAAAATCATACAGAAAGCCGCATTATACGGACCCGTTAAATAATAGCACGTCAGTCTTCCGCCCATGTTATCCTGCGCCAGAAATCGAAGGCCAAAGGCACCAGCGATATTCGGAAGCAAGAATAGTAAGATAAACCAGCATCTTGTCTGCCGGCCTTTCCGCGACATGTAATCGTTCAAGTATACGCAAACGAGAATGCTCACGGCAATTATGAAGCCGTAGGGAATTTGCATCAACGTCGTGACGAGCGTGGAGAATCCGAAGCCTCGAATAATGATCGTTCCGAAATTCGAGATTCCGCCATTAGGGATATTGCAGACCATGCCCAAGATGAAGAAAAGATATAATTTTGGATCCAGGAATGCTTCGCGGATTTGATAAGATTTGAAATGTTTGTTTTCGATTCCAGTTTGGTCTTCTCGGAGTCGTTCGACTGCGATGCGTTTTTCGCGTTGCGTGAGACCTTTGGCTGTGACGGGGCTGTCGGGTAGGAAAATACACATGACAATGCCCCAGAGACAGCATAAGGCGCCAATGATGATGAACTCGAATTTCCAGGATGGCAGGCTGCCTTTGATGTTGCCGATTCCATAGCCTAAGAGGCCACCGAGTGCGATTCCGAGGCCGTTGGCTGTGTACCAGAGACCCATGCGGATAGGTTGTTGGCGGCGAGTGTACCACATTGCGGTGACGAGCATGAAGGCAGGGTCCGCGACTGCCTCAGCTGCGCCAGCGAGGGCACGGAGGGCGGCGAGGGCGCTGAAGTTCGGTGCGGCGGCTTGAAGCATGAGGAAGAAGCCCCAGAGGAAGATGTTGAAGCCCAAATACTTCCCTACTGGGAAGCGTTGAAGGAGGAGATTAGTAGGTAGAGCCCAGGCCAGGAAGCCGAAGTAGAAGATACCTGGACAATAACATCAGCTTTGTTTCTTCGAAATGACAGGTTTTCACGTACTGCTCAGCCAACTATACTGCGTTCCCACGAGATTCAAATCCTCGCGAATGCCAAAGATTGCGGCATAGCTGAGCGTCGTCTTGTCAATGTAGAAGAAAGCATAGCAGACAGCCAAATATGGAATGATCATAAAGTCGATCTTGCGCACCAGCTTCTTCTCTTCAGCCGGATCAATCGACTCGTGAAGCTGGTCGGGCGAGTCAAAGAGCGCTTGAGCGACATCGCCGCCTTTCTTCGATGTCGCCTTCCATTTCTGAGTCTCAATCGTAGAGACATTCTCATCATGGACGATCTCGTCGTGCCTAGTCGACTCGTGCTGGCGATGAGGCGAAGCAGAATCTGAGCTGTCGATCTGGTCGCCATCAACGACAGCGCCGCCGCGCTTCTTGAAGAACCCCATCATGCGCTGTAAAGTGCTCAAGAGAAAAGGATGCAAAAGTGGTCAGGCGAAGCAATGGTGGCGCACCGTTAAGCATCATCCAGCGGCATGGCGGCATGTCTTTGCGGCGAACGCGCCGAACGTAACAACATCAGACACCGACACGTCGCGTGGACGCCATGTGCGCATGTCGTCGACCTCACAAATAGCGTATGAGAGGTCGACAGTCAACCTACTTGCAGATGCGATGGCACCCCCAACGTCGACCCCGCAAAAGTTCTCCACACTCATGTAACCATACTTTGTTCCCAAGAGGAAACAATCGGCACGTTCATGCGAGGTAAGACGGTAAGTAGCGGCAGGACGCAAATTGTGACTGAGTAGTAATATCAACAATCGTTCCATTCTCATTCGTATATGCAATTTTGGAGGTGCTGAAGCAGGCATCGTCGTTCTTTCGTACATTCGTGCTGGGGTATCTACAGCAAAACCCCACATGCGTATCAACTTCGAACGTGATTCGACAATTTGATAGAATGTGTCAGGATGCGGGGGAAAGGGAAGAAAACAGAGACTTTCAGTTGTCGAGGTGATGTCGACCAGCGACAGAATCTCGCACCTTGTTCGGAGCTCCCCAGCCAGTCTGGACCAAGCTTTGGGCAGCGTTGAACAGAAGGTTGTCAGGCTCCTCCGCACCGGAGTCTCCCAGCACGGGCTTTCCATGGGCGAGTGGCACGGCCTGGTCTCGCCGGCCTCGAAAGCACGTGATGACCTTTTCTAGTCGGAACCCGAGTGCGCCGAGTGGAGGATGATAGCGCAGCCGCTCCCTGCCTCTCAATAGTTCGCCGTCTCGCTACTCTCGCGTCCATCGTTGCTACGGTCGTAGATCTAACGATTTGAGGTTGGCAGTCTTGCATCTGACCGCCACATCCTCGGCCTGGTGGATTTCATGTCTATTCCAAGACACGAAGGCTGCTGTTGAGATATCGCTCAGCCACGGCGTTTCGACGTTGCATAGTGCGCATACGCCGAATGGTCCACACTTGCTTCCCTGTACCGCTTTTGACCATGTCCTGAGACATAGGCGCTTGTGAATGCATCTTGCCACATCACCGGAGTGACCATTGGCATAGCCGGCGGGCTTGTGTCCGGTATGACTGGGTTGGACACTGGAATCTGCTGCGCTCCGTACATCGCGTGTGTACTAATGGGAGAGGTCTGGTTCTGCATGATCGGTGCCGATGTGTGTTGCATACTAGCAGGACCTGGGGGCGTAGCTTGAGGCGGAGCACCACCGCCGAATGCTGCGTTCCACTGGTTGAATATGCCAGATGGATCCCAGACAGGCGTGTGTTGCTCATTGCTGATGACAGGCTCTAAGGCGTACCCGGTCTGTGCCGCTGATACTTGTTGCATGGCAGACGGCGCATATGGTGATGTCTGCGACAAATCATAATTCCCGTCGTGATGCGTCATCGATGGCCTCGCAGACAGGCCATGGCTGGCGCCACCATCAAAGGCAGTTGCATAGTTGACGCTTGCTGACATGGATTTCGAGTTGGCTGCATCGGCCATATTCCAGGTGGGCTGTGTCAGGACTCGGGCGTTCGTTGGATCCGAATTCGTGCTCGACGGCGTGGAGTGATTTTCCATAACCGGGCTCCTTAGGCCCAGAGTAGGTTTGAGTTCAAAGGGCTGAGTGACATCGGCACTGAAGGCCTCGCGGAGTGTGTTGATCTGAGCTTGCATCTCTGCATTGGCAGATGTGATACAATGCTCAAGCACGCGCATGTGGCGAGTGAAGTAGATGCGGGCTTGAGTGTTCAGCTTCGGATCTGGGCAGGTAATCGCGGCCTAGTATGCTGTCAGTGTCTTCAATCTCTGCGAAGATGTAAAAGTGAACGAACCAAGTGCAGCATCATGCATGTCAGCACACAATAGATCGTGAAGTTGACTCCACGAATCATGAACTGCAGGCCGTGGAACTGAAAATCGCGATAGAGAGCTTCTTGAATACGGCACATGAGCATGGCCGAGTTCAAGCAGATTTCCAGCTGGTCCTTCCAGCCAGGGTCACCTTTGGCTAACAGCGCCTGCAATTGTGGCCGATGATGCATAATAATGGTCAAATGATGATACACGTGAATGTAGGCCTTGTAATGATCTGCGCCGAGCCAAGGTGGGCTGCCATCATCACTGTATTGGAGCTGGAAATCGTTCGGTAGATTCTCTGCCCAAATTGGAAGATCTTCGTTATGTTGCACAAAACTTGGATCGAGAGCCCAGTCCTTCTTATATCGTTTCATGGTCTGCCACAAAATATTGGATTGCTTGATGTTCCTCACGGCCTGCGCGAGTATCGTCGATCTCCGGGATGCCAGATGTTCGAATGCATCAATGTCATTCGTTGGCGTTGGTAAAGCATATTGGACAGAATCGATGTCGACCGAAAAGTCTGATCTTCCCATTGGCGCGCCTGTGAGGATCTCGAGAGTGAACAATGTCTGCCAGATTCGCGTGCGCAGCATGCACTCAGTCCTGTTGTGATTGCATTTATTCGTGGTCCGGTGTTGCTCGTGGTGAATATCCAGCCCGAGATCAATGGCACTGGTGGTCATATACTTCACTGCCATCCACGACCGATAATAATAACCCCGTTTAGAAATACTCTCCCGTGCCTTCATCAGGATAATCATAGCCTGGATTGTATCGAGCCTGGGTACATCCTTGAAGCTTTCTTCATGTCTGCTTGCCAGTGCTAGCCATTTGCGTGATTCTACAGGCTGTTCGAGATATCGAGCCACGCACGCAAATATGGCCTCTAGGAGCAGCGGAGACATGCTATGCCGGTCCGTGCGCCATTTCTCCAGAAATGTCGCTCTGTGCAATACCGGGCAGTAAGGATGAATATGGTCAAAAAAATAATTGAAAAAGTATGTCGCCCGTTCGTCGGATGGCATCATTTCAGGTGGAATGCGGATCGTGGAGTCTGCCAATACTGACGCAGGAAGCACGACTTCCACCTCATCCATTCCGGGTGCGTCTGGTGCGAGCTGTGCACGTGTTATGTATGGAGCAGCAGAAGTGATGTCGATCTGGAGGTCGCCCATGGCACTGGAGAGCTCACGTACACCAGCTTCGATTTCCTGTGCATCGCCGCTGGAGGCTTCAGACACCTCTGTACCAGACCTGATGAAGCTTGGTATTTGGCCACCACTTTGCGGGTACTGCAGAGGCGTAGAGGTGCCGGCATAGAAATTGCCTTGAGGGTAGCTTTGCTGAGTCGGCCGGGTATTGGGTTGATGAGAGTATGTGTTCGATGAATATTCGGGCTGATATGCTGGAGCAGATGTGGGTGTTGTCGGAGGCACGTTGTTCGTCCATTCGTGCACCATCCGCGGCTGCGAAGAGACGCCATTTGGTTTCGTCGCCGCCGGACTGGTCTTGGGAAAGGTGGTGTTCTGGAAAGAAAAGGTCTGCTGGCCGGTGGCGCTGTCGGGCGTCTGGCAGTCATCGTCCTGGTCGAGAGTCGGCGGCACGCACTTGAGCTTCAGACGAATGCAGGCGCCGCAGGGCCATGGACCATTTTGCAGGGCGCCATCGCAGCGAATCTTGCGTTTTCGGCAGCCATCGCAGGCGCGCATGACCTTGAGGCGCTTGTGGCGGTTGTATTCGTCGACGAAGACATACTGCTTGGTATGCGCAGCGGGCGCCGGCGCACTCGTCGCGCTGTCCATGCCGACGGAAGAGCAGCTGTTTCTGGAGATGTTACCTGAAGAAAGTGCGGAACGCCGAAGAAGTGGATATCAATGTCATCGGGAGTTTAGTGTCCAAAGCTCACGCGCAGGATCCGAAGCCGCTGACAGGCATTCCGTTTCCTCGGGCGTTCATTCGGCGGGCAGGAGCAGCGGAGGGTGGAGGCAGCGAGGTTCCAGCAAACACAGCGACGGCGGGCATTCTTCTGGTGGAAAGGCGAGGAGGTGAGCAGGATGCTAAGAAGCCATGGCTGGCCGGCGGAGGGGTGTGCTGCCACAGCAGCAGATCATCCGAAGTCCCAGAAGACCCCTGCCCAATTTAGTGGCAGCTCTGCCAGCGGGCCTGCCGCTTCTACGCCACGCCACTTGGGAGCTCGGGAGGCAAGCACGTTGAACCCTCAGTTGCGACTCGTCAGCCGTGATCTTGTTTTGCGCTGCCGACCGGGCGACCGCTGTGGCCGCAGCGTGCAGCATGCACGGAAGCCTCTTGCTGGTGGGCCAGCAGCGTGCAGGGCCACGGAGTGTGCCGGCGGCGGCATCCACTCGCACGCCGCACGCCCATTTGCAAAGCTGCAACCCACCGGTTGACGTGCCTGTTGTAACGCCTGGCCTTGGCACCCGCCCACGACGTCCCTCGACTCGTTCGCCTCCGCCTCGCGGAACGTGCTGTGCCATCTTCCTCACGCCCAACTACGCAACGTACTGCGCGTCAGGACCTCTCCCGTAACATTCCACCGCCACCACCATGGACGCCGGCAAGGACAACGCGAATCCCACCATCATCAACCCAAACGACCTGCCGTCCCGCCGCCGCTCTACGCCCTCTGCAGCGAAGCCGCAAGGAATCTTCGATGCATTGGTGCCGCAGTACCCAAGCTTTCTCGACGCCGCGGCCGCGCGCGACGCTGAGGTCTTGTCTGATGTCTCAGATCCTGCCTCGTCAGACGACGACGAGCGCGAGGAAATAGACGAGCAAGAAGTTTACGACCTAATCTCCACCATCACCGACCCCGAGCATCCACTCTCGCTGGGTTCGCTGGGAGTCGTGAACCTGGAAGACATCAAGATTATCCCGCCGACTTCTCCACGGTCCCGCATTAGTTCTGTGCAGGTGCTCATCACGCCTACCACCTCGGCCTGTTCGCTGACCACCGTCATTGGACTCGGCGTCAAGGTTCGATTGATGAATGCCCTGCCTCCACGTTTCCGAGTGGACGTGCGCATTAAGGAGGGAACCTCTTCATCGGCAGACGAAGCGAACAAGCAACTCGGCGACAAGGAACGGGTGGCGGCCGCCATGGAAAATCGCAACTTGATCAACATGGTGAACCACATGTTATCCTCATGCCAGTAGAAGAGCCAGCCTTTAGCCTAGGGTTGCAACCTCGTGCGAGTGGAGCCGGTAGCGTCGAAACAAGCGATTCATCAATGCTCGGATAATACACGCCCAGGCGACGAAATATCCGAACGCGCAGATGCCTACCTACTACGGGTGCAGGACGTTTGCCATTCCCGTGCCGAACGAACTCCATGAATTGAACTCGCACTGCCACGCACATAGACATGGATGCATCAGGGGCACATGCTTGCTGAACGGTGCACAATCCGCACAATTAACAATGATTATCAATACAGCGAGCAACCAGGATATCGGACCCATCGAACGAGCCACGAGGCTTCACCGGCCAAGGGCATACAGGCCGAGGCACAGAAGCACGCACATGAGAGACATTCGTCGGACCAGCATCCTCTTTGGGCACTGTGATCAAAAGCGCGCAATTGGGCATCTGGACGCTCGGGCCCGGCGTCTCCACGGACAGGCTATAGACTTCTCGGCATTTGAGCACGAGCTTCGCTTAGATCGAGAGAGATGAAACCAGGGTTAGAGTGGAGCTGCATGGCTATGGCAACACGATACAAGAGAGCAAATCGAAGTGACGTTCAGTTAAGGTTCATAAGAGGACATGGCTGATGCTGTCTAGACAAGATGCGGACTGCTCGCTTCGCCTTGTTCGTGCCGTCTTGCCATCGCTACCTGCCCCTTCCAGCTTGATGAAACGCGCCAGGACCTTCTAGATGATGCACAAGTGTCTGTAATGCCACAAGTGTCTGTAATGCTCCCATGCCCACGCGCTCGCCAACTACCGAACCATCGTAGAATACCCACATGCTGTACTGGAAGCTTGATATGACACAACCTTGACGCCATGCATTCGCTCAAACGCAACACTGTTGAAGCACTGATCTTCTATGGGCGCGGTGCCTGAGGAGCGGTGCTCGACTCGCCCTGGTTCTCCGGACGCGGCGGGACTTGGTAATTCTGATCTGCCATAGCCTTGCTCGCCCCTTCTGGAGGATAATACGCAGGGGGCGCATCGCCGTGGTAAGCAGGGGGAGGATTCGGCGGCGGAGCATATCCGTGCATGGCGTAGCCTTGTGCATATGGATCAGGGCGGTACGGATAGGACTGCTGGTGCTGAGGCTGCTCGTAGCGCGCCGAACGCTGCACCATCCATCTGTGGTAGGCGAGAGGAGGTTGCCCCTTCTTCAGACGGCTTCGGGCGTGGCAGTATCCTCCGACGAAGTACAGCAGGATGATTGCGAGGATGACACATATCAATGCATACCTAACGGCATAGCCCGTCTGTCCGAATTGTCAGCAAATCTCCTTTGTGTACTTCACATCTTCCCACGCGGCAGCTCTTACATCCGACCACCACCAGCTTTCAGAATAGTCGTAGGGGTAAACATCGTCATCATCGCGCTTGTCGTTGATGCTGTCCTCGCGCTTGAGCACTTGTGCAGCTGTGAAGTCTCCCATCACGCCCATGATGTGTGGTCCGAGTCCCTGCGATCCTTCTTCCTCCACCTTTCTTCTTCCTTCTTGCGCCAGTAACGCCGAACTCTCGCGCGCCGAAACGGACGAACGCAATCACACTTAGTTCGTGCCGTCAATACCCGGGCAAAAGTTAGAGGTGAGATAGTTGTCACGGTAGCAGTAGTAAGCGCGACGCAGACGCAGGACTACTGCAGGTGCGGCCTTTCCTCACGGCCAGATTCGGGCTACAATCGCGACAGCTGCAGCAGGATCACAATTGCTACGACCAGGTCCGCGCGTGGGTGATGAGGAATAAACTTTGATCGGTCGTTGCAGGAGGTACGAATGCGAAGTGGGTGGTCTCTGGAGCGAGTGGCCTGAATTCGATTCGAAAGGGGAAAGGGTTTCGAGGTGTCGGAGGTTTAGGGCGGCAGGGAGGCCGAGGCACAGCGTCTTTCGTGCAGCGTGAATGGTGCTGCAGCAGGTTCCTGCAGGTATAGGCGGATGTCGGTGCACGGCGACAGGATTGCAGCGAAGGTCGTGTGTTGTGTGGGAGGATCTGTGAGGTGTGGAGAGATTGTTGTTTGTATGTGGTTGCAGCCGAGAAAGTCAAGAGCCTAGCCTCGCATCATCGACACAGCAAGCGCAGGCGGAACTTGCATGTTTCGGGATTTTGGTTCCTTCCATTTCACAATCTTCACTACTGATGTGCTGCAGGTCTAAACGTTGTAACCGACTTCACGAATGATTGATTGTCAGTGTCATTATCGAGCAAGAACTGTGTATACGAGGCTGAGCGAGCAGCGAGGCTGGAGTTCTGGACCAAGCTCCGCATCTCAGCGCCAACCTGGCTTGTCTTGTCAACCTTGCAACAAAGTACAAATCAAATTGTACAAGTACCAGCCCGACTCGGCCCTTTCCTGTCGTCCATGCGAATGCGATTTCGACCCAAATGGACATGGTGTCGGAACCTTGCCCACCTGCTGCCGACGACTGCTACACAACACCTCGGGCATCAATGGGATGTTCCACATTCATGCCCATAAACGCTCGTGCCCAAGTGTCGCGCATGTCGACATGCAGATGTAACCCACTTGATCGAACTTTCGCAGATCATCTGTTCTGCAACTTAGGGCTGACGACCAAGGAATGAAAAATCGAAGAGGCGCCGAACAAGCCACACCCAAGTACGTACTGTACAAGGACACCGCATTACACGGCCGACATGCGACGTTGCAACGCAAGTCTCACAATCAGCGTACAACGAAGAACTGTAGCGCAATTCTGCCTCCAATCAGTTTAACTTTTTTGATGCAACAAGAGAGCTGCCAGCCACGCGTCCTGTGGCGTTGCTGCGCAAAGGCAGGGTCCGGGATCAAGTTACGTGAGCGCGCATGCATAGAATTGTGATGGAAGAAGTCTATTTCGTGATGTTCTGCATGTGATGGGGCACGGCCTCGCCGACGTTGCTGGTGCAGAGGCCGATCTTAACATCTCTTCGAATATACTTCCTCAATATGGGCATGCGAGAGGCACAGCATTGCACTGCCATCAAGTCGATGAGACGAGAGTGGCGACTCAACTCGTCCGTGTTTCCTTCGGCGTTTGAGTGGTGCATGGCACAGGCATGAGGGATGTTGGGGATGCGCGATCTGAATTGCGAAATGCACTAGAAGGTCGAGGGTGTCATTTATGGAGGATTATTAACTATCGAAACATGGGTTCGTGAGAACTTGCGGGCCTCAGATCCGAGACATTAACACACTTTTGAGGATCGTGACGGAACGTCAGTTGCCTCAGATCTGGAAGGTCTTCTCGCATCGATACTAATCATCTCTGCGATTCTCACCGATCAAAGGATTCAAAAGACAGAAGGAGAGATGGCAAGCATCGCCAACACATTGCGAACAAGCTCTGGTCAGTCCGCTGGCATCCGCCCCGGCAAAACACCGAAATGTCCTCGAAACATCATGTCCTTGCTGATCAATGAACACCGCACGGTATATTCCTCCCGTATCATTCAACTCTGGTCCTCAAGACATATTCCTCCGCTGTGCGCGCTCAAAAAGCAGATCCACTAATGGTAATTTTGGAGAGCAAAGATTGTACCAATGTTCCGGCTTGGGAGGACTTGGAAGTCTAGCACAGTCGCCGTGATACGACAACTTGATCGAGCACGTGCGTACAAGTCCACATCGTCTGCCTATAGTGTGGATGCGTCAGCAGAAGTCAGTCATGTCTCGAGAATGTCTCCGAGGCACAGCAAACATGCCTAGGGCAAGCACATGAGCAAACATACCTACATTTCTCAGATGGAGATGCGATGGTTGACATGTCTTTGGAACGTCTCCTCGGCGCCCTCCCCGTCGACGCTAAGTGCAGCAGCGGCGAAACCTCTTCTGCTTTTTGCGAAAGCCTTACTCATAATTGTGTCTCCGGTCTTTGTCTGCCACACGATATGTCCCATACTCAACCCCAAAGGTAGGTCAGACCGACTACGTTTGGTGAAATATGTGCTTCTAGTTTGACCTCAACCAAGTCTCCGTAACGTATTTGTGCCCAGAGGCAGGCACAGAAGCAAAGCGTTCCCTCCTGTCTTTGGAGACAATCGTAACCGTTGACCTATCTCCGAATCATCTCTGCTACGCAACACGACCCGAGTTCAAGCGCATGAGCAGCCAAAACCGTCTGCCTTGAGAGGAAGAAGTGGTCACGATGCTTTCTCAGCCAAACCTTTACAACGCTATTATACCCGCGGCCAAGCTCGTGCGCAGAGAACTACTCATTCGTTCAGAGAAAAGAACCCTTCGCTCACGCCTCACGATTCATTTCATTGCCAATCCACGAGCTAAAGTGCTGCTGGCTATGCCGGATGTATCAACGCTGCTCCAATTCGTTACCATTTGAATGCAGTTCCCTGCAGCCTTTTGCTCCAAACCCATGCTCAGCAACAGGCCCGAAACCTAGCAGTAGCAAGCACAGCAATTCCGTTTTCTCCCAACTCAGCCAATTCCCTCCTCTGCTCCTGCCTCGCTTGGAGGATCTCCGAGCAAATGTGTCCGTAACTCTGCGAGCCGCACACGCAGGTCCAAATCCTGGGTTGACTGCGAGGTGGCTGTGAGCGGAGTGATTTTTCCAGAGAGATGAGAGAGACTCTCGAATTATCTGACGCAGAAGAAGACAATGAGTCAGCTTCCTGGGGTCCTTTTTCGCCGTGAAAGTGAGGGTTTTTGCTGCGAGGGTGAACACTCACTTTAGCTTGGACTTCAAGCTCTCCCTCATTTCGTTGACCATGTGATCAGGCCAAGCTTTCGCAATCTTCTCGTCCTTGTTCTTCGGGGAGTCGGTCTTGAGGGTCAGCGCCTGCTTGCCGAAGCTCAGGATATCGACACCGGCTTCCTTGTTGCCCTTGGCCGTTCCCATTGCTCGGAAGAACTTGTGTGCATCGCCGAAGAGCGCTTTTGCGGCTTTCTGCGGATCACCCTCACTGAAGACCCCGCTGTCGAAGTGAACGCGTGTGAGGTTCTTGCATTCGGCAAGAACGTTCAGGGCAGTGCGGGCAGTTGCCTTCTGGTAGTTCTTGATGACGACGCTAGTGATACGCTGCCGGACGGCCGGGTCGAGTTGAGAGAGGAAATCCATGACACTGGAGCTTCCATCGAGGCGGATAGGGATCGAACAGAAGATTTGCACGGCCTCTGCGTAAACCTTCCGCAAAAAGTTAGCTCTCATTTCACCGTGGTCGCTCCACCTGGTGCCATACCTCCTTGTTGACTGCGAGAAGCCCGACGCGATTCTTGCTGTCGTTCGAGTATGTCTTGGCATACATGTCGCTGAAAAAGAGCCCACCCTTTCGCTTGCCGTCCACCTGGATTGGGTCGTCCACGCCGCCTCTGTTGGCGAAGTAGAATCTGTAGATGCGGGTGCGAATCTCAGGCTCGAGCTTGAGAAACGCGAAAGGCTTCGCTGGTCGGACGAGGATAGCCTGGCAGCCTTCATCGGGGCCTTCCGTGAGCATGAACTGTAAAATAGTCAATGTCAATGTCATTCAGTATTTTGATGCGGCCGTACCGTCTTGAGAATGACGAATTTGTCTGCGCTTTCCAGCCTAAGGAGCTTTTCAAACCCATTGCCCTTCTTCTTCGGCTCTGCCACTGGCTCTTCGTTGCTGACGCTGACATCAATAGACACAGTCGCCAGTGAATCTGGGTCACGCTTCAGTGGCCCAAATTCGACTGTCTGACTCTGTTTTTTGGGCGTTTTCTTCGACGGAGTGGCAGCCAGCTTCGGTGGCTCAGCTTCCGACTTGATATCGGAGTCAGGCTCTTTCTTCGATTTCGGCTTCTGCTTGGATGGAGTCGACGGCCACTTGTCAGTCGCCTTATCTGCGGCCTTGGCCTTCTGCGCGTTTTTCGGAGGCATGGTGTTGGGATGAGGAGTGAGAACGGTCACACAGCTTGTCTCTGGCTGGTCAACAGAGGCCGAACTCGCGGGTATGGAGAGGTTGTGAAGGAGAGAAGTGACAATGGGCTGGAAGCAAAGAAATAGTTGTGGTGGGGGTAGCAGTGAGGTCGGAAGTGAGAGCTCATCTGCCGCTGCAGCCTACCTTTCCAGCCAATGGCAGCGCTTCTGCGTAATGCATTCATGTGAATGAAGTGAAGTGAAGCTCAACGGTCGAGTCTCGGGAACTGCTAATGATCTGATTCTTCTGCTGGGTGGCTTTCGTGAGCTTGGAAGAGCGTTCGGATGCAGGATATATGAGAGTCTACTGTTCCAATATGACTATGTTCCATCTCTGACTCTGACTCCAGAACGTCGTGCCCGCCGCCGTGCATGGCTCTCAGAGAGACACTTGATTTGCTTCAGCAGCGGAGAGTACTGTTCGGCCGTAATCCCTTGCCCATATCGAATGTATGCCAGCCGAGAGCACAACCTGTTTCTATGCAGACTTGATGCAATGCAATGAAGTAGCTCGTTGGTCTGATTGTGAAGCTGAAGAAGGAAGTGCATGTGTGGTCGACCGATGCCAAGCATTCCCGGTCAAGGCGCGTGCAACCACGCGACTGCGCGACTGTCGCTTCACATTCGAGCTCCATCACGCCAATTCTCAGCAAACCCACAAACTTTATCGCACAATGGCAGAACCGACAGCAAACGGCACACCGCCTGCGAATGGTGATATCGAGATGAAAGAGGAACAACCCGCAGAAGTACGTGCCCTGCTCAGCCGTCCGCACCCACTTCTGACCACCTCACAGACACCTTTGAACACTATTCAACAAGCAGACCCGACAGACCCGAACCCTCCGCCGCAGCGTTGGACCGACCAATCGCTGCAACCCCACGGACCTCCCGATCATCTTGCGAGCATCGCGCCAGGCGTGGCCACTCCTCCAGCAGGCGCAACAACGCGGCCAGGTTCAATGCCTCCTCAACCTTCAGCCCGGCCAGAGAAACCAGTCGCGCATGGTGGTCCAACCAGGCAATATCTCAATACAAATGTCACGCCGCACTTGCTCGAAGGAATGAAGTACTTGGCTGTCTACGAGCCCGAGAAGCCGCTCGAATGGCTGTCGAATTTCTTGAAGGAAAGGAGCAAGGAGGTGGAAGGTTGAGAGCTGCGCAGTTGGAATAGCACATGGCTCGAAAGGCAGATGGAATAGGTTTCTCGTCTGCGCACGCATCGTGCGCCTGCTTAGAACGAGCAAGAGAGGAAGAGCGCTTCCTGCGCATATCGTTTCGCTGTGGCAATGCTTTGGCGACACGCCCTGGACGCCTCGAACGTAAGTCCTGTGGCTGCTGACCCGATTGTCACGACTCGCAATTCTGACTGCCCTTGCTCCTCAGACGCCGTTCGACCCTGCCCTTTTGCAAGATAGACCTACACGGCGTACGCGAGGACAGCGCTATGAACAACGCATGGGTTGCCTAAGAACAGCTGAGAACCAATGATCTCTCTGCTGGCCCTTTACAACGAGTGTTGGAGAGTTGCAGATCTGTCTGTGCTGTACCAATGATACATGCTTCAGGACCTGAGGATTGATCACCGCAAAGCTGAGTAGCACATGCGCAGGGTACAGTAGCACGAGGCGATCACGGCAGCTTCCGAAACATCAATTTCGTCGTATGGCTCGGAACAGTACGGTGGTCAGACATATGCAAATTGACTGCACCAGTATGTCTCACTGTCTGCGCAGTGTGTGACAACTGTGAAGCAAAAGGCGTGCAGCGAGGTGTTGCAAGAAAGCAGGAAAAATCATGTTCATCATAATCAAGTCGAACAAGCCTCGATCCTAGCTGAAGTGGCTTGGCGGTACCGTAATACAGGATGCAAGCCAGCGAACAGTATTTCTCCTTTCTGTCAAAATCCAACATCAAGTCGCCGAATATCAGCATCCTTCGATCAGCGTGTTGGAAAGTCCTACACCTGACGAATGGCATGCCCGACTTCCCAGCTTTTGGGACGCAAAGGATGTGGGATCCGAGCTTCCGCAGCGCACCAGGACCCCAGACCCACCTTTGTCAGCTGCAGATCTGTCCTCAGCTGGCACCACCATACCAGAAAGCGATTCACGCGCTCACTAGCTTTTGTGCGCGCATGGGGCTGCTGATCAAAGACTGCCCCAACCACGAATCGCCTTTCATGGTTGTGCGTCAAGACGATCGACCATGCCCATTAGGTTTCAACTCTCAGCATGTGAGGTGCGTGGTATGCGCGTTAGAGGGCTGGGGCTGGCAAGTGGAAAGCTCGGTGAGCGAGGATTATATATATATCTGTCTTGCCCGAAGTTTTGTGATATTAGGCTTGCCGGTTCACGCGTGCTACTAGTGATGACACATCTTGATCAAGGGACACTAGTAATAACATAATAGACCTCACCTCACCTCATCACCACGTTTCTTTCATCGCATCGCCTCGGCGCGATCAGAAACCAACAACAGCAACAAGAAGAGGCATAAGACCTACCCTGCCAAGAATGAACGTCTATCCACTTCCACCATACCAGCGCGTCAATCTTTCGTTCCCTTTCCAACATCACAAGAAACAAAAGACTCCCAAGATGCCGTCCTCTCGATCATGTTCCTGGCGACTAAAAAAGAAGGTCGACGTTGATGCCGAAACAAGACGAAACACCCATCTCAACAGCCTGCCTACAACGAACTATAGCGAAAAGCACTCCGGCAGCGAGCGATCCCTACGCTCTACAAGCACAATGTCCAGCTTACGAACAAGCAATTCTGTTCAAAGTGGCACTGCATCAGCGAACAATTCACTCAAGTTGTCTGAGACAGCAACTTCATCTACATCGCGAAAGAGTGGATGGCTGAGGAGAGTGTTCTCATCTTCGTCTTCTGGTTCGGGTACTTCTTCTCCTGGTGATGAAGACGAAGGCAAACGAGCATACTTTACCAAGAAGGAGAAGAAAGATCGTCCAAGGAAGCCAATTGAGGATGAAGATGATTACGACTATGAGCGGGAAATACATAACGAGCAACGTGCGGCATGGAGGCAGTTGTCGATGGGGTACGCGAGTGTTGGTGTACCTTTCATTTTCTGAGTCGGGTCTGCTTTTCTCATTGTCAGAGAGGAATGGAGTAGGGGGAAATCTGGTTTCTTTGGTGCTGATAGATGGCGTTCAAGCGGCGAGAAAGGGAATACCCAGAATGATACAGGATGTCATTTGCGTTACTATAGGCTCGTAGATCCATTCATTGGATCATTTCTTTTGTAACATACACCAAATACCAAGCAAGATTCTTGGTTTCCAATTCCGTTCAACATACAAAAATCACTAGATCGAATGAAATTCAATTCCACGTCCAACCATTTTCCAATTCCCAAACCCCGTACTCTTCCAGGTTATCTGGAAGTGGCCAAGGACGGGACACAGCTTTAAGTCGCTTGACACGAATGCAATTCAGACCTGGTAAGCCAGCCGATCTCAGGGTTCCTAATGTCTCCTCCATGATTCTACGCCCTACGGAGTCCTTTGTGTTAAACCCTCGCCTTGCGTAGACGAAGATCTGACTTTCTTTAAGGTTCGAACAATCGGTTGTCTCGACGACTCTTTTGATCCATTTGCAGTTCTTCAGGTTTTCCTCGTAGGTAATGTGTTCGCTGATGGGATAAGAATCGTTCGGGTTTGGTAAGTAGTTCAACACAATGTTGATGGTGATTTTTTGTATATTTCGAAGATGCTGAATTTCGCTCGGAGGCTGTAGGGAGCGAAAAGGTCGATGGCCTGGATATGTTAGCATTAAGTTTGAACCGAGCCGTCTGCGTGTGTCTAGATATTCTTCGGAAAATGCTTTGCTGATGCGTAGAAGATAGGGTTTGATACAGCCTTCGAGGACCGCTTCGATAGGATTGTCATGCGACAGAGGGGCGATTTCTGTCTTGTGGTTGAAGAGGTCGTTGTAGACCATGTCACGCATCTCGCGCGGAAGGCCGAAAAAGTCGTAAGTCTTGTGCTCTTGAGTGTCGGATTGTGCGTTCGGCGGATCCATATTGGCTCGATTGGAGGTGAGCTGTTCATGTGTTGTGTGTCGTGTGCAGACTCTCTCAGGTGGCAGGCAGTGGTTTATATAAAACCCGATAAAAGCCTGGAAAATGTGGCCTCAAGCAAATTTGCACACTGGTACGCTCGAAAGCGTACCAGAAACCCAACACTCGCACTGCTTTCCTCTCAGACTCATCTCCAGTCCCACCCTCCTTCCGCCGTCCATTTCCCGTACTGCCCGCATTTCCTTGACGCCTTCGTCGTATCGTCTTTTTTCCCAAAGCTCACCACGCGGATCAACGACAATCCTGGCAAGCGCAGCTGCGTCAACCTGTCCAACATTGCTCCCACAGGCGCCCGAACCCGAGGATCCTGCATATTGATCTTTCGCTCCGTGAACACCCTAATCTCAGTATCTTCGACGCCTAACGCAGCCCACAGCATCGCAGCCAAACGTAGCCATACAGTATTCCCGTAGAAGTTCAGGCTATAAAGGAATTGACCAAGTGTCCTGGGACCACCGAAATGACGGGCATAGTGCAGAAATACGTTGACGGTGACTTTCTTGATGTCTCTGAGATATCTTCCCACGGCTGGGAGACCGAAGCGAGGTAAAGGTGGCCGGCGACTGATGTGCGTCAAGACAAGCGTTTTCGTGACGCGTTTGAATCTTGGTAGATACTCTTCAGAGAACTGTTTATTGATGCGTAGGAGATGTGGTTGCTGTTGTCCTTCCAGGGTGACCCATTCCCCATGTTGTTGCGAGAAAGAGCTTGAACAAAATTCTGTCTTATGATTGGCGAGGTGGTCATAGATCATATGGCGCAACTCGAGTGGGAGGTTGAAGAAGTCGAAGATGCGGCGCTCTTCAGGAGGCAGTTCTGCGCTTTTGGACGCCATCTTGAGGTTGATGGCAACGACTTGTCGATGCGTGTAAAGGTCGGTTGTGCTTGGGGTGTAGAAAAATGTCGTCGGAGCCTCAGACAGAGGACTTGCCAAGAGAGTTGTCGTATTCGGTAAACCCCCAAGCCTACCACAAGTCCAGTGAAGCCTGTTACCTCCACTCTTGAAGTGATTGGCAAAGGCTTAAGAGTGACCCCACCAGCAGTACCAACTTCGTCTTCAAAGCACCAGCCCTTCACGGATCATGCTTTCCTGGCTTCTCGGCGCCATCAGTCCCAATGAACAACTCATACGGGATTCCCTTCAACCTCTTCACCTCGACCTTCTTCCCTTGCCTCTCCAGCACCTTCGTCTCGAACGGCTCCGGCTCGTATGCAACCTCCCTATACCTTCTGAACATCTCCCTCCAATAACACGCCTCCGCCGCAGGAGTCAATTATCTCTCCCTGAACATCTGTACCGAATTCTCAATAATCCTCCTCGTCTCCTCCGGGTTGCCCAGATAATGTTGTACCTTCTCTTCTAAATCCGACCAATCCCTCTTCACACTCACAATATTTTGCTCCGGCCCCTCAGCCTTCAACAAATGATGATAAAAAGTCACAAATTCCAACTCATGCACCACCGCCACATTATCGCAACTGAGCATATATTTCATTCTTCCAGACCAACTGTGTCCTTCTGTGTACGCAGCGAATAGATATCGACAAAAGTCCTCGATATCTAGCCACCCGCCCTCCAAATCTGCCCATGGTTGTCCTTTCCCAGTTTGCAGTAACGCGCCTCGAAGTTCAGGATTGATATGTCGATTTCCTCGCCAGACGATCTGAGGGATTTTCTGTTCGATCGGACTATCGTGTGAAGCGGCTCGTCGTCGCGCATCCTGATACGCGTTGTGAATGGGGATCCACGCCCAGAAATTGAAATCCGGCATAAGCCACATGCGCTCGTCTTTGTGACTAGAGATTCTGCGATCGAAAGTCCAAGCTGTGTGGGTGTCACTTTCACCATCGGGTAGTTCCACGTGATCGTTTACTGCGATGGCGAATTCGATGTTGGGAATCGTTCCGCCTCGTGCTGTGGCTCCGAGCAATGCGCGGTGGATTTGGCTGAGGGTGAAAATGACTCTGCGCGCATCGTGGCGGTCTTTGTAGTGGTGAGTATCTCTTGTTTCGAGGATGCGAAGTTCGTTCTCGTAGATTAAGGCGCGAAGCCCGCCTTTGCCTGTCCAAGAGACGTTGGTGTCTTGAGGACTGATTTTGTGGTTGCGGCTTTGCCAATATTCGACACTTCGATCGAGTTCGTGGTAGAGTTGAGGGAAAGCGAGTGAGCATTCAGAAGGGCTGAGCGCGTGGTTGCGAGCGTCGCGGGAAGAGTTGAATGACCAGGTCTGGGTCACTGGTGGTGAGTGAGCTGGTTGTGATGGGTATGAAGTCGGCTCTGCGTCTGTCTCGATATCATTGTAAGTATCGTCGAATATGCGGTTGCTGTATTCTGTCTGCTGTGTTGATGTCGACAAATGCGACCTCCATTTCGGAAGCAATGTATCTCTGTTGCCAAAGATAAGGAAAAGTTGAAGAACGATGAAAACTGAAAGGAGAACAATTGACAATCGCGACTGAAGGAGAGAAGTGGCCTGCATTGCAACACCGTTTGCGCGACAAGCTGAAGAGGATGGCAGAAAAGTGCGAGCTTCGTGCTTTCTGTGATTGACTGTGATCATCTTAACGGATCGCTTAGTTTGACCTATGTGGCCGATGGCGCACTGTGGCACCTTAGGAAGCCCTTACACAGTTAGAGCGACACTAACCCAAGGGGCTCGACCCGCCTAGACGTGAAAATGCTCACCAAGCGTCGCCTCGGTAGGTCGACCAGTGACACGCAAACAGCATGACGAGTAATGAACGTGTGCGATGTGCGATGTCGCGTCTATCTGTGGCAGAAATTCGGCTGGCTGCAAGGCTCCGCATCCACGGGTCTAAGGACCACATTCCGACACTCCACAGAATGCTTGGACGTTTCAGAATCGGCTGCATCGATGCGGCGATGTGATCGTTGCTTTGTTCAATTGTATGTAGATAATCTGTACGCAAATAAACTTCCTCGAGGGTCATTGATGTATGAAGAAACGCCTTCCATGCCTTGCAAACGCCTCTCATGCCCAACGCCTTGCTAATTTGGCAATAATTGGTGTCCTGTGTGTCCGTATCCCAGGGTATCTGTGACTGTGTTTGGCCGTTATTGTTGTGTCGCCACATCAGGTCTATGCCCGAATGCATATATGGCTGGATGAATAGTGTAGCACCGACCTCGGTCACTGCAACAATCCATTTGAGCTTTTGACTGGAGGCATCAAAGTGATGTTACCCTCGGAGGCTGTGCACCGTTGGGCAAAGCTTTCTTGGGACGCAGGTTAATGACAGACTCCAGCTCGCGTAACATGCTTGTGTTTGCATCACGCTGCGCGCGCAGCTCTTGCTGCTTGGCGCGCTGTTCATTCATCTTTGCGATGCGCTCTTCACGCGAAACGAGGCTTTGGCGTTGCCTAGGCATGGCGATTGCCTCGAAGACCATCTCTTCCTCGTCCGATGTGGCATTGAGACTGGAGCGCTGACTTTTGCTTCCTTCTCCATTGAGTACTTTCAGAGCATCGGCTGGGCCGTCTGAGATCTCGTCGACAGCTGTCAGACCCCCAAGGCTGGACACAGGCGAACGAAGTCCACTCGAAGCCATAGATATGCGTCGCTCATGGCGTGAGATATTCGCCTGCAGCGACTGCTTCCCAGCCTCCCAAGCTTCCAGCAGTTCTCGCAGGTCGGTGCCGATGGCATCGTACTGTGCCATAAGCGTGGGACCAAGATCGGTGAGATCTTCTGACTGCTCGATGGATTTGTTGGTTTCCTCGCGCAGGATCTGCATCTTCGCCTGCAAACCACGAATGCCAGTGCCGAGAGCACTGATCTTGCGGACCTGCCCTCGCATGCGCTCTCTGTGGGGAGTGTTGGTAGCTTTCAAAGCGGGCGAGGCCATACTGAATGATTCCATTTCGCTGAGAATCAGGCGTATGCGCTCTGCTGATCCAGCAACTGCCTTGCTCAGCTCTCGCATGATGTGCGTCGCCGCGCGCCAACGAGCGAAGTCCAGCTTACCGCCATCAGCGCCCAGCGCCATGAGTGAACATAGCGTTATCCTACGCAGGACACAAGCTCGGTAGCTCAGTACTCGCAACGACTTCAATGATTCTGGATCCTCCTCCAGAACTCGAAGTGCATCTGGACCGGTTGACTCCCTGGCGTCTTGACTACTGATATCATAAACTTCGAAGTATTTTTCGAGATCATCTTCACGAATCAATGCAGCCAGCGCGGTGTAAGCTTTGATGGATGCCGGGATAGTCGTGGCGTATGCTTTGTGTAAGGCGACACGGAGTTTGGCGCATCGTCTGGCCGTCCCCGTCTCTTCGATTCGTGAGGCAGGCGGCAGAGGCGTGCTCAGCCTGTATCCCTTCGAGACCAGCTCAACTTCTTGGATAAAGGACAGAGAAGAACTTGATGAGAGCTCGAAAGCTTGCCAGTTGGTGGTCATTCCTGTCGCGGCATCGACCGCCTCGTGCCGCAAGCTCTCCAACCATTGTCTACGCATGTACCCATAGCCAGCAAACAAGGCCAATGCAATAGCTCCTAGTAGTAATGCTGCCCGGCTTCTGCTCACTCGGCGAGTACGTAGCCAGTCGATGAAGTAGACTACAGCGAAGGCTACAGCGGCCGCCGAAAGTGCGCCAACCACGTTGGCTGTATCCTCTGCAATTGCGGCCTCTTTCGACGAGCCTTGCAGACCGAAAGTAGTGGCCAATGCAGTGGCCGGTGCCAATGACCCATGATCCAAATACTCGTTCAGCAGCTGCGATGCTACGATGGTGTAACGGAAATGCTCGAGAAATTTGGCGTTATCTGAAGCCCCCAGCCTCGAGTTGACTGCCGAGGACCAGGCATGATGCGCTCGCGTGAACGCACTCCTAGGGGATTGCTTGTCTTGCGGAGGAGACTGGAGCTGCGGGATGCGGATACGTGGAAATATGGGGCCTTTCGCAGTCGGCGCAAAGGCTGCCTCGCTGGAGGAGTCGTTCTGGTCCGGCGTATGCGGTGGTCGAATGTCGTCGGACGTGCGACTGTCGTTGTCGAAATCGAAGGTGCCTTCACCTGTGTCGCGTCAGTTCTCCTGCCCTGTGCTGAAGAGGGACTCGGTCGCGCTAGTTGTCGCACCTTCCAGATAGGCGGCCAGAGGGCTGTCGGCGTGTATGGTCTCCATGCATGCAGCGGACTATCTCAATACCACATGGTCGCTGAAGATGCCACGCAATTGAACGGGGATGGAGGACCGACGTGCCGCCTACTTGCAATTCGGCCACGCGTGGTTGCCGTGGAACATGAAGATGGACAGCCGTTGAGATTGACCGTTGGACACACCGGCAGAAGGAAAGCACACAAAATGGCAAGGGAAAACAGAAATGAGTGTGATGGACACGCCTGGAAGGGAGGTGCCTGGCAGTCAGTAGTGAGAGTAGTTCGTGGCCGGACGTCAGCTGTACGACGCGGATCGACTGTGCCTCCTGACTAGCGTCATCTGCCGACATGGATGAGCCTCCGCGTCTGCAGCGAAGTCATCTCGAACGCCTGTCGCGAATCTGCGCCTTGCCATCGCGACATGTTCGCGGGAGGCTGCTTCCCTTCAGCTGCGAGCGCATCACTACAACTTCACCTCACGCGACCAGGCAGGCAGCTGAAGTGCAGTGCGACGCATGACGAATCTCAGCTCAGCCGGCGTTATGTGTTGCAGCAAACGCCGATGGGCTCGGGTAAAGCTGTCATCTCGCACCCGTCTTCATCTCCACCGCCTTCGCGACTTCAAGCGAGCCGGATTCTGCAACACACGCACGTTACAGCATACACATGTACCTGCTCGATGACTCGACCCAGGCGCAGCGATACCAGTGCCTGATAGGGCTGGGGCCACCAGACACTTCCTGTATTCCCTGCCATATGGTCGTCTGCTTACCAAACGACGGAAAGGCAGGGGCCATCGCCGAAACCTCACCTCTGCAATCAGACCTGCTCGGCGTCTATATGCTGCCGTTGTGCCAGCTCGCATCGATATTCGCCACTCTGTCATGCGGTTGAACAGCTATGCCATTGTCTGCTCTTGCTGGACATGGATCTGCTCGAGGGAGTGGCCGGAACGGACTGCGCCATCACTAAACGTGCGTAGCAACGCCACGCGATATCTCCCCTTCTGTACCAAGGCCGCTGCAACTGTCACCACAAGGCTCCAGGACGCGTGAACTCGCATTCGTTCGCCGTGCCTTCCTGGTCCATCCCGCCGCTTCGCCAAGAACAAAACACCATGTTGACGTTGGTTCATCCCAGTATCTTGCCCGTTCAACAATGCTGCCTCGGCAAGCGCGCATCGGCCGTGATGCTTAGGAATACAGAAGACTATGGACGACCTTGCGCCGCCGAGTCGCCGAACACACTCGTCTTCATTTTGTCAATGTGCTGATTTGCTGCCTGCTTGCTAATCAGCGGACTATGTCCCCAGGGTTTTTCAAGTAGCCTAGTTGTCCATATCCAAAAGGATGCTCCCATCGAAGCCCAGGTCTCGCGCACTCCGAATGGAACCAGCTCGTCAAACAAAGGCTACGGAACCACATAGTTCACTTGCTGAGCCTTGCATCAGATGAACGTCTCTCACTCGCTACGGGCCCCTGACACAAGACTCCTCGGCCGAAAGCTCACCAGAAGCGATGTGCTTACATACTTCGTCGACCGATGACTATGTGTGGCGACTCATCCTTATGATTTCCCTAGGTAACATCTATGGTACAAAAGGCCTCTGGGCTTCTTGGCTGTGCAGCGTTTGCCACGGCCTACTCATGCACAGTGATCCTGCTTCTCGCATCCTTCGTCCTCATTGCACCGCGACCACTGTACCAGGATCGGATTCGCAATTGCACGCTAAGGGTACCCTCGAGAACTGTAGAGGGAGTTGGGATGCTGCTGCAACTAATTGTTAGGGTTGATGACACTTGAGAAGGACTTGCAGTGACTCTGGATGATATAAAGTACCTGAGCCTTGAGGTACCAGACAGCGTCCTCAGAGCCTTCAAGAAGCCCCCTTCAACAGCTATCGGAGTTATGAGTGAAGAGCAGCGCATTAGCATTTGCAAGACGAGCCTGAACCAGATCTTGAATTCGCTGAAAGAGAATCCTAGGCAATGGCGAAACCAAATTCCGTTGGCACGCACGATCATCGCCCATCTAAACGCCACGACTTTGATGCAACAAACAGACCGCTTGCAAGAACGAGTCTGGTTGATCGGAGGTTTGCAAAGGCTGGCGTATGCAGACCCAGACAGTGGAGGCGTTCCTGACGTCGCAGCCTGGTGTTCTCAGCAGTGGGCTGTGATTCAACAGAGCCAGCCCAACAATATCTCCGCACTTCGCGGATTGGGGCAAGCGTGGCTTGCGCGGGCGCAGCCTACACTTGCTCGCATTCAACGCGAGGAGGGCAGATCCTCAGGTGATGGCCCTCCGCAATCTCGAGCCGGCAACACCTTATCACAAACCGAGGCTGAGAAAAGATCTGGTACTGCACAGTATGTCGAAGCGCGTGGCAACCTCCAGCCTGCAATCGACTTCCTCGAACGTGCCATTGCCGCAGCGACGTCACAGCACACGCTGACTGGAGACTTGCTCGCCACCGTGAGTCGCATGAGCACCACTATGCATGTAGCAATACTTCCTGCTAATCCCATGCAGACCGCAGAGGCATACATGTCACTTGGCAATGTCACCTCGCCCCGTAATAATCAACAGCACTTTACTCGTGCTCTGCAGCTTTTGCGAGCTGCAAATTCGATTGAGGGTTATCAACTGAATCGCTATCTTCAGCAGTATGTACTCCTCTCGCATGACCTTTACTCAGCTGAACCTGTGCAGGTATTTGGAAAGATATGGCAGATACATTGACGCTTGAACTGCCAACTTTATGAGCACATGATTGAGAACTGCAATCGCCTCTCAATGCGACTGGGTGACTATATAGCGAATTGGATCACGAGTACACAACATTTTGGAACAATAGAAGGTATAGATTTCAGCTTAGGCAAACATGCATACAACTTGAGCCTCGAGTGGAACGTGGCAGACTGTGGAAAATCTGCATTCATTAGAAAGCATAAACACATAAACAGGTAGAATATTGACATGCACCTGGGATTTTCTACACGAGTTTCGTTGTGCTTCTATCTGTGTTTGGCGTGACGTTCTATGGGAAGGATCGAAGGGGTGAAGTGGATGCAGCAGTCGCTTCCATATCGGCACATCGGCTTCTGCCCTGCCCTGCACGGCTTCACAAGCCTCATCAGACCACGACCACGACCGCAACACCGGACCGGATATTTCCAAACGAACAGACTGCGCCGATTGTAAGAACGTCACCACACAAAATCCTACCAACCTGGACGCTGCATCTGAGAGATTCGCATAGCCTCGCAAAGAAGCCACGCAATCGCGAAGCCCTTGCTGCCTCTATCGCATCCTGCTGCATCAAGCGGAAATAAGACCATCAACTCCATCATCATCATCACAAGAATCGACACCGCAGCCTAGCGCTCGCCACTACCAAGCCTCTTCCTCGTCACAGCTGTCCTCGTGGCCGCTTGACCAGCCTCAGCCATGATAGACGAACGCCAACTCCAGCTCAACCCCATCGTGCCCGAAAGCGTCCAACATAATGCCCGCGTACGTAACCTGCTCAACATCTCACCTCTCTTCCCATATCATCCATCCAGAGCTATAGAATTGTTTCTTACGAACTACAGACAACATCCAATATCCGCTCCCTCACAGCTTCGCTCTTTGGCGTGGCAGCTGGCACACTCGGGCTAGAGTCTTTCCCGGGATTTATCTTTTATTTTCTCGGGACGGCGATTGTTAGTCTCTTAATATTTGCTTTGAAGACGGAGCAGAAACCTGAGAAGTACTTTTTCCGCGTTGTGGGAGATTTGTGGGTGGGAGATTTGTTTGGGGGTTTGATGAGTTTTGTGCTGACGTGGACGGTGTTCTATGGGTTGTGTAAGGCTTGAGGAGGAGAGCGAAAAGTTGGAGTGGGATGATTCATGTTCATAGGGAAGGTCTCTACTTTGGATGCGCGAGGGCTTGAGCAGAGATGGGGTGGCAGTGGGCACGAAAGTTGGTCGAGAGGGAAGGTGGAAGAAGACTGGAAGACGCAAATGTCCCTAAGCGCAAGGGAACGTCGACTGCTGACATTCAGCGCGAGCTCTGCTTCAACACTGTCTCTGGAGTATACTACTTCCTGAAGAGAAGCACAGCCCCGACTGCGAGAGGTTATCGCCGTGGCTAGAGACCAAAAATTGGCCAATTGATGGCCTCGTCAAATCCTCGTCAAATTTGTAGTCAAACACGTGGCTGGAAAACGCCAAGCTGTCACTGTCGAAGTGCGCGTCACGGACGCGCGAAGGCGCGTGTCTATTTCGCTAAACTTGTCTCGCAAACAGCCCCTCCAGCTTCCCTCTTCTCACATACACACACCACATCGACTTTGCGTACACAGCTCATATATAAGCACAAACTCCTTGCACCTGCTTGAAACACCAAGAGCAAACAGACAAGAGTACGTGATCGCTGTGGAAAAGCTTCAGGCATCAGCTAACATCTGTGCAGTGTTGGAAGCACGTCTCGAGCAGGCCAACCTGCTGAAGAAGGTATGCATACAGCACCCACCCTCAAACGCGCATCTAACACCATAAACAGGTTGTCGATGCCATCAAAGATCTTGTCCAGGACTGCAACTTCGACTGCAATGACTCCGGCATCGCCCTCCAGGCCATGGACAACTCCCACGTGGCCCTCGTGTCTATGATGCTCAAATCCGAATCCTTCTCTCCCTTCCGCTGCGACCGAAACATCGCCCTCGGTATCAACCTCACCTCGCTCACCAAAGTCCTACGATGTGCACAGAACGAGGATATCTTGACGATGAAGGCAGAGGATGCACCAGATGTCGTCAACTTTACATTTGAGAGCGCCGAAAGTGACAGGATCAGCGAATACGATATCAAGCTCATGGACATTGATCAAGAGCATTTGGGTATTCCAGAGACAGAATACGCGGCAACCATCACACTGCCAAGTCCAGAGTTTCAGCGCATCACCAGAGATCTGTCTGCGCTCTCAGAATCTGGTATGTTGGGACAGTGCTACAGTGTGGGCCAGACCACTGACAATATGACCAGTCTCGATTGAGTGCACAAAGGACGGTGTGAGCTTCAAGTGCGCTGGTGATATCGGAAACGGCTCTGTCACTTTGCGCTCGCACACGAATGTGGACAAGCCAGACCAGAACATTGAGATCAACCTCACCGAGCCAGTCGCACTCACATTCTCGCTCAAGTATCTGATGAACTTCTGCAAGGCTAGCGGTCTTAGCGGGCAGGTGAAGCTGTGCTTGAGCAATGAAGTGCCACTTCTCGTGGAGTACGGGCTGAGCAACAACTCCTACTTGCGATTCTACCTCGCACCAAAGGTATGAAACATCTGGCGTGTGTAGCCTCAGATGGATGCTAATTGTTTTCAACAGATCGGTGACGAAGAGTAAACGCGATATGCCACGAAACGAAAACCAGAGATTTGCATGATTCGCCGCCTTCGAGGTGCTGCGAAGCTGGTGGCCCTTTGACCGGCTCCACACGTCCCACCTCCCGATACCATCTGCATTCGAGATTGCGCACAGCAAGATGTCATAGAGCATAATGTTGGATGGAGTGTGTGCATGAAGCAGCAATAGTAGCACAGCATCGTCAGCGGCATTGTTGTAGGGCAGAGGAGACGAAACAAGCACGGATAGCAAGAGCAGCCGATGTACCGACGATAACAAACACCCCCACCCTCGTCATTTGCTGACTGGGTTCTGACACATTTTCAACAAACAGCGCGTCCTCTCACTTCCACGACATCATTGCTCCGCCCTCGTTCACGAATTATTCGCAGTGATCATGGCCGAAGCAGATGATCTCGAGGTGCCCGAGACTCACGTTCTGGCAATCGCCAGCCATGTGGGTTCTCCTTCAATGTCTGTAGGTGACACGATAAGCTAATGGCTGCACAAGGTGACCTCTGGGTAAGTCTACAGCATGCAGACAGTCAATTCACATGCTGAACAAGTCCAAGTTATGTCGGCAATACTATGGCCACCTTCTGCATGCAGACACTGGGCTGTGAAGTGTCGGCCATCCACACTGTCAACTACAGTATGCAAGACACATTTGGTGTGAAATGAGCGCGCATCCCATTGACTCCACCCACAGGCAACCACGTCGCATACCGCGCCTTCAAAGGTCGCAAGTCCACACCCGAAGAAGTCGCCGATCTCTACGCCGGCCTCAAAGAGACCAAACTCGATCACTTCGACATGATGCTTTCCGGCTACTGTCCCTCCGCCGCACTCGTGGAAGAAGTCGGCAAGATTGCACGAGAGCAGAAGCTAAGAGCTAGCACCAAACCTGGATCGTTCTTCTGGGTGCTCGATCCAGTCATGGGCGATAATGGGAGAATCTACGTTGCAGAGGATACTGTGCCTGTCTACAAGAAACTACTGAAGGATGCGGATTTGATACTGCCGAATCAATTCGAGGCAGAACTGCTTTCGGAGATCAAAATTCATGACTTGGAGAGTATGAGAGAGGCGATTGGGAAATTGCACGAGAAGGGTGTACCGAATGTGGTGGTGACCTCGATTCGACTTCCGCCTACTACTGCGAGTACGCCTGTGCCTGGAGAAGGAGGGGAGGGAAAATCGAGTCAACCGAAACTGAGTATTATTGGGAGTACGGCGACGTCCAATGGCACGCCGAGACTCTTTCGGATTTCTGTACCTGCGCTTCCGGTGTTCTTCTCGGGGACGGGGGATATGTTTGCGGCGTTGCTTGTGGCGCGGTTGAAAGAGGCGGCAAAGGAACATGGAGTCCTGGATACCTTGAGTTGGAGGAGTGGGGATGAAGTGAAGGGACCTGAGCTGCCGCTGGCGAAGGCCACGGAGAAGGTTTTGGCGAGCATGGGCGCAGTTCTGAAGGATACGGCGAGGCACTACGAGGGTGTCTCGAAAGAGTTGGAACAGGGCGAGGAGTTGAATGAGGGGGTTGGAGAGGAGGGACAGAAGGAGAGGGAGAAAGAGAGGCATTTGAGGTTATCAAGAGCTGCGGAAGTACGGGTTGTGCGGAATGCAAGGGCGCTGAGGGAGCCGCCGGAGCTGGGAGATTTTGAAGCGGTCGCGGTGGAATGAGTATACTGTACTGTGAGAACAACGCGACTCAAGATGTTTCAGCATCGCATGCTTTCGATAGCCAGAGGCCAAGGGAACAGCAGCTTGCTGCAGACAGTGCCGCTGCCTCCACCCGCCTCTTTCACGTGAAGAACACATATCATAGACACCATTGAGCAATCAGATGATATATCGTGAGTGACGAGGCATCCTGTGCAAGTGTCGTGCCGTTTCAGTCAAGTGACAAATAGCAGCTTGTCTTATCATATAGCTCCCCCAGCGGCGCTAACTACTGCGAACTCCCGACAACAACGTATAATCACTGCCCGAGCCCATTGCACCATTCACCCGAGGCATTGGCACCTGCAACGACAGCTTGCAGATTGCGCGAGCCAGTGAATATATTGTCACGGGTGCAATTCAGCCGGAAGGTTTCACAAGCCACTGGCGCTAGCCCCACAGAATCAAGAAGAGGGTCGAAGCTCCCAAATGCCACCTTTCACATTCAGCAGCCGAAGATAATATCTGTGCGGCACTGCTGACTTGGGCCGACTTCCCACTTTCTGTCCTCTTCTTCCCCCAAGCCATTGCCCGCTCGGACTGACCACTCGCCTGGCCATCCATCACCATGAAGTTGCACTCACTGCTCGCCCTGGGCGCCGTTGCAGCTACTGCACACGCCGCTGACGACGAATCGACCGAGTCGCTCGAGGCCAATCTCCCTTCCTTCACCGTGAGTATTTCGCAATGACTCGAGACTGTTACTGTTGCAGCATGCTGACCGCTCTACTAGCCCACCACAATCAAGGCCGACTTTGTCGAGCAGTTCACAGACGGCTGGGACGCACGATGGAAGGCATCGCACGCGAAGAAGGAGGGCACTGAGGAAGAGTGGCAATACGTCGGCAACTGGGAGGTCGAGGAGCCATCCGTGTTCCCAGGCATCAAGGGCGACAAAGGTCTCGTGCTCAAGGACAAGGCTGCCCACCATGCCATCTCCGCCAAGTTCGACACACCCATTGACAACAAGGGCAAGACCCTCGTGGTTCAGTATGAAGTCAAGCTTCAGAACTTCCTCGAGTGCGGTGGTGCTTACCTCAAGCTCCTCCAAGACGGCGCCATTTCTTCGCAAGACGAGTTCTCGAACGCCTCCCCATACGTGATCATGTTTGGTCCCGACAAGTGCGGCGCTACCAACAAGGTCCACTTCATTTTCAAGCACAAGAACCCTAAGACTGGCGAGTACGAGGAGAAGCACATGAACGCTGCTCCTTCTGCGGTCATCAACAAGCTCTCCAACTTGTACACCCTCGTTGTTCGCCCAGACCAATCTTTTGAGGTCTTGATCAATGGCGAGTCCAAGAAGAACGGCACTCTGCTCGACGATTTCACTCCATCTGTCAACCCACCAAAGGAGATTGACGATGCTGAGGACAGCAAGCCAGAGGACTGGGTCGACGAGGCCAAGATCAAGGATCCAGAAGCGAAGAAGCCAGAGGACTGGGACGAGGACGCTCCATACGAGATTGTCGATGAGTCTGCCGAGAAGCCAGAGGACTGGCTGGACAACGAGCCACTCACCATTCCAGACCCAGAGGCTCAGAAGCCAGAGGATTGGGATGACGAGGAGGACGGAGATTGGATCGCACCTCAGGTGTCCAACCCCAAGTGTGACGATGTCTCTGGCTGTGGCCCATGGGAGAAGCCAATGATCAAGAACCCAGCTTACAAGGGCAAGTGGACCGCGCCTCTCATTGACAACCCAGCCTACAAGGGCGTCTGGAAGCCACGCAAGATTCCAAACCCAGACTTCTTCGAGGACAAGAAGCCAGCCGACTTCGAGCCAATTGGCGCTATCGGTTTCGAGCTCTGGTCCATGAACGAGAACATCCTCTTCGACAACATCTACATTGGACACGACGAGGCCCAGGCCAAGAAGTTCAAGCAGGAGACATTCGACGTTAAGAAGCCAAACGAGGAGGCTCTTGAGAAGGCTTCCAAGCCAAAGGTTGACGACAAGAAGTCCCCATCTGACCTCGTCTTCCTGGACGACCCAGTCCTCTACGTCAAGGAGAAGACCGCCCTCTTCATCGAGCTCGCCCAGAAGAACCCAGTCGACGCCATCAAGTTCGTTCCTGAAGTCGCAGGTACCATTGGTGTTGTTCTCGTCACCATCATCGCCCTCGTCTTCGGCCTCGGCGGCGCCGCTGCACCAAGCAAGGAGGAGATCAAGGACAAGGCTAAGCAGGCCAAGGACGCTGCGCAAAAGACGAAGAACGATGTCGCTGATGCTGTTGCATCTGGCGCGGACAAGGCACAAGCTGAGGTCAACAAGAGGACCACGAGGAGTGGTGCACAGTAGTAGCCTTCCACCGTGTCTTGTTGTTGTGTATTTGGGAGAAACTTTCAAAAAACTGGTAATCAGAAGTATCATTTATGATGAGCGTTCTACTATACTGGGATGAAAGTCAGCAAGAAAGAACGAAATGAGAAAGTTTAGCGTGCTTTGCGCGGTAACATGCCAGATCCGTCTGTTCCTTTCATTGGTCCTTCTGCTGCACTGTGGAAGTCGGCGCAGTGGTGGAATGGGCTGTGCTCAGATGCGAGATCAGTATCGTTTAGACGAAATGTAAAACAAAATCGATCATGACATGAAATGAAAGGAAAGCTGCGATATCTATGAACAGAGTGTGTTCGGCTTTACTGTGATTGCTACTAACTTAACTGGGGCAATAGACGTGACTCAAAGTTGATCATCGGCGGCATGAGTCTGTCCCCACATGTCTAGGTCCGTGTAGCAGTGAATAACGTGGAGGGATTCGGATCGGGGATGTTGACCGACTCTCGACGAACAGAGCTGCGAACGCGAGGGGAGAGAGCAGTGCAGATGGTCTCTGCGGCTGCTTAGGTGACACGGCAGGCAGTAAGCTTTTGTTGCCATGGTCGTATTGGAGCTTCGCGGATGAGCTTCCGCGTTCCTGCACTGCATAGACGTGAAGAGAAGCGAGAGGATGACATACACTCAGACGCTGTGGGAGACTTCTTGTTAGCTTGTTCCTTCAGCTGTTTGCATGAGATGAAGGAGTCTTGGCTGGAGATTTTAAATTCTATCTCACTGCTGGTTTCTGGTGTGCTGAATAGGTATGTCAAATACTGATGGACGCCAGAAACGCGTTCTCTCCAGGCCAGCCAGGCCGCCCATTGTCACATCGAGGCAGATGTAAGGCGTCGACCATGCTGAGATCATCGGCCATGTGGTATGTCAAGGTTTCCTCAACTGCCATATGCAGTTAGACGAGGCTTAGTATACCCTTCTCTCCAGCCCTAGTGTCGAATTAAGCCATGCGGGTGGCCTTAAGCTGCATGCACGATCGCGAATCTGACTCTTGTTGGCCGGTCGTTGTTTGGAGAGACATTTGAGTGTCGTTGATCGTGCGCTGCTACTATGCACGCTGTTTGATAACGGTGCCGAACACATCCTCGTGAGATGTCAGACGTTAATAGAAGTCAGCTTAGTTTTTCTCTCCCTCCCTGATCATGCTCACGGCCTTAACCGCATACTTTGAGTCACCGTTATGGTCACCGCATAGGCAGTCATCGCATACCATCGGCACTGCGGCTGACATCTCAACTCGGGCCATACGGGACGTGGCTGAAGTCCTTGCTCTATTCGATCATATTAGACGACCGTAGGATGTAGCGTCGGCATGATCGAACAATCAGATTGTCCGGGAGCGCCTTGCTGATGTTAGGCGGGAAGGCACGGTGGTCAGGCACCTCGTTGCAGGATCGATGGGGTCAGTGAACGATACCACATGGCAAGCCCCCTTGTTGGTCTTGCTTATGTCCTGCCTAGTTCACATAGTTTGACACCGTTCGCCATCTTCATTTGGACATGTCGGGCTCTTGGCGGTATATGCGTGGCTGCGCCGAACGCTTCCTCGCGTTGTCCGTGAAGCGTGAACGTACAGGTATTGGTCGCATTCTGGAAACGCCCTCACGGCAGCGTTCCTTCCAGGAGTGAGCAGTGCTGCCACTATTGATACCAAGACGGAGGCTGCTGTTTACATCTCTTGGCTGCGATGTTGGTGGATGACTGGGCGTTGCGGTGCAAGAAGGAGGTTGACTTGGAGGACGGTATATAGGAAGACTGGTCATCACGGTCAGTATGCTCGAATATCAGCTCGATCGACCAGTCCCATCATGTACATTCCTAAGGCACTTGGCCTTGCGGTCACCCTTCTCGTTACCTTGTCCAACGCCTGTCCCATTGTGGAGCGGGTCATCGCGACTGAGGAGGGCGATTCCTCCATCGAAGCACGTCAGTCCTGCCCAACGAAGTATGACTACAGCCAAGGAGGTCGAGACTGGCACACCAAGTGTGCAGGTAAAGTCGAATCCATCATCCGGTGTTGAAAAGTCTGTGAACTGACATGAGGAATAGCTTGGGCAAAGTGTGGCAATGGCAAGCAGCAATCTCCGATAGATTTACCAGCCAACAGCTACGCAAAGACTCATACTCCAGCTTTCGCGTTCCCTGGAGGAGCTGTGCGTGGTGAGATCTTCAATAGGGGCTTTGGGCCGGGTGAGTGTAATCGCTGAAAGGCGTCTTCAACTCGCGAAGACTTGACTCCGACATTATGGTACCTTCCAATGACAGACTTCGACAGAATGGCACCCCGCTGCAGGAGCTGCAGTGCCTACAATCCGCTTCGATAATGAGACGTACAATCTTCTCCAGTAGGTCGACCACAACTTTGCGTGAGGCACAGAGCTGATTTGTACCAAGATGGCATACCCACACTCCAGAATCCGAGCATGCCTTTGGCGGCAACAAGCGCAGAGGAGAAGTCCATTTCGTTTTCGGCACGGGCTCGACTCCCAAAGCAGTTGCTGGCATTGGCTTGGACTACGGAGCAGCCAGCACGTTCTTCGCTGCGGTTTTCCAGCAGCTGGACTCACAGCGTCGTGACTTGCCTCCTGTTGGTTCGACGGCACGCTATCCGATCTCGATCGACTTCTCCCAGGGCATCTTGGGCCCTAATCATTTCCGTACTTTCTGGACGTACGAAGGCTCCTTGACTACTCCTACCTGCGGAGAAGGCGTGCGGTGGTTCCTGGGTGGCTGGACCCATATGCTCAGCGGCGATCAATTTCCCCGACTGAACAGAGCTAGTATTGACTCTGTGAGAGCGCTGCAGCCGGTGTTGGATCAGCATATCAATCTGTAATTAGCTCTTCTGGTACTTATCGTGTCATTGGAGTATGGAGTTTTGGCCACTTGGATAATCGAGCGTGGCGTATTAGATCTCTCCAAGCTCCCGCGAGCATCCCTTCTCTTGCTTTATAAGGTGTGTTGATCTCCTTGGTTCAGCATCCGTGAGTTAAAGTCCACTGTAGCCTTGCCAAGCGCATTGGGGTTCTTCGCTTTCAGCCCACTCTACTTCTGTACGCTGTAGCTGCATCGGCGGCGATGACACAATACAGGCTGCAAGAGCTTGAGGCCGGCCAGCTGGGCCCTCCGGTGGTGTTTCGTGATCACGAGACGGGATGTCGTGAGGCCGCACTCGGAGGTGTCGGCTTCGAGGCTCGCGTGATCTGCAGGAACGTCTGCGGCTCTCGACTTCCTCGCTCATCGGACGGGGATGTTCTCATTCTCGCCGCGAGTGAGTCAAAGCAGCCGGCAGACGGCGACGGGGCGACGATGGAAGAGCTCCGGTGAGCTCTCGCAGGTCCAATGGGCAACGTCAGCTTGACAGCAGCTGCACCGGTCATGCACCCCAGGTTATAGCCTCGAACCATCTGCAGTCCAGAGGTTCATCCGCTCTCCTGCTGCACGATCTGCGTCTCACGACTCCCGGAATGCCATCTGCGATCATGGCAGCAACAACAGATCGCCCGAGGGTTTTCCTGGATGTCTCCATCGGCGGAGACCCGGTGGGCAGGCTGACCATCGAGCTGTTCGTGGACAAGACTCCCAGAACATGCGAAAAGTGAGCACATGCGCGACCGCGCTCAGGCAGAGCTTGGTGAGCAGTCCTGACACGATGTGCTAGTTTCCGACGTTTGTGCACTGGTGAGCACGATGCGTTGTCGTACGCGAAGGTTCCCTTCCACCGAGTCATAGACGAATTCATGATCCAGGGTGGAGACATCACCAAAGGCGACGGCACTGGACTTACGAGCATATACGATGGCGAAGCTTTCGACGACGAGCAGCTCGGTTGGCGCGAGATGGACGCAGCAGGCCTGGTCTGCTCAGCCAACCGGGGAAAGGACACAAATGGAAGCCAGTAAGCACAAATCTTGTTCTATGAGGTGACGACAAAGGCTAACACAAGCCTCAGATTCTTCATCACCTTAGAGCCATGTCCGCATTTGTCAAGCAAACACACGATTTTCGGACGACTTGTAGCGGGGGAAGAGACGTTGCAGCGCATATCGAAAGTCGCAGTGGATAAGACTGATACTCCAGTCGAGCCGGTGTTGGTGTCACGCTGCGGCGAGCTGGAGAGGAAGAACAAGCAGAAGCGCGACTCCATTCAAGACGCCCGTGCAGCGCAGACAAATGGTGCAGAGCGAGGGCGCAGGAGGAAAAGCGACCCCTCGGACGACGAGATGGATACTGGTACACCTCCACCCAAAATCGGTCGACGCAGCAGAAGGCAGAGTGACAATGTTATTGACGAAGGCCTTCGAGGCAGACCGAGAGCACGTTCGAACTCACGCTCAGCTTCAAATCCAATCGAAGAAGAGGACGAAAATGCGGAGCATTCACCTGCTGCAAAGCACAAGCGGAAGCGAAGCCAGTCGCCCAGTCGACACATGGATCGCCGCGAGGAAGGTGCAGGATCGGAACGAAGGCGTCGAAGTCTCCCCAACCAGTACCGGGACAGAGATGGCCGAGACTACAACGACAGTGATCGATATCGGCCAAGTCCACGGCGACATGATTACAAACACGCTGGTCGGCGAGGCGATGATCGCTATAGGCCTTCAAGAGATCGTCGCCACGATGACGGGAGACTGAACAGCAACGATGGACGCCTCGGTGGAGGTTCCTCCGAAGCCTACGGAGACGCGCCAGTGAAGTTCAAAGGACGAGGTGCGATGAAGTATCGTGAAAACGACAGAGCTTGGTAATCTTGATGGTTTTACGGCCGCTTCCTCACTGAACCTTATCCTGTACTATAGGCATTGCCATTTTGGCGTCTTCCATATCGGCGGGTCTATCTTCTGCAATGATGATTGCATTCGCGAAACATACTGCTGCTCATGGTTCTTCCACGGAAGCATATTCAGGCTGATCGTGGCTGCCCCGCAGAACAAAATCCACTACGCCCCGCCTACCGCTCGCACTTCACATCATCATGCATAGTTATGCTGTGCTCAATGGCAAAGCAGGAGTGGCAAGACGCACGACGTCCGCGCAGGCACAGCACTTGCATGTCGAAGCAATATCCGGGTAAAAATGTGATCACTTTAGTGTCGGCGCAATGGCGAGAGAAGCTCTGGTGGTTGAGCTTATAGACGGCATGCGGCATTTACCTGCCTAATTGGCTATACAGGACACGACTTCAGGTTTGGGGGCGCCGGCAGGGTTAAGTTGCTCGATGCCCTCCTTGGTTCGCGCTTGCCAGCTTTTCCAGACCGCGATTATGTCCACCACAGCCACGCTCGTTGTCGGCGCCCTGGTCGGTAGCACTTTGGCTTCGTACCCAGGTAGCTCTTGGAAGCCGAAGCATAACAACCACTCACCCTGGGATCTGAAAAAGTTCACTTCACTCGTTACATTTGGCGACAGCTACACTGACGACTCACGACTCTCGTACCTTGGACAGACCAATGGCTCGCTACCACCTGTGGGCTACGCAAATCCAGCAGTGAGTCAAGTCCTTCACGATCGATATTGCATCACTAACGCGCCGTGCAGAACTACAACTCTGCGAGTGGTGGTCGACCATGGCCTCAATACGTAGCACAATATTCCGACATCCACCTCTACAACTACGCGGTCTCCGGTGCTGTATGCTCGAACGACATCACTCCTCGTACATACAGACCAGGCATTCTATTCCCCAGTGTCGAGGAATATGAAGTTCCAGCCTTCATCGCCGATAGCGAATATGTGGAACCCAACGGCGACAAGTTCATGATCAACCCACCCGACGAAACCGTCTACTCAATCTGGATCGGCACCAACGATCTCGGCAACAAGGGCTTCTTGACCGATCAGCAAGTCCGCGGGACCAATATCGTCAACTACACCGACTGTGTCTTTGATGCCTTGAAGCAGTTGTACGATCAAGGCGGAAGATACTTTGTTCTGCAGAATATTGCACCACTGAATTTGGCGCCTGTTTACGCGCTTCCGGAGGATGAAGGCGTTGCGGGAAAGGATAAGTACTGGCTGGCGGATTGGCCGCTTGACAATCAGACCGCCATGTCTTATCGGATGTTGGAGCAGGTTGTGACTGTGAATGCGATTTTTGAGTGTCAGACTCCTTTTGTGAAGAGGATTAGTCGGGAGTTTGAGGATGCGAGGTTTGCGATTTTTGATATGCATGCTTTGGTGAGTTTTCTCTTTCATCCCTCCAGGAGTCGCTTTCATTTACTTACTCTGCCATGTGACAGATTTCGGACATCTATTACAACCCAGCTTTGTATCTCAACGGCACCGCGCCGCTCAACGTGCGGGGATTCGACAACCAGTGCAACTCGACTGGAGGCGATTGCGTGAGGTCTGACAGTCCTGACAGCTTTTTGTGGTACGATGCGTTGCATCCCAGCGAGCAAGCGGATCGTGTCTTTGCGAGAGAGTTTGTTGAGGTCGTCAAAGGTACCAGCAGATGGGCGAGATATTGGTAGAGAAGTCGTGGAAGCGCGAGACATGGGAAATAGATGGATCTTGATTGGGTCTGAAATGATATAAGCTCGCCTTGTACTACCGACGTCCAATTTAACTTCCGAATGATGAGACGACTTGGGCTTCTTGTTTGACCACACTCGCATTAGGTTCTCATCTCCTCATGTATATCAACGGCGGCCGCTTGGCAGATCTGAACTACTGCAGATCCAAACTCTCGTGTCAACGCCACGGCGAAACCTCGACATGCCCTTCAAAACCGTCGATCCTGGCACGTGTCTTGGTGTTTCTACTTTCCCTGCAGAACAGCTCTGATGTCCTCCAAGAGCTCCCTCATCTGGTCCATTGCACATCCTCACGAACAGAGCAGTGTTGTGAAACACTTTCTATTCATGGTCTCCTGGCAAGGTGTCGTTGGCCGTCGGGCGCCTGTCGCCTCGCCGGCGGCCACTCGGCGTAATCCGCATTTCATCATAGTCAAATTTCTATGTCGTTGTTTCTGGGCAACAACCACGAAACGCCCGCCCAAGCCGCTTCGGGAAACCGCCAACACTTGAACACGAACACTCCAGAATTTGGCCTACGAAATCACTGCCTCGAAGTCCGGCCAAGCACTCTACGATCAACATGCAAACAGCCGTCGGATGCAGGTCCTTCCTTCCACACATATGTCGGAATCTACAGGCAGCGGAGCTTTATCCGGCAGTAGCACGCATTGTGCAGAAGTGGAGCTCAGGTCAAGCTGGATGCATCACCTACTTTTGAGCGACGAACGGCCTTTCCTAGATGCAAAGCCATCGTGCACTACTCTCGAATTTGGTCAGCATCTAGGCTGTCGCAATCCGACGAGCTGGAAGTCACGTCTCAAGTGCAGGCAACTTCAGCAGGACGAAGAGCAACTGCGACTTCCAAATCAATTGCCGGGCTTCCTAATTTGGCAATACTTTGGCTTCATCAAGCAGTCACGCGTGATGTCACGCGTGTCGCGCGTTTGATGAGCTCAGCGATATCAAGGATTCCAAACCTTTTCCGCACAACGGCTAGCGTCATCAGCTCGCGTATTGCAGTTCTGTACGCAATCAGGACGCCAGGGAACGGCAGACAAGCAAATTCACGCTCAGCGACCCGGGTTGGCGCCACGCAGCAGACTCGATGCGCTTTATCGCATACAATTGGCCTGGAGCTCAGCAATACTTCCCTATGCACGCCCGATTGCTCCCAATGTGTATGATCAATCCACCCATCTTCCACAGCGACGACGTGATGCCAAGCACCCACCTACCGAAGGCTTATGGAAAGGCGCGTTTCTGGTCGCTACGCCCGGGAAACTTATTGCCAACTTGTTCACAGCACCTCGGCCGCGCACGACAGACCGGGTGTGGATCAAGGACGAAGCCGACCCTTTGCTGTGCATATCCCAACGTTGGGCACCGCTTGCTGTCACATACAGAGTCGGTCTCCTAATGCTTTGCATGAAAGAATTGCGCCATCGCCGTCGCAAGTGGAGCGATTTCCGGCCAGCTCTGGGCGATCGCTATGGAACATTCTTCGGCGACCCCACGACGCCCGATGCCTTTTGGGCTGCGGCGACAGTGTGTCTGCGCTCGGGCAATTCGAGACCATTTGTCTGCCGCAGCAAGTCTCCTGCGGTGCTTCCTATCCTCTTCTCGATCGGCGCAAGTCCAGCGAAATGCGCTCGAGGATCGAGACTTGAAGGCGCTGCGCGACATCGCTGTGGAATGCCTGTGAAGCGAAGGGTGTCGCGCAAAGTCTCGACGAGCGGTCCGCCTCCTAGACTGTGCTGAACTCATCAGTACTGCCTCCCGTGCAAGTTGGTCTGAGAAGTGGTAGCTCATGGAGAAAGTGTTGGTGTTCTCCGCTAGCATTTCTTCACCAACAGCCACCTCTAGGCAAAGCATTCGATTCGATCGCAGCGAAGAAAGATACTCTGCACCGATCGTTCGTGAGTTGGCCGCACCGCATGCATACTGCTGTGCTCTGCCAAAGTATGAATGGTCGGCCAACTATCCGAGACCGCGCCAACCCGCGCCAACTGCAGGCTCCATGTTGGGCAACGCCAAAGCGCTCAGCGGGAACCTCCAAGGGTACCTGGACTGGCAGTCGCGTCCTCCTCTTCTGCCCCATCGGGAGACGGACCGATCAAGTCTCCTCCGGATCCTCACTGTCCAGGAGTAGGCGTGTTGCAGGCATGCACTTCTCCGGCACGAAGAGCGATCTGGTCGGTGCGACGCGGTGCTGGATGTGAGGCTGATGTTGTTTGACGTGAACTCGACCGTGCTCGTCCAAGCATCATAGCCAGCGCTGCGCATCGTCCTATGCTGTCTGCAGAGGTGGTTTACACGGTACCACAGAGGCGCGCTGGAACTTCTCTCAGTCCGATCGCCGCTTTCGGGTCCAGGCCTATCTTGAGTCCGCTCATCGAGCTCGATTCCCACAATCTGTACTGTGTCATTGCTAGCGGCCGATTCGCGTTCGGGCTGTCTGCGGAACGAGGAATGCGGATGATGCCCTTGCGACTGCGGCAGCTTGACGTTAATGAAGAATCTGATGCGCGGGACGAATTACACGATCGTCTCATCAGGCCTGGGATGACATGCGAGCAAAAGTGACTTTTGGCACGGGCGACAATCGTGATGCTCGGAGTCAACCCCGATCACCTCATTCGAAGGAAAGACAGACATTTCCCCAGCGTCCAGCAGTATGTCGAATTCTGCTCCACGGCGTTGCGCACTGTCTCGTTATAAGTGTATAGTGGATCGCAACTGTTTGAAGTGAGGTCTCGGGAGGCGCTAGAGGGCCGGCGCCGGAAATGCTGCTGATGTCACTGGAAGCTGTGCTTGACTGCAAAGTCATGGTAACCACGCTGGAGCATTGATGGTCCTCGGTGCGCACAAGTAAAGTTTTGCTTCGCCGCAGGCTGTTGGAAGTCCAGACGAGTCGGCATCATGATTCAGCCATCGAATACCGACTACGGTACCACGTTCGCTGTCGATCTGCCGGACGCCGACCAGCGATCTTTGTGAAGTGGTGTGGCGGTCTACCACGATTGCTGGAACGCCGAGCAGCCAAGCCTAATCCGACAAGTCTTCAGCACTGGTTCGTGAAAGGGACCCGTTCGCCTAGAGAAAGTTTGCTTGTGGACCCAACCTCATAGTCCTTGTTTGTGCCTATAGGGTCTACCCGAGCACAGGGAAGCTGTGGACTGCGGTTGCAACATGGTCCCCGCACGTGTCGGCATCAGAAGGACGTGCTGATTATCGCCACTCGTGTGCTGCATCGCTCCATTGGCTCGCATGGCAAGGTACAGAGCACGTAGCGTATGCCGATGCATCTGGTCGCCGCCTCTTCATAACGATCAACTCGAGGCCTGCGGGCGGCGTACAGTCGTATCGAAACGAGAGGGTCACCATTCACACGTGAGCCAGCTAAGGATGGACTAGACATGGAGTCTCTATGCAGCAAAGACTTGCACTAGCCCTAGTGGTGAGCATTTCTCCGCCGCATGGTGGCTTTTCCTGCAATGCATTCCCACGAGTGATCTGGGCAGTCATCGGAGCTCATCTCCAGGCCCTCGGAGCAACATCCCGCTTCTACCCTATGACTGTAAAAGGTCTGACTTCTCGACCCTACCTGGAGGGACAGTAGTCGACGTTCTGGACATTTGTCATCTGCACAGCTATTCTGCTGCGTTGCCAATGACCTTGGTACAAGGTTTCTAGGCATCACTCTACCCTGCGCCCATCACCACATTGCGACGCCGGCTCTCTGCCATCAGTGAGCACCCAGCTATCGTGAAGTGGTGAGCTACCACACTACAAACTGGCATCGGCTCACCCTCGTCGCGGTGCGCGAGTTCGAGCCGTCGCCGAACCGATGTCTGACGAAAAGGCGAAGGGGAGGGCGAAGGGGCGCCGCGCACAAGTGGCCAATGCCTGCATTACTTGTCGGACTGCTAAACTGAAGGTTCGTCTGCTCTGCGCTATCTCTTGCTCTGGCAGGATGCGCTAGCTTCCCACCGATGGTCTGCTAATACATGTACGAAGTGCTCTGGACAGCACCCAACATGCGCCCGCTGCCGGGATCGAGAACTGGTCTGCGAGTACGACGTGTCCGAGGGCATGACCAAGCGACAGCAGCTTCGGAATGATTTATCAGATCGCTCGCTCGAGCTGGAACGAGCGATGGGAGTTCTGACACACATGCAGCAGGCCAGCGATCATGAAGCAGCGGAGTCTCTGGCGCGCCTACGCATAGGTTCCTCCATTGAGTCCGAATACCTCCGTATCCAGTCGCAGCGCGCCTCTCGCTCTCCTAGTTCCGACGGCATCTCGCGCTCGCATTATTCAGCGAGTGCCAGTAATCCTGACCTGGATCGTACTCTGGCATCGCAAAATCAACGACTTCTCAGCCTGCTGAACCCAGCAGCGCAACAGCAACAGCAGCAGCAGCAGCAGCAGGCGGAACAGCAGCCGCAGCCACAGCCGCAACCAACCACACAAGCCAATTGGTCTCAATCGCCAAACGCTGCAGAGAACTGGACTGGTACTGATCGAAGCGATTGGCGAGCGCATGACTACCACAGCATAGATCCTCAAATGCTTGACCAAAGCGGTGTTCCGTCGCGAGACCCGGGCCTATCGAGCGCTGGCACAAGCTATCCGCAGCACTATCCTTATCGACATCATCCTGAAGCTCGTCCTTGAGAACGAAACATGGGTCATCACAAGCAGCACGACTATTCTGTCCACACTGCTCGCGAGAAGAGGACTTGTGGATCGTGCGAACATTTACGCTGCTCGGAAGCCGGCCAGGTCAAAATGCCGCCAGAATGACAAGAGCATGGAGCAGCAGCAGCCCCGAAGCGACGCCCTCCTCGGTACACTCGGCTTTTTGTGCAGCAACCACTTGCCACCGAAGCTCCGTACACCACGAAACAAAATACCAGGGACCCGCCTCGAGACGACAGTGCGCAAAGCCGGACAGGATACTTGGTGCAGGGACAATCAGCAGAAATAACTTGCATTTCGGTAGCTTGGGACTGCGGCAAGACCCTAGTTCTATAACGAATGCTGTCTGGATGCTCTTGGAACGAAGGATTCTTCCGGGACAAAGTCAGCCTAAGGTGACAGTTTCGCCTGCGGCAAAATCGACAACAGCATTTCAGCAGCTTGCTTCTTGGCTGATCATTCGTTCAGCCCTGCAATCCGCAAAGTAGGAGATTTACTGCTCAGCTTTATGTGCGCATCGATGCACTGGCATCGCGCAGTCGGGATCGCGAGTTGCTCTAGATCGGCTCAGCTGTTCACGAATAAAGAATATCATTTGCTCGAATTGAATCTAGACGCTTCTCCACATTCCGAGCATGCGTCGTGCTCTCACTGTGGCGTCGACTGTCAATCAGGAAATCGACTTCCGCTTTCGACTTAGAAGCATTGCAATGAATCTGGCTTGCGTTTTGTTTGGCGAATCCTTTACACCCGCAGGACGATCACATCACGAGTCGCATGCATGGAAGTCCACTACTGCGCATGGCATGCAGGTCAGCGAGCGCGTCATCATAGTGCTATGTGCTCAGATCTGGCTAAGCCACTCATGCTGAAGCGGTTGACGGCATGCCACAGGAAGTGGATCTGTATCGGATATGAGTTGTCTGTCGATCCGGCCTGGGCGTGGACCATGGGCGCCACAGGGTTCCTCACTGCCGGCCGGGGGTCGCTTGCGGGATCTGGAGCAAGCGTACGGCAATAAGTCAAGACTTCACATTGGACAACAGGTGATGGAGGACGAGGCCAAGGTTGCAACTCGCGACCTGGTACATGCCGCCGCCGAGCCGCCAGATGTGCTCATGGCGAGGTACACCTGAGACAGCGCCGTTCTCCGGCCCCACCAGCACGGGCGACGAACGTGACACGACGGTACCGCACGGCGACAACTTCGACGAAATGTCAGCAGCCCGAGGCTCGCTTTCGTGAGAGAGACATCGCATTGTGATCAGCGATCATTAAGCAACATGCCATGCAATTTGGCTCGAGCCTCGACGTGTCGACGTGAAGTTGGTCAATTTAGGCTCGAATTTAGGTTTGGATGTTACGTCAGGCGTTCGTCCGAGCACCCATTGGACTGCCCATTCTGGTGTGAGTGCCGCATCCCAGCCACTTATGCGCGGCTGTGCAGCAGAAGCTCGAAATGCTTGATGCAAGAGGAGATGTGTGTGAGATCTACGAGATCCGAGATCTGACGCACCAACGTCATGTCGCCTAGGGACAATAGACACGGGTTGTCTATACCGCTGAAGCTCGATATCTATACTTTCTCCGCACAGCATTCCAAAGCGGTCTCATCACAAGCCACGACGCCTCACGCTGGGACCATCGAAGCCTTCCCGAGGAGAAGTTCTTCCAAAGCGAGCTCACGATCTGCGTGCTGCAGCTTCGTCGAGATGGAAAGAACCGTGACGAGGCTCCAAAACACCAAAACTGAAGTAACGATCAGCAACGCCAAGCGCAGCTCGTGGCCGTTAGTCCCGTGTAGATCTTACAAGCTTCAAAATTTTGATTTCTAGATCCATCATTTTATCCATACTGCATAGCCTGTATTCTACAGGTCGCTTGAACAGTGGCCAGTGCGGGAACAGATCTGGGCCTGCGAATCCTGCTAGAAGAACCTGGATCTCACACTTCACGCCGCCAAGCTTCAGTGAAGCGAGCCTGAGAAAGAAACGCCAGTCAACTTCCCCCGGGTTTTTTTCCCCAAGATCGCCATACATAAGGTTAAGCCGCAAAGTGTGGCTGGAAGTTGAACATCGGCTACACCAGTCGAAAGCTTCAAACTAAGGGCCCGTTCGGTGCGCCGTTGTTCAAGGGCATTATCGTTATTCAGAATGTGTCTTGGCGCATTAATTCAAAGTTCTGCGTGGCATTCCTGTCGCGTTCGGTCGACGCTTCGTGATTCAAGATGGAAATTCAATCCAAAACCCAGTAGAGTTCGGTATGCAGAACCTAGCTTATCCAGCCAATCCGTAGATGTTCCGGCCTACGCCACTCGATATTCCTCGATTCTGCGTGTGCATTCTGCATGTTGGTCCCGACCAACATGTCGCCGCGCTCGAGCACGTTAGCACGTGAATTCTCGTTTTTCGAGGGATTCTTGAAGAGGCACTTTTTTGAATTTTGGTGCACCGAACGCACCCCGATATCCAATTCATTATCGTGGCTTACGCTAACGGAAACCTAGAGGCTCGATAACGGCCGTGCATCGCTGCATTGAATAATCTGATTATCCGCGCACCGAACGCGCTCTAAATGTGCTAGTCAGTAGTGTGGTTGTTCGCCAATAATGCAAGGCATCGTTAGCCGAAGTGAATTGCTCGTATATCGTACTTGGCACATGGAAGTCAAATAGAAGTCCAGCAGTGGAGCGAGCATCGGCCTTATTGTGAGGCTGATCGAAATACAGAAGTGACGCACGTGTACCGGGCCCGATTCGCAGATCTTGCAGGTACACAGGACAGGCACGATGAACGATTCGATGGACGAACGGGCTGAGCCATCTTCCAAGCTTCCAGTTCCCAACCTGGCGGTTCACCCGCGATCGAGATGCTCGCGTGCGGCTCATGCAGCAGCTCTCGTGGCCCTTCGGCATGAGATCTTTGGTAATGTGTTCGTAGGGACAGCTGGCAGGAGGCTGCGTGATCTACGCATCTTGGCTATAACACTGGTCAGATATGTGTGCTATCTTGAGCACAATTCATGCAGGACGGCTGCCACGTTGGCAACAACGCCGCCTAAGGCTGACCGCTACGTCGGACCTGGACGCGGCAGAGATCGCGGAACAGCTGGAAGTGGCGCCTTGTCGTAGGTCAGAAGCATTGCATGCATTTTCAGTGCTCGCACGGTCTATCATGCTTCATGTGAGCTCAATGACCAGTGGTGTCCGACAGCTGACTGTAGCTTCTTTGTCCCGCAGTCTCGTATCTGGGTCGGGAAAGTTGTGTCCAATGCTGTGCTAAACTCCAACAATTCTCATATCATCAGTTGACAACGGTGGCTCATTGTAGGCCCGGGGAAACTGTAGGCCCGGGAATGCTGCTGTTGATTTTGAAGCCGTGGATCAGAGAACAGAGGTGAAGCCGTAAACGCCAAGCATTTTGCGGAGCGGCAGCGGACCCCCGAGATCCTCATTGGGAGAGAGCATCTACTGTGATCGAACTTCGTGAACCACCATCCCACTTCACCACCACCATGCATTGCACCTGCAAAACGCTGCTCAGCAGCGTCTTCGCCGCGCCGCTCGCCCGCTCTACGACCTCGATACCCCCGACTTTCCTCGCGCCAGCTCTCGCTCTCAATCAAACGACCTCCTTCTCCACCAGCACTCGCCAGCACGCGCGTAAAGATGGCAACCCCGCTCGAGGAGTTTCCGCTCTCCGCCGCACCGGTCTCAAGAAACAACGACTCTCCATCACCGCTGCCGAACTGCCTAAACCCGTTCTCGACCCATCGCGAAGATCCCAAGTCGAAGTCGATGAGGATCATGGACTCTGGGAATTCTTCCCATCTGATAGGAAGTCAATGGCAACACCGGAAGAGCTGGTCCAGCATGGCCGCTCTTGGGACATGAGAGAGTTGAGACATAAAGATTGGGATGATCTGCATCGGTTATGGTGGGTTTGTATCAAGGAGAAGAATCGGTTGTTGACGTATAAGCTGGAGAGGGAGAGAGTGAAGAATTTGTTTGGACAGTATGAGTCTGATCAGAGGGAGGATGAGGTGAGTACTTCACTCGCGCAAAGGGATCAATTTGTGGTTAGGGAAATGATATGCTGATACGGTGGAACAGATCAAGAAGACGATGAAGCGTATCAAGCAAGTTCTGACAGAGCGTTGGTATACATGGGAGAATGCTCGACAGGACGCGATGCAGGATGAGGAGATCAATATGTATGCTGATCTGGATGCTGGAGAGCCGGCTTATTTGCCAAAGGAAGAGGTGAGTGAGGTTGCTGTCGGGAGTGGCATGAAACAAGCTAACTGGAACCAGGCGCAGGGTGAAGGTATATCAGACGCTCTTTCACAAGCTACTCTTCCACCGCCAGGCGAAGCTTCGAGGCCTGAAGTACGAGCTTGATAATCTGTACAATGTTCGTGTAGCCATAATGTACAAATTCCGCCAGAGCGACTTTCTCACAGAACAACCCTTGGCCTCTTTGATGAGACCGACGAGGAGGGCAACCCATTTTGAGGCACCCATGACCATAAAGTGTACAGCGCGCTCTTCAGCGCCTTTAAAAGCAAACAAGCAATCCCGGGGTATCACCCTCTATCATATCGAACGCCATCGCTAAGCAGCAAGCAAAATTTCCCCCTTCATATCGAACCATGCATGATCAAAATCGTAGTCAGTTCAGAACAGACATGAGCATCTCATCATCGTCCTCCAGAGAACGAGTCACCTGCTCCCGTCGAGCAAAGGCTGCCTTGACTTCTGAAAGCAGGGCTTCTGGGTTGGTCACGTCCTTGTCCCCGCCAGCGCTCACGAGCAATTGGTGCAAACTGGCCGTGAGTGACAGCACACGTGAAGAAGCCGCATCGAGACCTTTGGCCATTGGTATGGCTGGCTCGTTGTAGCTGAGCAAGGAAGTAGTCACATTCGTCCTTCCAGTCATATTCATGATGGCCTGTGGGGAGGTCCTGTAGTCCAAAGTGAGGTCGTGCGTTCCTTTTCTGGCAGGCGTCCGCTCAAGTGGCAGTCTCGACGACTTGGTGCGCCCCAGCTTGTTCGAGCTCTTTCTTCTCGGCAGGACACTTTTGTCTGTATTGGGACGATACTCTTGGTCGCTGACATTCTCACTCGTGACGACAGGTGCATTGACGTCCAATTCCTCCAAAGCTCTTCTCTCGCGAGTCCTTCTTCGCTTTGGTGCACGCTGATCAGCCTGCTTGCGCGGAGTGGCCTCCTCTTCTGCAAGGCCGATCACTTCACTCGCGGGAACGAAGCCTAGCTGCCGCTTGTGTCCGTTACTGGTGTGCTGCGCCTCGGTCAAGTCAAGTGTTTCGGGTTCAGGAGAGGCATGGACGCGAGCATCGTCGCTCCGTCCATAATTCCGGCGCTCGATCATAGATGAAATCGCATCGCTTGCATTTCTACCAACAAAGTCTCGAATGTCGCGATTGCGCTGTGGCGGAGTCAATGCTCGAGGCTCGTCGATCAGGTCGCCCAATTCTCCCCGTGCCACAAGACCATCGTGATTGTGTTGCGTGTGATTTTGTCCTCGTCTTTGCTGGAACCGTGGCTGCTGCAGATGATCAAACCACACGTTCTCTCGAGTTTGACCTGTCGTTGGGAGCTGGAAAGGCTTGTTCACTCGATTCTGTGCCGGTGGCTTTCGGGCACTGCGTCGGGGTCTTGAAACAGAATCTGCAATGCCTTCAAGTGGCGTACCGGCTGGTGGCTCGAATGACGGGCCGTAGTTGTATTCGACGGGGTGGTGAACATCGGGCGAGGGCAGCGGAGAATATACCTGTGGCGGTGGAAGTGCGGATGAGCCGATCAGTCTACCGTCTCGAGCTAGTCGTATATCTGGAACGTGAGCTGAGGGATGGAAGCCCTCATTTGGCGATGGCGACGAAGGTCGCGGAGTTGGCAGTGTGCTCATGTTAACACCGCAACGCTGTTTCGTTGGCGAACTTGACGTCGTTAACAAGCCAGCATTGTCTGAATCTTCTTGCCCGCGCAATGGCTGAACGTCCTGCATCGGCGAAGACCGTCGGAGGGAAGCATTGAGCTTAGCTGCAATCCAAGGATTCGAAACTGTCACGTCGTTCTTGGAGCGCCGCATCTCTGCTAAATCGTCCTCTATGTGACTCGTGGGTGGACGCTGATCAAGCAACTCCAGATCTTCCTCGTCACACCCATACATGGTGGATCGGTACGCTCTTGGTGGTAATTCGTCATCGGGGGCGTGTTCGCCTCCATGAGCAGGTATTGAATCCGCTCTCATAAGTGCTGGAGTTGCCGAAGGATGTCCAGCAGCATTTGCAAGTTCCTGCTGCTGTTGCTCCCCACGCATGTCTGGAACGCCTGGACGTGCTGGTACCTGCTCCTGGTCAGGATCTGCTGCGGAGAACAGTTTGCGGGCGATCTCGAGAATTAAGCTAGAGTCTTCGAATAAGAGATCGTCTTTCGCAGGCTCCAGGTTAGCGTCGTAGCTACCGCGGGGACAGGTCAGTTCAAGGTAGAGAAATGGGTCCTTGATATCTGCAGAATCCGGGGCTGCTTTTTTCAAGGCGTCACGAAATATCTTAACGATCTGCTTGAAGACTCCTCTGCTAGTAGAGACTGGTCGAGCATCAACCGAAATATATGCTCCAATGCCGATGATTTTGCTTGCCTCTGCATCGGCACGCGGGAGAAAAGCCTGTAAAGTAAATCCGCCGTCCTCGAGTATCGACCACATACACTGCGAAGCGCAGGCTGCACCGACGACTTTGAATGCTGCATCTTCGGCGTTGCCACCAGGTTTCGGAGCATAGATCCAGTCGCCCTTATTGTTCTTGGCTTTCAGCACCTTCAGAGCAAGTCGGACTCGAGGTCTTGCGAAGGCGTATGCTTGAAGCGTGCGCTTGATCTTCTTCAAGCAGTTCTCGGTATTTTTGAGCACAACTTGTCGACGAACAGGATTGGCCTTGATGAAGTCGGTGATACGGACAGTGGTGCCAACAGGTAAAGACGCTTTCTCTTGAGCAACAACTTCGCCTTTCTGGCTGATCTTAAGAGCTGCGGCAACTTGCTCCCCTTCAATCTTGGTACTTATCGTTAGCGAGCCGCTCAGCTGCGCAGCACTCGCAAGTGCTTCGCCTCGAAAGCCGAGCGAGGAGCCGCCAATGTCTTTGAGATCATCGTCGTGCGTTATTTTCGACGTGCAGTAACGGCGTGCAACAAGTGCCCGGTCTTCAGGTACAATGCCATGGCCGTTGTCGCGGACCTGAATCACATCAATGGTGTTGCTGTGAATCTCTACAGCGATCGAAGTTGCATTAGCATCGTATGCATTATCGAGTAGTTCCTTGACCACGGCGGCGGGATCGGTCAAGACCTGCGATGCGCCCAGCGCTCGCACAGTAGCTTGTGGTAGTGCTTGGATACCCATGGTGGCATGACCGATGCTCTATCCGCGCTGAGAGGTACAGCCCATTTGCATTCTCATAGCTTCTAAGAAGAAATATGTGGAAGTGTTTGAGATGAGGTTGATGAAGTAGGACGCGTCGTGGCACGCGTCGGATGAGATCTGACTTCGGCTCCCGAGTCGGGCAGATGTCATCATCGCAGCTTCCCATTGCAACGACGTAGACCGCCAGCTCTTTCCTTCAATTTCTCACAACACTTCATCCCATTCAACTGCAAACACTTCCAACACCATGGCTCTCGCACCCAAGTTCGCCGGCCAGAAATTCGTGGCTAAAGCCTCACCAGAAACCCTCCACACCCTGGAGCTCTGTAAGCCTCTCTTTCGCCTCACTCCACCCCACCATCATCAAACAAAAGTCGCCATGCTAACAAACCAACACAAAAAGACCTCGACTACGTCTGCCCCTTCAGCAAAAAACAATTCGACACAATCTACGACCAAGTCTTCCCCCTCATCAAACAAAAATACCCCGACAAAATCCAATTCATCTTCCGCCAACAAATCCAACCCTGGCACCCCTCCTCCACCCTCGTCCACGAAGCCGGCGTAGCAGTCCTCCAAACTGCCCCCAACAAATTCTGGGATTTCAGCAAAGCCCTCTTCGCCGCACAAACAGAATATTTCGATGCCAATGTCGTGAACGAGAAACGAAATGATACTTATAAACGCTTGGCGAAACTTGCGGGGACTGTAGGGATTGACGAAAAAGATATTTATAGTCGATTGGAGATTTCTGATAAGCCGGATAAGGATGGAGGGTTGAATGGAGGGAATCAGGTGACGAATGATATTAAATTGTTGGTGAAGGCGAATCGGTTGCAGGGGATTCATGTTACGCCGACGGTTATGTTTAATGTGGGTCGATCGTCCTCTTTGCATCCCACTGAGATGTCCTAATGTTGTTGGTCACTGACTGATATTCGTGTGATAGGGATACCCAGAGAACGGCATCTCGTCGAGCTTCAGCAAGGATGACTGGGAGAAGTGGTTGGAGAAGAATATTGTGTGAGCGCATGCGAAGTGACTCTAAACTTGGACGTTCTCTAATGATGAAGTGTTGGTAATGAACACAAACTTCAAGCCCGGATCTAATACAGCGGGTTATGAAGATCTCAGAAGCTCAAGTCCGCCACATCTCAAACATGCTGGTAGAGCCACATCCGCTCATAAATGAATGAAACGAAAGAACTGCTACTCGTGGCAGAACGGCTGACATATTGATATGTAGTCTTCGTCTCAGGTCTGCTGGACACTGTCACTACTGCCACAGAAGCTTGAATGATCCAACCTGCAGAACGGCTATGATCTTGCCAGGTGGGCGAAGACTGTCACCTTCTCAATATCTAGCCCCTTGCCGTCGCCATTATCGCCGGCTTTCGCAGCGGCGACCTCGATCTCTATCCTGTTTACGCCGTGTGATAGGTTGCCATCATAAGAATGTGTGCGCTTGCCTGTCTCCTGGTGGTAGGTCGTGTCTCGTTGCGTGAGGCGCGTACCATTCATGGTGACAAATATTTTGTACGCTCGATTGATTGCCAGCTCGCGCGATATCGTCGGCTGGATCTGGAGAAAGAAATGCGATGCGGGTAACGTGATCGTTGTACTCTGTTGCGATAGTGAAGGGTGCGGCGGTATCGAGATGCTGAAAGGCTTGGGTACCTTCAGGTGAGGATGGGTGTGTAATGTGACCAGCGGCAGCAGGGCCTCAGATGCGGAATACTGTCGCACGGCTGTAGGTGGCAGCAAGGAAGGTGCGGTATAAGAGTAGCTGTTGACGAGCGGTGCGGCTGGACCAGAGAATGGAGTTCCGCTTGTAGCGCGGACCATGGGAGGTGGCATCATGCAGTTGGTCGCAGGCTGCATCCCTGGCGCAACAGCATGAGGCGCAGGAGATTGACTGGGTATCTTCTCGTTCTTGACCATCTGCGCGGACGGACTGCCGCCTTGCCCAGAACTTTGAGGTCGGATTGGCCCAACTGAGGATTGTCTTCTAACTCCATTGACTCCTGGCATCGCTCGCGGGCCGTTCGGTGCATGAGAACCGTTCACGCCAGCCTGGACCATGTTTCGTTGTCGAGTGAGTGCATCATTGTCGACGGACATGCTAGGGCCTGGCGAAGGGCGGTTTTGTGACAGGTTGAGTGTGACACCCGATTTCGTCTGCGGTTGAGGACCACCCAGCTTGATCCGTGTACTCTGCGGTTCCTTGACCAGTTCTTTCGCCTCGGCCAACCTCGATTTGAAATGAGCCTGTGCATTGGTCAGTACTCGCGAAATCGCGCAAGAAGCGTTGTACCAACCTCGAGATCACCAGCCAGAGCATACATATCGCTGCCGTCTTCGTTGTAGTCTCGTGCGTTGCGCCAGATCCAGCTGACTTCCTGCTCGAAAGCATCCCACGTCTTGAAATCGGAAATACCAGTGGCTGCGTCTCGTCCGTGAACGCCCCGCACACGCTTCTGCACTCCCTTCAACGAAACTGGGTGCTTGATTACTCTGTAGTAATCTGTGAGACTTCGTGAGGGCAGGAAGACGAAGGGTGTGAAAATTTCGAGTCCCCTGTGAGGCGGTCAGTATGCAATGATATCCCATCGTCGGTATGCAGCAAGCCTACTCTTCATCGGTATAGCGGATCATCTCAGCTACAATCATCTCCTGTGCTTCTTGGAATGTCTTCCCGGTGAAGTCCATGCTTTCGTCCTCGCCGCCAGCTGCAGTACTAGGCGCCACGGAGGATTTCCGATCTGAAGGCGCCTCCGAAGCTTTCTCTGCCACCTTCTCAGAAGCTCGCGGTCCAAGTGATATCTTGAGCTTGCTGCTGGAATCTCGAGTTGCGCGATCTTCTTTGATAGCTGCCGCGGGCTGGTGGGCTGATTTAGCTTGGGCACTGGGCGTTCCTTGCGCATGATGATTGCCGTTGGTCAATGTGATCTTGGTCAGGCCGGGAATGGGAGTGGCGACTGCTGAATAGCTCGGATCTTGGTAGGCTGGGTTGTTGACCTTCATATAGTTGTAGATGAGCTTGCGTACTCGCTCTGCATCTTCGTACACTTCGCTCTTCGGCTCGTTGTAGTCCTTCGCGTTCTGGATCATGCGCTTGAAGTCGCTCTCCAGCGCACTCACGGAAGGATAAGCATCATTGCGCAGCTTCTCTTCGATAATGTTGATCGATATGGGCAGCCGGATGACCTGGTAGTAGTCGGGCAGCTCATCCTTTGGGGGCAGCTCGATGAAGGCATCTGTAATGGGTCGTCCGCTGCAAGCGAGGTCAGTGTCTGGGTGTGGTCGGGCGCTGCTTCGCTGAATGCACGTACGTCTTATCGGTGGCATTGCTGAGCTGCGCGATCAGCTTGTTGCCCACGGCCTGCACGCTCCGGTCGATGGGGGGTTTGGGGTTCGAGTTCTGTGTCGCGGCGCATCATGTCAGCGTGCATCGGGCAGGTGAGTGCAGACGGCATGGTGCTCGGGCGTGCTCCTCGTTGCGTGCGGCTGATGACGGAGGTGCTTTGGGTAGTGGGTAGCAAGATGCCGGCCATGCTCGACACTTCAACCCGTCGCGTAGTCTCGTCCTTGATCGACCCTCCACCTCAACTCAACCACGCACACCACAACCTGCACGCGCGCCCACTGCGCATCGCCGCCGCCCGCATTGCACGAGGAACCCGCCGAGCACATCCACCGAAGCGCAGGAGGAGGACAGATACATACCAGCAACTTGAGCTTCTTCGTCGCGCTCCCTTCGTTGGTTGTGGGAGTCGCGTGGAGGGCTTGCGCTTTGCGCTTCCTGCTGGACTCCATCGCGCGTCGGTCCAAGCTGTGCAAGATGGGGGACGCGCAGCTCTACGGGATCCTGCACCGAGATCTGGAATCGGCGAGTCGGCCAGAGGGGTGAATAACATGCGCCGGATGGGACAACTGCCTCGCTCTTCGCGTTGCAATGCGCTTGGGTGATGCCCTGGGCTTGGCCCGATTTGGCCGACTGCGGGAGTATCCGTCGCTCCTCGGCACACTTTCCGTCAGCGCCAGCGCGAGGTCCGTCGGACAGCATGCAAGGCGTTGTTCATATGAAAGCTATCGAGACTGCCACTGCAGGATCGACCGCATTCAAGACGCCATCTCGCACGCATTCTCAACAAATGCCATGTGATGATCGCTTGAGGGTCAAGCTCGCCAAGCCCAACATCTTCAACATCGGCAGCTGGCACGTGGCACGAATCAACCCTGCTTCGACATCTCCCTATGCCACTCGTGGTCTGTTGGCCTTTTGAGAACACGCATGTAGGTATGTAAACGGCTTGTATACGATCGCCCTATGTCGATTGGCCTCGGTCCCACCCGCTACACGGAGCTGGTGCGGCTAGCTAACCAACAACCTCGTTGCCGGCATGTCAAGCATCATATTTTCACCGATTTTCTGCACGGAGAAAGTCAATGTGCAATATTGTTGTTGTCAAGAGTGGCATGCCCAACGGGACACGAGAATGCTACGGAGCCAGGTACGCGAAGTGTGCGGCACGACTCGTGCAACAGGGAGTGATATGCCGCCCATGAAGCTTGCATCTCCCACTGTTCGGGCCGCTAGTCAACGGACTTACGGCTTTGGATTACACATTACTGCTTCCGTCGCATGCTCTCGCCCTCTCACAGTCAAGCAGTGGCCGTTCGCGAGCAGCATCGTTTGGAGACTCTGTGGAGCATGACGGCGTCTATGCAGCTACATGACCTGAGCAATGGGGTTCGTCAAGACTAGACCGACTCGGCTGCCAATCGCATATGCTTTCCGAAGGTCTGGCCCACACGCTCCCGATAGCTCTCCCACAGTTATGCCGAAAGAGTTACATCCGGCATTGGGAATCCCATGCGCTTATCACTTCATGTATTGACACGTCGGCATGTGAGCACTTACCTCAACGATAAGGCCTCAACATACAGAAGATAATCTCACGCGTTCGATTGGTCTGTGGAATGTGTTTTCGGTATCAAAGTTGCGGGTAACACGTTGCCTAGCCTGGACGACCCCGGAGTACAGGCTAAAGAACAAGCCTGACCCTAGGAGAACCGCAAATATGGAAGTATAACAGCATGGCATCGCATATGACAACGATAAGGAATAGCTCCACGTTGGCATTGATATGCCTCTACTCGCCGCGCTGAGGTTGCGGGTGTGGCTCCCGTCCCACTCCACACACCCGAGTATTTTCGGCCCACTCTCTACAGGCTCCTGATCATACCTAGCTTCGTGCTTTAAGCACCGCGCGGGATCACTTGGGTTGTCTTTCAGCATCGAAATACACTCGATCCGAAGCTGACAAGCAAAGCCTTCTCGAGGAGCCAACCAAAGTCCAAAAGTCGACTGCCAGATCAATCGAGCGCCTCATCTGCAAGCTACCGTATTCGTTCTCGGACTATACAATTCAAACAACGCTTCCCCCATCAATGCCTTCCTGTGCACGCTGCGCGGGAGGTGGATCAGTGGCGAAGCCTTGTGCTCCCTGTGGTGCCACAGGGCACATAAGGCAGCGAATTCGATGCTATCAATGCAAATCGAAAGACGCGCCGACCGCGGCGGCTTGTACACTTTGTCGTGGACGTGGACAATTGACTATCCCAGTCAATTGCACTGTCTGCGCGGGTAGGGGAAGCATCTTGAAATTGGCTTGCGGCGACTGTGGTGGAAACGGGATGGCTAGAGCTTGATCGCAAAGATCAGTCGGTCAACGAGGAGGCTGAGGTGGGCGAATCTGGCAGGAAACAACATTGCTTGTCTCAGCTTCAGTCTGGTTACTGAAGAGTTTACGTTCAATGCGACTTCTAATGCACTACTAAGTTATCTGCGGTGCATACATGGCATGCATATACGAAATTGGCATATTGGCTTGCACATTACTGATTTGAGGAGGAGCATTTCTGTTTGGTCCATCACGAAGCAAAGAGAATGAGACAATGCTATTTTTCGGGACAATAAGAAGTCGAGGGATTTCTATTGTTGATGGTGTATCACTCGACTGATCTTCGCAGAACAATAGAGGCTCAATAGTCTCGGAACGTGTTGCATCATGCCGATTCACTCTTTTCCGTGCCTGCCTGACTGCACCATTCACCCTCTTCAGCTTCAGCTTCTGACTCAATCGACCGAAACAACTCAGACGCGACTTCACAAGACACATACAAGACTCAAAGCTCCATACCAATCACAAACTCAACAAACACAGCCCAGTCGATAGAAGCTCGAACTTGCGCGCGATGGAAGCTCTCCGCGCAAGACTCGCTGAAGCTACAGATCCAGTCAGCCAGGCGCGACTGCGACGTATCATCGCCCAGCAAGAGCGAAACGCGCGCAACAGACAAGCTTGGGATGAGGATCGCGACCTACCCGAAAGCCCAGGCCAGAAGAGGAAGCGAGACGATGGGAAAAAACGCCCAGCAGAACAAATCTTCGCAGATATCGAGCGCGACTTGCGAGAAGAGGAAGCGCGTCAAAAGCGCGAGGCAGAATTGCGAAGGTGCGCAGAGGCACGCCGCCAATCTGAAGCAGAAAAACGCCGAGTCGAAGCAGACAGGAGAGCCCAGTACAGAGAAAAGCTACGTCGCGAACGCGAGCAGCGGGAGCGCGAGCGACGAGAGCGAGAGCAGAGAAGCGAAACGACATACCCACCAACACCTCGAGTTCCACAATCCGCCGTTGCCATTTCACTTCATACCATCACGGACTGGCGCCAACACGTTGCTCTCGCTTTCGCCAATTATTCCGCCATGCAAACCTTTCCTGCTCCACCTGCTGCTCCCTGCGGTAAACCTGAATGCCATCTAACCCGCGAACTGCGCACATTGGAAGCCTGCAAATGCAATGTCCAAGCCTGTATTCGGAGAGCTGGGTTGGTCTCCAAAGCACAGCTGAAGTCTGAGCGATTGAAGTGGCATCCTGATCGATTTGCTGCTTGCCCGGAGGGTGTAAGAGAGCAGTTTGCCAAGATGGGCCGAGAGGTGTTTGTTGTCGTCGACGGAATGTTTCAGGGGGAGGAAGGAGGCAGATGTGCTGGGTTTGATGGGAAGTGAAGACTGGTCGTAGCGAGTTGCTCAATTGCGTGCGGTGGTTCTGCTGGGTCGGAGGGATATGCGCCTGCTGGAGCTGCATCTGGTAAAAGGGGAGGGCAATCGTATAGATCTATAAACTTGGTAAAGGCCATTGGGGCATCGCTTTTTCTACTCCTAGAGACGGTCAGTATGACTGGCTCCATCTCATACAAGAAGTTTCAAGACATCACTCCTCGCTCTTGTGATATCGATGTCTGCCTCTCGTACTTTGTGTCGAACAGTCAAGCCAACCATGTGCCTGAAGTCGCAGGTGGCTCGAGTTTCATTTGGGGAGACTGTCAACATCTCATGCGGTATGACACTATCGGCATACGGATAGTGCGTCCTTTCTCTGGTACATCGTCATCTTCTGACGCCCCGAGCTGGAATGAACATAGCAAGCAATGATATATCGTCTGTTCGAGATATTGCTTGTTGCGCATGTTTGTGATTTTACATGTCAAAGCATGCCTGCTGCTCTCTTTGCTTGATACAAATCAATTAGATAGATATATACTGCTCTCTTCTCCTCTCCCGAAATTCCCATTGCATCCGCACACTCTCATCTCACGACACAAATTACAACACGGATCAATTATCAGAAGCCAACGATGTCACCGGTGAGTCCCTTGTGAATTGCTAGTGAATTGAATCTTTTCCCATGGACTATTCACTCAAGCGGGGCTTCGTCATTGGCCTTGCTCCGCCCTTAAATACACTACTTGCTTCTCATCTTCTATAAACCAACCAGCAAGAAAACATTAGCTGATTTGGACCTCGACTCAGACCCAAACAATCCAGACAACATCAGTACATTCCTAAACCATTTCACCAACACGATGCCAGCCCGCAACCGGGAACTCACCGTCCCGTACGAGAAGTACCCCTTGATGCGCCTCGCACTCCACCAACTTCGCCTCCACTACCCAACGCTGAATAGCCCAGCCCGCCTCGATATATTCAACGCAATTTTTCACGACCAGCTCGAAGAGGAAGGGTTCGAGGACGGGAAGGTGACAAGCCACGACAAGCTCGACAGCCAGTATCGCGAATCTAGGAAGGAAAAGAACAAGCAGAAGTGGTCCGGTATCATCAAGCATCAAGATGACCTCGATGACGAAGATTTCAAGGTCTATCAGACAATGATGGCCTTGATCAAGGTCAAGGGGCGAGAGCTTGGCAAGGAGATGGTGTCAACTGGGAACGGATCGTCCGATGAGGAGGATGAGGACGAAGACGACGACAGCGAAGAGGATCAGCCAATCTTCGAGTCATCGGTCCATATGAAGAACGGTCGGACTTACCCTGCTGGCGACATCGGACTGGCTCAGAAGTACAGTGGCGCCGGCAGCAGCGGTGACACGATGAGGTTGTACAAGACTTACGCTGGCGAGGAGGATTCGGGCGACGATGGAGCTCCAGGACCGAGCAGGAAGGGAGTTGCGAAGAAGGCGAAGAAGGGAAAGAAGGCAAGTGGCAAGAAGGGCAACTGAAGACCTCCGATTGATGGTATCGATTCTTTTGCTTTGCTTCGCTTCGTTTTTATTGCTTCTTGGAATTGGGCATGAGTTCTTAGGGACATTAGCTGGGCGTCTGAGGCAGAGAGCATTGAGGTATCCACTAGTTTGATCAGCAGCAGACTTCCATCGTCGATGATGTGAAATGATTTCTTTCCTAACATCTCTCAAATTCGTCACCATTGCTCTACATTCCATGGTGCAGTCGCTGTAGGACAGCTCTCGCGCAAGGAAACGAGAGTCTCTGCGATTTTGTCATTGAGGATGTAAGGAACGTAGCCGGACGACCGTGGTTCTTTAAAAGCTCGCAAATGAAAACTTTTTCTCCGTAGTGCGCTGGAAATGCTGATAACGCAAACACCACCGTCTGACACACAGCTTTGACCCTCAGCCACTATCGACCAGCACTTCCATCCCTCTTGAACATCCTAGCAAGCGGCTTCTCTTTACACAACGCCGGATTGAACGGCGCACAAATCGGTCCCTGAGGACATCCCAAATCACTACAGTAAGCATTGCCCGGGCAAGGATTATCCTTCGAACACGGTCGCGGCGTCGGGTTCTCAGTGAAGCACTGTACAAACTGCTTACTGTCGCTGAAGCTCGTGCAAATCCCCGGTGTACCTTGTCGGAAAGAATCAATTTGGCAGCCACAGTTATAGTCCCAAGGACACATTCCTCTTTCGTTGCAACCGATTCTGCGACATGTGCCTCTGATAGTTGAGACGTCGCAGAATTCCGTCCCACTGCAGCCTGGAGAGCACTTCTTCTTGCATTCGCCGTTGCGGACGGCAGAGGCGTCGCAGTAGGAGCTCTCGGCACAGGAGCCGTTGCAGAGTTGTTTGCAAGTACCCTTGTCGCAGTATTTGCCATTCGCTTCGGTGCAATCGGCTTCGCAGACGTAGGCTTTGCAGGTTCCTTGTTCGGTTGATGTATCGCAGTATTCTTGTTCGCCGCAACCAGCAGCACATTTTGGCGAGCATTCTGCTTTCCCATGATCGCAGAATTCTGAAGAGCCGCACACGGGACTGCATATATCTGTACACGTGCCCAAAGGCGAAGTAATATCGCACTCTTGATCTTTTCCGCACCCGGCAGAGCATTTGCGTGTGCAAGTTCCGGTGGGAGAGCTGGTGTCGCAATACTCAGAGTCGCGGCAGCCAGCAGGACACTTGGCTGCGCATTCGCCTTGCGGAGTGTCCAGATCGCAGTATTGCGTTGCAGTGCAGCCGTTCTTGCACTTAGGTTGACATGCTCCAGGTGCGGTAGTCTTGCCGCAATATTCTGTAGATTCTGCGCATCCGCTTCCACAGTACGTCTTGCAAGTGCCCAGAGGTGTGGTTAGATCGCAGTACTCATTGTCGCCGCATCCGAGACCACATTTCGCTTTGCATTGGCCTTCAAGAATGCTCTTGTCACAGTACTGGCTGTCCGAACATCCGGACTTGCATTTGATTGTGCAAGTACCTGGCGCAGTCTTCTTGTCGCAAAACTCGTTGGCTTCGTCGCATCCTGTGCCGCAGTACGCTTTGCAAGTTCCCTCCGGAGTGCTTTCGTCGCAGAACTCGTTATCAGGGCATGAGCCACCGCATTTAGGCTTGCAGAGCCCTGCAAGGACGGTCTTGTCGCAGTATTCTCCGGCCGTACAGCCAGCTTTACATTTAGCCGTACATGTGCCAGGCACGGCAGTCTTATCGCAGTATTCGTTCGCAGAGTCGCAGCCCTTCGCACAGTACTTCGTGCACGTCCCAGGAGCTTTTGCTTTGTCGCAGTATTCATCTCCTGTGCAACCTGCTGCGCAAAAGTCCTTGCAGGCTCCACCTGCGACAGAGCCGTCACAGAACTTGCCAGCCGGGCAGCCTTGTGGGCATATTGTTATTGTTGTCGTAGCTTGCACGACGGAGACTCTCGTGCTTGCCGTAGTCGTTGCAGTAACAATCAATGTTGACGGAGTCGTAGCACCAGACTGGATGCATGCGCAAACGTTCTTTTGGACAGAATATTGTTTGAGCTTGAGAAGGGCGAAGTTTATGAGATCTGACACCTGGCGCTTCTCCTTCTTGGAGCCAGCGCCCGTGACTGTTGCAGTGGCTACAATTGTGGTCGAAGTCGCGACTGGTGTTATCACGACGGTCGTAGCGGTCACTGTCTTGACTTCGAGCGGATAGTTCTGCTTGCAATAGTCGAGAGCTGGTTTGTATTTGGACAGCTGTTGGAAACCTTGGCATAGGTTGTTCTGGGCTTGAGCCAGCAGGCCGGAGGCCAGGAAAACAATAAGGGTATTCCGCATGGTGAAAGCTGATGAAAGTGACAGAACACGACATCTAAGCGTTGCACAGCGCCGTTCTTATACTCGTTGCAGCAGACATCTCGTGGCAGCAATGGAAATTGTCCCGCTGCACAACCTACACCAAGATGCTCTGGATGCACCTTCGATACAGGCTCGAGTGCCATGTGCTCGCCATGTGGCTTCCACGCCCGATGAGTCGCCTGATATTTTTCGGAGGCTCCGTGTCGAAGTCCCTGGGCTCAGTACGCCACATGCATCGCCAAGAGCATCGAGGACCTGTGTCCGTTCAGGATAACAGCCACGCTTGGCAGCGCGGGTCTATGCTTCGAGATCTCTCCCTGCTAGTCCTCCTGCACGAAGCCAGTGGCTAACAGCTGTGCATAGGTCCGACTACTGGAAAAAGATGGTCTCTGTTTGTGGCTTGATGGGGAGACGTGTTGTAGTGTCAATTGGGCCCTGAGCTAGTCATTTTGGGCAAGAGGACAGGGCGCCAAGCCAAGCCATCGCTGCCCCGGCTCTACTTGCACGTTGACCGCTTCTGCTGTGTAGGTTGGTCCGCGGACTTGATTCTGCTCTTTTGACTTTGGGTCAGCTATACAGCTGAAATTATAGCTGCGGCTGTCTGGCCGACGTGGCACGTGGCTTGCTCCAGATGGCTTCCTCGTCCGGTGCATCAAGTGAAGCGTGCAATACAATGAGGGAATCTTGGGTAGAAGCTGAGATCACATTCAGTAGACCATGATCATCAGGAGTTGGCCAGTGAGCCGTGCTGTACGCGTAGTTGCTAGCCTCGAGGGCTGTGGTAGCGTGTGAAAATGCAGCCACGCTCGGTACACGTATGTCGGACTTGCCGCTGAAGGTACTGGCAGCTTGAGATGCGGAGTGGCACTACCAGCTACACTCCTAGCCTTGGGTCCATGCCAGAAGATGGCTTCACATCAAACATCATCATATTCTTTACAGATCTATGGTCTAACTCGTAGAACATGTCGTGGCCGCTCCATCCCCTCGTATACTCTTTCCAACAGCCTGTATTAGACTGATACCCATAACAATACATCCAAATGCAATGCAAACATACGCAGCATACACCTCCCATGTTTTGCGCTTCGTGAGCTTCACAAAGCACAAAGGCGGCAGGATATACGCCAAAGCGCAAGCACTCGTCGCTCCGACCAATTCGAAAACCACGCCCAAATCGCAGGTGAGAAGCGCCATAGCCATGGCTGTGAGAACGTGCGAAGTCGTAAAGATAAGGTGGCGATTCGGGTTGAACGGCTCCGACGGGAAGTAGTACTCTGTGATGACTTCGCGGCAGACAAAGCACTCGAGTGGCAGTGTTGTGAGCATGTTAAGGCCGAAGCACAATCGGGCGATATTGACCATGATATTGTCGTCCTGAAAGTTGTTCAGAACGTTGCCCTGCGTGTAGCTGCCGAACGTCAAATAGCCGGAAAGTGCCATGATCAGACAAGCAACCATGGAGATCGATGTGCTCCAATGTGTAACTTTGGCGAATCGGTCCATGGTAGGAGTTCTCAGCGAGCCATATATGAGAAGACTGTTGTGGTGACAGACGAAAGCAAAGGAGATCACTCCGATCGCTTGGAACACGCCTGCGTTGACGATGAGGCTGGATTTGATTGGGCCTTTCATATCGGCTGGTGCGAGTGGGCCTTGTGTGATGACGGTGAGCACGATGATGCCCATGCTCACGAGCGCAAGCGACGATGCTTTGGCCAGCATTGCAATATCCCTGTATAGTGATAGAGGGTATGAGACACCGAGGGTGAAGAGAACGATCACGGCTCGGCGGTCGGCCAGAAGTCCAACTACCGGTATGGTGTGCAGCGAAGGAAAGAAGGCGGAGAAGACCTTCGGTATTGTGTCTCCAATAATGATACAGAAGGCGATCATGCCTCCGAACGCAAAAGCCCATTGGGCCACAGAGATGGCAATGAGGCCAGATTTGCCAAAACAGTGCTCCATCGTGGCTTGAAAAGAGTTGGCTCCGCTCAGCTTGGAATTCTTGACAATCAAGCGGATCGTCCAGTCGACCGTGATCGTCAGAAGGACCAAGAGCACAATGCCTGTCAAAAGACCCGCTTGCTTGAACGCATATGGTTGTCCAATGATCCCCGCTCCAATGATGCTGTTCGCCATGTTCATAAAGGCACTCGCCATACCACTCTTCGGCCTAGCAGACTCTAGAAGGTCCTCATCGCTGTATTCGATGTCGTTGGCGAGGGAGACGCTGGGAGCCTCGATGCCAGTCAAGAGCGGTGCTCGATGTTGTCCTCCTGGCGCAGCATGTCCGTTCATGTAGTCCTCATCGTCCATCCACTCCGGCCCCGCCTCGCCAATCGTTTCAGGTTCGGCGACATCGAAGCGCACTCGATGTGGCGTTCGAGGCTCGCCGTTTGGGCGGATCTGTGCAAAGCTCGATTGTCGTCTCGGAGCAGGTGGTTTTGACTCTTGTTTCACGGGCGATGGTGGCTTCTCTTGGAGCGTGCGTCCTTCATCGCCCGAATCGTCCCTGGACAGTCGATTGTCCTGGAGAAGGCCGGCAGCCTCTTCGCCGCTGCCCTCCTTGCGCGCGGCATCTCGGTCGTGCGGAGTGTCCCTGGCCATCACAGATCGTCATGTTGCCCGTCAACTCAGCAGTGCATGGCGCTCGGTGGGAGAGAGGTGGTTGTTTCGTGAAAGGTGGTGTTTGAACGTCGGACATGCACCACGTAAGCTCCGGGCTAACTGAGGCTATTGACGACGGAACCGGCACATCCTGGACGCCAAGGAATGCGCTCACGACGACGACATGCCTGATAGACGACATCACCGCTTTGTCTTCCGCCGAGATTCACTTACTAACCTTACAATAAATTTCTTCCCTTCCCCTCCGGCGGGACGACATCGACTCAACGTCGTCTACGGCGTGCAGCAGCGTTCCAGATACTCGGCTTATTGGGGCCGCCGAAACGGCTAGCGTGTCGCGTGGTCTCCTAAACGCGTCTGCCCTTTCTCAATTCCAACATGCTGAGCTAAACACGTGAAGACGTGCCGCCAACGGACCTCGCACGATGGCGATAACTACGACTGACAAATGATGCCTTCCAAGGATGACTCGATAGTCTGAGCAGCACTAATGGCTGCCACGCACAGCCTGAGCCACCTCAAGGCATTCCAACTCAAATATCTGGCCTTTCTGACTGGCTCGGCGAGCACAGGGACCAAAGCCGCTCTACAACATGCCCTCAGTCGGAGCCTCGAAGTTGGCGTCTCGAGGGCAAGCCGAAAAGTAGTCAGCGTAGACATGGGCATTCGGAATTTGGCATATTGCGTGGTTGATGCCAAGCAACCCCCGGAGACCGGGGATCCATCACGATTACTTACTGTCTCGACATGGACACGCAGAGATCTGCTGAGTCCTGCAGCGCCGGAGATCAGTCCGCTGCAAGAACCCAATGATCAGATGAATCAGAAACAAGGCAGAACTGGCAGGCAAAAGATCGATACTGAAGCCTTCACTCCGCCACAACTGGCGAAGACAGCTCACAGTCTGGTCAAGACCCTGCTGTCCCACAAGCCAAACAACATTCTGATTGAACGTCAGCGTTTTCGCTCAGGTGGTGCGGCTGCTATACAAGAATGGACTGTGCGCGTGAACATGCTCGAAAGCATGCTTTGGGCGTCGTTGGAGACTCTGAAGGCTTCCGATCTGTCTCTGGTCGGTTTCCCAGAAACACTTGCTATTGCACCAAAACGAGTTGCTGAGTTTTGGCTCTCCGGCCAGCGTCCGGTGTTGACATCTTCAAATTCGATTTTCGGATCTAACGCTTCGCTGCCTACCACGGAGCGGCTTGCTCGCACGAAAATTGAGAAGAAGGAAAAAGTAGCTCTGGCGCAGAAATGGGTGATGGGTGCTCTCAGTGAGAGTGGCGTGACTCTTTGCTTTGAAGGGCAAGCTGCCGAAGTAGCAGAAGCCTTCAGCGAGCAGAACAAGCGAGGCGCGAAGAAGATTGCTGGTGGAAAGCTCGACGATCTGGCAGATTGCCTCCTGCAGGCACTGGCATACCTGCAATGGGAAGAGAATAAGACCCTGCTTCGCGAGATGTTGAAGCTTAAAGACCCGTCGTGAAGACTTGAAAAGGACAGCGACAGAAACGATATCAAGCCACATTGGATTCTCTGCGGAGTGTTCGCGTTCGGCAACTGCACGTCAGCCTAAGTGTGAGTGTCATCGCATCATTTACAAGGCGCTCCACATGAGCCTCGCCAGAATTCCAGAGTGATGCGTTCTGTTAAGGCGTCAATGAGTCTAGTCATCAGACGACTGAAATGTGAAACTTAGCGCCAGATCCAGCTCGTGTCTCGCCTTTTCGGCATCAATCTCAAGGCTGGTAGGCCTCACTCAGCAAGAAATGCCTGTCAACATCGTCCTCTCCGGAACGCAAGACGAACAGCTGTCGCATGCTCGAAGGCACTTTGGCGATTTGCTCTCCGACGAGAGTCTTCCAGAATGTCCTCGCACACTTTAGGTCGGCGACTGTCTCGATATGCAAATCGTACCTGGTGCTCACTGAGCTTTGGAGACAGCGTGGGCTAAAACGTCTCGGACATTCGTGGCGCAGAGTCACAATACTTGTTGTGAGACAGTCTCTTCTATCGCTCTGTTACTTTCTCATGCAGCGCAGCATTCGCCCTCGCGTTAGCTATAAGATGGCTCTTGCTACTTACTGGAGTCATCGATCAATAGACAACAAGTCCATCGGTTCCTGAACGCTGGCACAGCAAGTCCTCTTCAGGGGGTGCACAGATACAGAAGATCGCTCAAGCAAACCTCACAACTCTCAACGACCAGCTCACAGACGCCACAGTCCTCGACTTTTCGACCATTTTTCAAGATGAATGCCCAGGAAACCGCCCACCACACCTTCAAAAAGCCTATCGTCCAAGACCCAATCGAGCGTCATGAGCAACTTCGAGGCCCATCGAAGCTAGAGCGTGAACTTGAAACCCGTCGTTTGACAGACTCCAAGCATGCTCCACGCTTCTCAATTGTTCAATCCGAGCACTACGAAGACTGGCTCCAGAATCCGCCGCACCCAGCAGGCAGGCGCCGTTCCTACCACACACTTGCGAGCACGCCAGCTTACCAGAGAGGCAAAGTGCCGGTCAAGAACAGATTTGAGCCACTCCAGACTGAGGGATCGAAGACGTGGGAACAGGAGGAAGAGTTTCGTTACAAGTTTTGAGTTGGTGGCTCCATAGAGCGCGATACAAGATCAGTTCGGTTGATACCTCATAAGCATGATGGATATAGGAGGCTCATCAGCGCAGAAGACTAATGATGCCAGTCTCGCTGCAGCACCTTTGCAAAAGGCCACTGAGGTTCCTGGACATGGCATGTCTAAGGTGAAAGGGAAACAAGTCTGATCATTGCACAGCGAGATGGATTCTTGAGGGGTTTCAACGTTGTAACATACCACTTGGGAAATCATGTACTTTATTCATCATTGTCAACGTCAACTATTCGATCGTGACTGCCCCATGCAATGTACGGTGTCAATCTTATCTTACCCTCCTACATATATCGGACTTGCCTCTTCAGCCGTCCCTCCCTGATGATGTAACACAAATCTTGGCGCGTGGCTTCGCGCCACTTTCGCGACACCGTCTTCACTTCACCTGGACACCAGGCGTCCCACCTTTTGTCCAGTCATAACCTGATCGAGTCATCGCGATTCTCGATACATGAAAGCCCGCGTCCCGCTCCATTTGCGAGCTCCTCTTCTCCAAACAAGATCAAGCACTTTCTCAAGACAATTTCTGACGCACACAAAAAGAATGGCTTCATCAACGACAGATGGCCAAGCGGCCACAACGCCTAAGCCTACCATGAGATTTGCAGATGTCTGTATCTCGTACCGATCCACTCACCAATTCAAGATCGAAACCCTAACACAAATTCCCAGTAACAGATCGGAATAAACCTCTCCGATCCCATCTTCCGTGGCATTTCTCATGGAAAACGCATCCACGAAGACGACCTCATCCACACTATCTCTCGCGCCCGAGATGCAGGTGTCCAAAAAATGATGATCACAGGCTCCGATCTCAAAGAATCCCGCGGAGCAATCGAACTAGCAGAAGAATATCCTGGACTCTGTTTCGCCACAGTTGGCGTACACCCATGCTCAGCCAAATCTTTCGATTCGTATCCTACAGGCCCGGAAGCTATGCTGAAGGAATTGAAAGCCTTGGCGATCAAAAGCCGGGATCGAGGGACAGCAACGGCGTTTGGAGAAATTGGATTGGATTATGATCGGTTGTTTTTGAGTGATAAGGAAACGCAATTGAAGTATTTTGCTTGGCAGTTGGATTTGGCGACGGAGTTGGAGATGCCTTTGTTTTTGCATTCGAGGGCTGCGGCGGAGGATTTTGAGAGGATGCTGAAGGAGAGGTTGGAGAAGTTGCCGAAGAGGGGTGTTGTGCATTCTTTTACGGGGAGTGCGGAAGAGATGCGGAGATTGGTGGATTTGGGGTTTGATATTGGGATTAATGGGTGTAGTATGAAGACGGAGGAGAATTGTGCGGTTGTTAAAGAGGTGCCGTTGGAGAGGTTGCAGATTGAGACGGATGGGCCATGGTGTGAGATGAGGCCGAGTCATGCGAGTGCGAAGTATTTGAAGGGCGACGACGTGCCGAAGCTGCCGAAAGCGGTGAAGAAGGAGAAATGGGCGAAGGAATTCATGGTGAAAGGCAGAAATGAGCCTTGTGCGATGCCGCATGTGGCGTATGCTGTGGCGGGGATAAAAGGAGTCCCTGTGGAAGAAGTGGCCGAAGCGTGAGTGGAAAAGATGCATTTCATGATCGTGGGCTAACCAAGAAACAGGGCCTGGACCAATTCTCTGCGCATGTTCGGGCTCAAAGATGCGCCTTCCGCTTCGCAGTAACCTTCGGTCCCGCCGCCGTCTGAACGCAATTCTTCCAAGCCCACTAAAAGCATAAAGATAGATAATTCACAGCTCATAGCTGTTCCCACAAACGCTGTCCGATTTGAGTGCTGCAACCCTCTGCTCGCCTCGTGCCGCCCTCAGTCAAAGTCGCGGTCTCGTGAGAGAAGCACTACTCATGGTCGGATCCATCGTGAGACAGATTAGTTTTACCCGACTGATGGCTGTCGTCCCAATGGCGATGTCGCTTAGTATCAGAGCAGCCGATGTTCCGATTGACTGATTTCCTTGCGACCGTTCAACCAGTCATGATTCGCGCTTGCCTAGGCGCTCATTAGTGGCCACTCAAGAAGCGTCTAGATTGTGACCGAAACGGTGCTGAAACTCGCCATAGAAATCGTACTCCTCCTGCTCTGGCAGTTCAGTATCAGGCTGCCTCTCTGGCACGAACAGAGGTTCCTCCTCAGCCCCCGCATGATTTTCAATATCTTCTTCGTCGTCGTCGATTGCGGTAAGGTCCTCCTGGATCTTCGACTTCTTTGCTAATGGCTCCGGGAGTGGCTCCTCGTGGAAGTTCTCGTCATCGTCATCGATGCACATTACTGTGTTTAATTGTCTTGTAATGATCGGACCGCGGTTGATGGGACCACCTTCTGCTTCCATGATCTCCTCTTTGACTTGCATCGTCTGTGCATTCTGCTCGCGTTCACGCTTTCGCGTCGCCAAAGCTGAAGCAATCAGTTCTTCACGGGTCATATTGTGCAAATCGGCATCTGGATCCTCAGGTTCTGGGCTAGGCGTCCGAGGAATAACGTGTGCCTTTTTCAGTGCGTCTATCATGTTCTGTTAGCATGTGAAGGCCGCCACAATTCTTCGGCTCTCTTACCTCGCGAGCCGTAGCGGAACTCGTAGATCGCTACCGGACCCTTCTCAAGATTGAGATGATCAACTTCCGATAGAGCAGCTGCTCCTCGGTCTGGGATCGCTTCGCCGAACCCAATGCTGTGGCTGAGCGACTTGCCTTTGAGATCCACTTCGTCCAATCCGTGGATGCTCTTGTCTTGAAAGTCACTTGCTAGTGCAGGCGTAGCTAGACCTTGCTTGCGTACATGCCATACACAAGTCTTCACTTTGCCCAGTTGCTCGAGCTTCGCTTTCTCTGCATCAGTACGCATGCCCCGTGCGGCTGCCATAGCACCGTCGATCAGCTTGATGGGTCTGAAGCGGTACGGCAGCACGCTATCGGCTGTAATGTATTGGCCTTTTGAGATGCAAGTCTTGCCGTTGGCGTAGTGGCTTTGGATCATAGCCGGGTAGACGAGTAGAGAATCGACTTCATCGCCGTCGACTGAGATGTGCATTGCGAGACCGTATTGATCACGTTCGGTAATTGGCCCGTCAAAGCCGGCATATGAGTCTGGCCGAAGGCCATGAAGGCCCGCGTGAATCTGGAAAGGGACAGCGTCGTCGTCACTGCTAATGCCGGAGTCGGAAGGCGACCCATTGTTAGCCGATGCATCAGGGATCTCGATGTAGCGAACGACATGGTTGCGTTCCAGGTCCTCATGATCTGGTGTCGCATCTCGGTCTTCATGTTCGATGAGGGGAGTGCCGTTAGCGACGATTGTGACAGGCATCTCCGGAAACGAAGGATGGATTGCCATGGCGATGACTTGGCGCTGGAGTTGCGCAAGTGGAAAGTCGAATCTGAGATGGAGTGGCTGTCTTGACGCGCAGAGGGTGTAGCAAGCTGTTATTCCTGTGTACAGACAAAGTCAATGTGTTAGTGGGCGTTGAGGCTGATGTTAGTGACGAAGTAGTCATGAGAAGTTGGTGTGATGGAAGAGCTTATGGAGACCGCAGCAGTTGGATGGGAGCAATCGTCAGTTCAAGTGAAGGTGAGGTTCAGTTGCCAAACGCTCCTTCCACAGCTTTCCAGCAGCAGCTGCGGCAGCACCAGTGAGGTGCGCCGAGCACCTTGATTCAGCGGGTGTGCGACATCGCTCTCGCGCATTCAGCGGCGTAGACACAACTGAACGTGAAGTGCACCTGCAGCAGACTAATCGGCTTTAGGCTCGCAACCTTCACTTCGGTGCATCGTCATCCTCAGAGTCGTCACTCTCGGAGTCATCACCACTCTCAACCTCATCCCGACTTCGATCCTCACCCGCTGCCCGGGGCACAAAGACAACTTCTGAAACGGTTCTGCGACTATCCTGAGCTACCGCATCGCTTCGAAGACCTTGGCGCCGAACTTCTGCTCCTGCATGAGGCTGAATACCTTCCATCTCCTCCCCAACCTCCTCTTCCACCGGCTCCAGCCTGGCATCCTCCGGTGGAAGCAGTCGATCTTCCTTGGGCAGCACACCCAAGGCGTCGAGCATTTCTGCAGCTGCTGTTAGTCCAGGGCCAAGTGTGAGGAAGGAGAAAATGAGCTTACCCAGAGTGCGGTAGTGATAGACAAATGTCACGGCCTTGTTCTCATCTCCACCAGCAGCATCGACATCCCAGGTCGTGACTGGAGACACCAGCTGCGGCGCAGTGAACCTACTGCAGGTTAGTTGTCTGAAATGAGCAGGTGTTACTGGAATATGTTCACCTCACAAGCAATCCCCCAGCCTTGTCCTTGATGGCCTTCTGCTTCGTGTCACTGATTTGCGAAGTCTGCGACGAGCGCTGTCCGAACAGGACCGGCTCTTTCTTATTAACATGACAGACGATGATTTTGATGGTACCCAGCTCTTCGAGATTATCGGTATCCGCACCAACAGTGGTACTTTCAGCGTTGGATGCAGCGGACGTAGTCGGTGGTGAGTTGTCAGAAGCCGTTGCACTTGGACTGGCAGCATAGGCGTCCAAAATTTCACCAATCGTGCTCGAAGCATGCGAGAAAGTAGCGGAGTTCCCAGAAGATCTGGCAGAAGATGCCGTAGCCGTACTTGAATTCGTCGTCGTAGCTGATGATGATTTCGGAGGGGCGACGTCGACCCATGAATCGCCGGTAGTAGAGGCAGCAGACCGTCTGCTGATATCCCTGTAGGAGGGGAGGGGAGTCCTACTCGACATACCCGAGGTGCGAGTGCGAGACGACAGTGAGGCACTCTTGCGCTCAACTGTGAACTGTCAGCATCCCCAATCGCGGCCGAACACAAAGCAGAAAATCCTCACCGACTTCAATTTGCTGCTCTCGCGAAGCAAACTGGTATCTCCGCAGCATGTTGCTGCTCACGTATTTCCCACGACTCCTAGCACTAGCTCCACTCTTTGCGCTCCAATCCGAAGCATCAATGAGAGCGCCATCGACATACTTGCCATCCACGTAGAACTGAACTGCCAAAGAAGAGCCGGCGAAGCAACTCTGCTGAGAAGCGAGAGCGTGGATTTCGAAGATCTGGTTAGGCATCGCCTCGATCATGTAGCTGATTGTGCGCTCGGGATCCTCGATGTCATCGTCACGATACTCTGGGAGAGCTTGGCCATTGATTTGGATGCTGATTGACACACCGGGGAGTTCGTCGATGACGGCCATGGCGTAGGAGGTCTCTGTCCAAGTTAGGATTGTGCTGCGGAATCATGCTGCGGTCTTCTGTATATGTAGGCAGACTTTCTGGTTATTTGCCAGTTCAATACTCACCCGAGACACGCCCAGAATGAAGCGGATGCTTGCAGAAATTGCTTCAGCAAACGATGCGCCCCGAAAAGTGCTCTTTGTTCAAGCAGACGCGGTGCCACCATCACGCAAACAACGCTAGAGAGCAGCAGATGGCAGGTATGTCCTCGAAGCCGGCGAGACTGAATGATCACTCTTAGCATATCATTCCACAATATGTACATATGAACACGATGGGTAGTGGTGTCCTATTGTAGCATTCCCGCTCCTCAAAACGCCAGAACACGTATGCCGCTTCCGTCCACGCCTCTTTCCTCTACTTCCTGTACCACATTCTCGTGATCTTGGTATGCCTCATCTTCTTCTGCAGTTGGAAAATGCCATACATCAGCGCCTCGCTCGTGGGTGGGCAGCCTGGCACATAAATATCCACTGGCACAATTCGGTCACACCCCCTTGTCACTGAGTATGAGTAGTGATAGTATCCGCCTCCGTTCGCGCATGAGCCCATGGAGATGACCCATCGTGGGTCTGGCATTTGATCGTAGACTTGTCGCAGCGCGGGAGCCATTTTGTTTGTGAGGGTGCCTGCCACAATCATGACATCGGATTGACGCGGAGAAGCACGGAAAATGATACCGAGGCGATCTTGGTCGTATCGTGGCGTAGAAAGGTGCATCATCTCGACGGCGCAGCAGGCGAGTCCGAAAGTCAATGGCCAGAGCGAGCCTTGACGCGCCCAGTTGGCGATGGAATCGAGGGTAGTGCTGTGTCCTCTGTCAGCTGTGTCCTCTGCCCCCATATTTCAGTCCTTTCTCATGCTTACAGTGCGTATTGCACGGCGCTCTTGTTCCCCTCTTGACTAGCCAAAGGCACCTCCTGGTCCATCTTCTTACTCAATGCCTTCATGCTCGGTGGCGGGCCTGGGTTGCCCTTGACATTCCCTGAACCATATCCTCGAACAGGCGCGACCTCCTGTGCTGGCTTTTTCGTAGATTGCGATATCGAGGCGGCGGCGACTTTGAACGGCGTGACTGCGGTCATGGGCTTGGCTGGAGGAGCTGTCAGTAAATTTGCCCACACGGCCGGGCGGAGGCATTGAAAGCGTACCGCGCAGCGCCAATGCTGCCTGTCGCGACGTCGCGAGCATTTTGACCGGTTCAAGAAGGAAATGGAGTGGAGTGAAGTGGAGAGGAAGACGACGGCCAGCAGAGGAATGAAGGGTGGTGTTGTGGCGATGAGGTCGAGGTCGCACCTTCCCAGTCCAAGCGTCATCAAATGTGTGGCTGCTGATTGGATGTTGGCTCGGAGCAGAGGTCGGCCATACTTTCCTCCGAAATTCCCAAGTCACTCTCACGACAACACGATACTCATTCGTTCAGAAACACGCAGCCGAACAAGTTCACATCTAGCCTTCCAGAAGAAGATCAACCTGCATACAGCGATCTACAGCTGAAAATTGCGATAGATCAGAAGCCAGCAAAAGCATAAGTATCGAAGCATGGACCGCGCCCCATCCATTGCCGCCATTGGCATAATCGGCCGGAGCAACAATCCCCTGCACATTGCTCTTTTCCCAGCAACCGGCTCAACGGACTCGCAATATGCCGCAGAGCGAGATCAGCTAGAATACCACATGATGCTCAATTCTTGTCTGGACATTTTCGAAGCACGGATACCTTCTAAGACAGTCGGCCACGACTTCGGACTTCTCCACGCACTGGACGAGCGGATAGCTATGTATGGCTGGCTCCTGAACACAGGCATCAAGCTCGTGATTGTTGTAGACATGGAAGGACGGCAGGCGAGAAGTCCAGAGGAGGCGAAATTGGGGGTGTTGGGGCTGAAGAATAGTGATCTCACACCAGTAAGTCCATCGGGTGCGAGAGTCATCGATTTCGAGGTCTAACCTCATTTTACTAGGCCTTTCAAGCTCTGCAGACTGCTTATGTAAATTTGCTGCGGAATCCTTTCTATGTGCCTGACGACCACGATCCCAAGACAGCAAAGCAGAAAGGGAATATGCAGATCGAGAGTCCGCGCTTCATCAAAGAAGTCGACAGGATTGGTAAAGTTTGGTTCCCAGGAATGACTGCGATCTGAGTGCTGGGGAATCCCTCAACGCCTCTTTCACTGATGAGTTGGCCCGAGGAGGTTGCGTACCGAAGGCCGACGGAAAAAGCAAGAGAGCTTTGAAAGTGGATGTTTTAAATTCTGCCTCTCACGGCACTGTCAGGGTTCAAGACTCATCTGGTGGAGACGATGAATCCATTTGCGCCGAAGCACAGTCCTGCCGGAATCCTGGAGGTGGAGTCTGTTCCAATTGACATCTTTCCCCGCCAGCGTATACTTACAACAATATCCCTAAGTGATGGTGCCTTGGAGAGCTCCGCAGCGCGCTGCCTGCCATGTTGGGCCTCGCGCAAGCGTGCAAGGGGTGTGGATTGAGCTTCTTCGAAGTCCGTAGAACTCCAGTCTCGGGCCCTTCACCCAGCCACTGATCTTGTCTTGGATACGCATTACTCCCGAACAAGTATGAGATGTATTCCAACTTGGTTTCCGGCGTCATTGCGATTCGCTCTCGCACTTCCTTGACGATGTCTGCGACGCGAACACTTTGCTAGCAAAAGGGGTAGATCGTCGTTCTTGATAGGCCCACGACGAACAGATAAAGTCGATCTGGACAAGGACTCTGGCTGTGGGCGGCTGAAAGATCAACCTCTACATGACAGTGTCGAGGACTTCGTTAACCGGCCAACGTTTCATCGCAGACTTGCGCAGTTTCAGTGGCGTGGGAGCGCTGGCTGGACCTTTGACTCTGTCATATCCCATCACTGGGATCTTGGCAGCTCGAGGAGGATGTCGTTGCAGGGCGCTCTCGGAATTTACACTCTTGTCCCTGAGATGGCTTCCTCCTGTGTCCGGATATCAGCACTGGACCAAAGTTAGCGCTCCAATGCCAGCGGTCAACATTTGATACCTGCCCGGATCTGCAGACTTCCACTCGAGCCTAGACCGAAAAGCTTTTGTTGCGACGTCAAGGACCCGCACTGGTTTGAGATCAGGGAAGACTCGATCGCCTGCTTTCAGTGTGTGCAGTGTCACCCACATAGAATTTATGAAGCACAAAGCATGGACGACAACGATTGCGTAAGACTATACTCAAGCGAGATTTCAAGATCACCTCTCGAAGCTTGGTGAGATACCAGCGCTTGCTAACACAAAATAGGGATCCAGAATAATGGTTCGGGCTGGGTCCGTTGGTTGCTCATCGCCCCTCAATAAATAGTGTTGAACCTAAGGCAGACCTATTCACTTCACTCTTGGCAGACTCCACTAGCGCCAACCACTGGAGCTCAAATTTGTTTCTTGTCCTCAGACGGTCTTGGCACCTCTGAATATCCGCGGAAAATCAGACACAGCTCAAAATATTTCATTGCGCTTCCTCTTCGGTCAAGCAGCTCGGCTCAAAGATGTCTTCATCACTGTCTACCCCAGCAAGCGACGATCCGGTCGCCATACCCAAGCAGAAGGAGCCCGCGACCCCAAGCTCAGCCTCCCAGCGCACTTTAGGGGTCGTCGAACTGCTCGAGAGCATCCTTATGCACTTAGATCCTGTCCATATCATCGCCGCGGAAGAAGTCTGCCAGCATTGGCGCAGCGTTATCGCGGGCTCTTTGCTTCTTAAGAAGTGTGCATGCCTCATCGCAGACGACAGTCTTGCAAACCGTGCGCTCGAAGTTTACTGCGTTCGGTGTCAATGTCGCAAAGATTTTGTGACTCTGGATCCCAACTACAGAGGCCTCTATCCTCCGCATCCCCGTTATGGTCTGTCATCCTTCAGGCAACCCCTGAAACTATCCGAACTCGCAGGAAATCGCAACAAGTCACTGCTGCAGACTGTTCCGACACACTGTCGTGTGTATCGTCACTCAGAGCTGGAAAATGTTACGGGGCTTTACGATGTTTGGATGGAACTCAATCTGGAACTCACAAAGGCTTGTCTGGACATGGACACGCACTCCAAGGCAAGCTACCTCGATATGCTGATCTGTCAGCCTCTTCCGACTCGCGCAGAGCTTCGTATTTATGTCCGGTATTCGGCGGGAAATGGGCTCTTATGGCACTGCTCAGTCCGCAACGCTGACGGTATTCGACTGCGAGATGTGGTTTACGCTCTTCGCGAGAAATTGCAGATAATTAACACAACCGAAGCGGGCTATATCTATGGAATCGACATCAAAATCAGGGGTGGAGGTCCCAATGGCGAGCACGACATCTTCTTTCCTTATGAGCATAGCCAAGAAGTTCTCCGCGCGAGACTGCTGGCGGCTGAGCAGGCTCAGAAGAACGAAGAGTCGAGTAAGGGAGGAGGTTGCAAGGCGAGCTCTGCGATTTGCTGTCGATATAGATTGATTTAGCAGCCGGTTTTTAGGCGAGAACCCGGGTCGTGCACGATCGAGGCTCAGAAGTTAGCGAGAGGCATAGTACCAGCGGTAGCGGAAGCGGGCTTATACGGCAGGGATTGGGAGATTTGAGGAAGCACGACGACGGCCCCGCCATTCTATTGCTCCTGTAGACGGTTGTGTTCTCACAGAAGCAGTGTGACGAAGCAGTATTCACGCGCATTGATGCTACACGGTCTACAAGAGAGCATTGGTCATTCACCCGAGTCCGCTAGGGCCTCTGCCTAAGGCATCGAACACCGAGCGCTTGAGAGGACGCAGGGTTTGTCATAGCTGAACTTTTCGAACAAAAGTAAGCTATTCGGCTAGCTTTTGAGAACCACATTCGTTCACCATAGGCAAAGTGCACACAAAGCTGACAATTCTTATCGAAAATTTGTAGGTTATTGGGAGCATGAATTGCAAGGACGCGAGAAGCGTGGATTTACATATGAACATGAATGTGGGAGCAATATGCCTAGGTCAGAATTGCACGACCAAGACCCCTTCGCAGACGAAACGGAAGTCATTGCTTGCTGATACGAGTTCTTTGTCTTTGCCCGCAGCAAGCTTGTTGCATGCATTTCATGAGAGCGGCACCCGGATATAGTAAATGATTCGAGCAACGATGCGCCGCACATGCTCTCTTCATTCATTCATTTATCAGTGAGACCCAATGACACTGACGGAGATAAAAGTACAAAACCAGGACTCCGCATCTGTATACACCCCGTAACCTAATTTAAGTCAAGAGCTTGTACGGTGTTAACATAAGCATGCTCAAACTTAGCCTCGATTGACTCCCAGTGACTCACGGTGAACTCCTGTTCACTTCTTGGCAAAATCACTTAGCGTCCTTCGCCTGAGCTATATATGCACCAAGACAATCAACCCAACACAAGATCTCATGGGTACCCTGAAGCAACATGAGCGATCATACTGCGCACGAGTCTGGTCGGCAACCTGGTCCGAACATCCCTCAATCTCACGCAGTCCCTTTCACTCCTTCCAACAGTGACTCGAACGCTCATGTTGCGCAACGCACAGTCGAGGCCTCGAAGTCAGCCAGTAACCGAACTTTTGCAGTTGTTAAACTACTCGAAAATGTGCTCCTACAGCTCGGGCCTTTCCAGATTCTTGGGGCACGAGCAGTCTGCCGGCAGTAGCGCGACGTCGTGGCATCCTCGCCGCTTCTTAAGCAGCGCGCGTTCCTCATCACCGACCCCCGGCTTCCAGGCATCTCTTTCGATGGGCGATGGAAATTACCCTGCTGCTTTATCAGCTGCTTCTTTGTCGGACCTCACCGTCACATGCGCAACACTTTCGCCCGCACCAGCTACAGCCGACCAACTTACGTACCCAACAACACGGACCCCTGGCTTGTTGGGATTTACAACAAGTCTTTGCTGCGGTTCGAATCCGGACGATGCCGCGGTCACCGTCACCTCAAGCTCGATTCCGCTTACGCGCTATACGACGACTGGATGAGCCTCGATGTAGGTCTCGTCAAGAAGTGTCTGAGTCAGAAAGTGCGGCTGCAAGGAGGATTTCGCAACATGCTGCTATCTCAGCCTCCTCCAACTTCGGCTTCCATATTGGTCGAATTCAAGTACCCGGCTGGCAATATGCAACGATGGTGGCATCATGTGCACCGCGTCGACGGTGTTCGCTTGCGAGATATCGTGGATGCATTCCGTGAGAAGATGCAGAAGTGGCAGAAAACCAAGGCGCAGGACATCCATACGATTTCTCTCAGGGTCAAGAGCGGAGAGAGCACTATCTTCTTCCCCACGGAGGACAGAAAGAGAATCCGTAACATGGACTCGATGCACGGTGAAGTTCGCGAGCGGGGAAGGCTTGTATAATACTGATGCAGAGTTTCAGTCACACGGAGAATTGGCTGCATGGTTGAGGCAAGTCGGAGCATCCGCAGTCGAACAGAGGCTCAGAACATGCATAATTAATACTCGGAGAGCAAGAAAGGCATAACTCGGGCGATGTATGGCTTGTGCTACAGGACTTGGGGGAATTGGGAAGGCAGAAGAACAGGCCTACATTGTTGCCACTTTCGGCGGATCAATCATGTGTCTCGCAGACATCGCTGTTGTATTTTTGGGAAAACAGCATTCGGGTCATATGCATACAGAGGTAAAAACAAGCGGGGAGCACTCAAACCAGTGCCTCCACTACTGCCAGATTGATTGTTATGAAGCTGCGTCAATGTTTATCTAATTTACAGAACGCCTGAAACCCTATGCTGTGTCGAGTGTTGTGCCTCCGAGGTCAAGATCATGGCTAGATGCTCCCAATGTCTTCCGACTAGTAATTGCCAGGAGCAGAGAAGCCACCAGCACCAGCACCGGCACCAGCTCGCGCATTGCCTCCCATAAGTCCGTTAGCAAATCCCATGACACTGCCAGCAGCCTGGCCGACAGCGTCCTGAGCAACATCGAGAACAGCCGAAGGTGCATTGGCGACGTTACCCACAAATGGGAGACCTGCAATCTGAACATTGTTGCCGCTGTGACCTTGGCCTTGAGCGTGAGCGTCAGCATTAGCGAAGCCATTTGCACCGACACCGCCGTAGCCATCAGCGTTGGTCCAGGCATTGGCATCAGCATTGGCCCCAGCATTGGCGGAGCCGCCCTGGCGTTTCTGGAGAGGAAGCAGACCTCCGCCCAAGCCCTTCACCATATCCAATGGATTGCCGAGACCCCCGATACCGCCACCATTGCCTCCGCTGAGTCCGACTCCGCCGATACCTCCGCCATTGCCTCCTCCAAGCCCACTGAGCGGGGAAGCGAGGTTTCCTATCAAAGGAAGACCAAGACCGCCGTTGCCGCTACCTTGCTGAGGATAAGGAGCTGGTGCCGGTGCGGCGTTCTGCGCCGGGTTGAAGTTCTGCGGCTGAGCAGCTGCATTCCATTGAGCATTCTGAGGCGTATAACCTTGAGGGTTGTTCTAAGTCTCAAAGTTAGCACAATCGATACAATACGACGAAGACATGAACGAGCCTACCTGCGCGACAGGAGCGGCCACGACGCCGGCGGCGAGGCCAGAGAGAGCAAAAGCTGCAGTTCCGAACTTCATGATGTCGATGTTTGCGTAAATGGTTGTTGAAAGAATGTAGTGCTTGAAATGAATATGTTGTTGGTAAAGACTGGACCTGCCAAAGGAATGCTGCTGTGGATGCTGATGCTGAGTGTTCTGTCGCTCTCCTGTAGGTGAGCAGCCAGTATTTGTATCAAAAGCGTGACTGAGCACATTGTGCTATTCATCATCAGTGGACGGAACGAGCAGCTACCTTACAATCAAACTTCCCGCACTATTCAGCGTGCCGCAGTTGGTGATACATTGCCTTCAGGCAATAGCTATTCGGAAATTCTGCGGTAAGCAAACCAGTGAGGGAGGAGCATACCCGTCCTCGTGGTCAGTGGTGATGACCCTGTGTGACTGCAGCCGTCACGTTAAGATTCGGTTTCATGACTTACACACGAAACTCAAAGCCAGTTTTGCCGTTTCCTACCATTCCGCATTCTGTTTCACGTGGTCAGCGAATCTGACAGCTGCATAAGCACCTCGCCAAGAAAGCGAATCTCTCTTGAAACTGTTCACGTCTGATGCGTTTGCAGTCTTCCTATGGGTAAATTGGTCACACTACGTGATTTCCTTCCGGAAGCGCTGCTGTGGAGTACCGGGCTACAGCACGAACAGCGTAGTCTTGCAGTATAGAACGCGTCTACGGCGTGCGATTCATTTTGATAATTAGTAGCTGAACTTGAACCCTCCATTCGCACAAACGACGGAGCCTGTGCACCAAGCACTATCAGGAGTACAGAGCATCGCCACCACTGTGTAGACGTTAGCCAAGATACAACGCTGGGCATACCCAACATGGACTTACCGCCTGCGATTTCGTAGTCGTAAGCCTAAGTAGGATACGTCAGCGTGAGAAGTCTCTAGAAAACTACCGTCACAACTTACCGGTCTACCTCCAGCAAGTTCAGCATTGTCGACAAGATCCTTGCGATCGATGTCGGGCCGGATTGCTGCAAGAGGGGTATTGCGCGTCCAGCCGGCCATCTTTCCTTGGAATTCTGGTGTCGTTCCAGCGTACATATCGGTAGCGACTGGTCCAGGGTTCACGGCATTGACAGTTGCCCGCTCGCTTAGTTCTCTGGCCCAGGTTCTCGTCATGGCTTCCAGTGCTGCCTTTGTTCCCCCATACATTCCGTCTCCATTGAAGCCCAGACTGGAGCTTACGCTGCTCAAATTCACGATCCTTCCGCTGCGATCGTGAGGCAAGTATTGCACTGCTGCCTTGATAAGAAGAAGCGGTCCTCTAACATTGACGTGATATAAGCGGTCGAATTCTTCCGGTGTGCAGTCTTCGATATCCGTCTTGCTAGCTACACCTGCATTGTTGATGATGATATCGATTTGGAATTTTCCGCTCTTTGGGTGAGCGAAATTGTTTTTTGCGATATTGATGACATGCGCTGGACCATTGACATTACCCATGTCTGCCTGAACAGGCAGAGTCTGAATGCCATGCTCCTCCTGAAGGCGCTTGGCAAGTTCTTCGGTCTTTGCAGCGCTATTATCAGAGGTGTAGTTCATGACAAGGCTGGCACCTTTGGCTGCCAGGTTCTCGCATATTGCCGCACCAATTCCTCGTGAAGCTCCGGTAACAATGGCGATCTTGCCTTCAAGAACTCTCCAGCTGCCACCTTGGATGTTGGTGGTGGAGACACCTCTTGCAGTGCTTGGACGAGACATTTTGAATAGTCGACAATAAGTGCTAACTGGAAGTGTTTGGAAGGTGTGAGCAAGAGGTGTTTGTTGATATGACGAGTGGTGGGTCCTTCATTCGGAGCATTTCGCGCCGAATTCATGGCCTGAGGCATGAAAGAATTGAGCCACAGGTTCAGCTTGAAGCTGGAGAGTGTATAGATAAATGATCATTACTTAGCGCCAGAGCCAATGTGCAAGTCTGGAATAGCGCACCGCCACCAATGGAGAAATTCAGCGCTGAGAGAAGGCTCTATCAGAGTACAGCGGGCCACGCGACGAATAAGGCGGGACTCCGCTCGACCTTGCGTGATAATGTGAAGAAGGCGGGCCTGCTCCCCGGACACCACGAATCTGTGACACTTGCGGATCCCAGCCTCGCTGGCTCATCGACGAAGGTGGCAATGTGACTCTGCCACCACGAGGTGTCTGCGAAGGGTGTGCTCTCACGCGGGAGGAGTACGGTGCTGGCACAAGCGGAGGAGCAGCTCGGTCTGGCCACAAAGAGCTTGGCCTGTATTCCATGCCACGACGTGAAGCTCCAGGGGTATCTCGATAGGACGCAACTCCATTTCGATAGATCATTTCATCAGCAGGGATCGCATCGTAATGAGCCTCACTCAGAGTGCCTTTGGTCCTGGTCTCGCGTCTTCTGTCGTTCCCTCGTGGTGGCAGCATGAGACCGTGAGATGCAGATGTTTCACAATTCGTTGCTTGATCATGGTGAGCAGGCCGAGGCGCTCTTCGAGAAACGGAAGGCGGCTTCGAAGCAGATTTTGGCTCGTGTGAGTTGCCGCTTTTGAAGAAGGGGCTGAGCACCGAGGCGCCTGGCTGCGCTGCAATGTGCCGCCGCTGAGCCATATTCTGCTGAATGGGAGGCTGCATAGGAAGCTTGCGAAAGTTTGATCGTTGGCTACGTGCGGCCAGATTTAGTGGTGCTTGAGCTTGGGAAGGAGCTTGGGAAGGAGCTCGAGCAATGGGCTCAGAATACTCGCTGGGCGCGGCGTATGGCGAGCCCTCGTGTGCTGTGCTGAGCCTCTGCTCGGCGGCTGCCGAACTTCTATACGTGATACGCTCTGATGGCGCTGCGTAGTACTGTGCAGGGCCGCGCGGTGAGTAAGAGCTAGCTGCAGCTTGGCTCCTTGTTTGGGCCTGTGAATATGGCATCTGGGCGGGCTCCACAGCGTGTTCCCTGGGCCGCTCATAGAATGCATTGTAGGACGCTCTCGGCTGCACTCTGTCATTCAGATTCATGGCATGTAAATCAGGCAACGAGTGCAGTTGCTCTGGTCCCGTCGCATGGTCATCGTAGTGGCTAGCACTGATTTCGTCGTACTCGTGCTGCGGAGGCAGCTGTTTTCGTTGACGTGCTCTTTCAGGTAGGTCTCGCACCCGAGGTCGAATCATGGCCAGGCTATGCTTCTTCGTTGCTTCAGGCTCCGATTGTTGAGATGCTCTGGGAGGTAGCAGCTGTGGAGGCGGCAATGGTGGAGGCGGCATCGTTTGGTGGTCATCCTGTGCGAGCTCCTGCTCTATCTGCTCGTCATCTGGATAAGCTTCGTAGTCTGCACGCTTGCGCTTTGACGATGAAGTGCGATGTTGCTCATCGACTGCTGGTGTTAGCAGATCTAAACCCTCGCCGCACTCCGGGGACATACCTAGTGTGGTGGAGGAATCAACCGGCCGTGCCGCAGCAGCTCGTGCATTTGGCGGAGCAGCAATGTCTTCGAGGCCATAGGTCTTCCTCTCAATATGGTAACCGAGCCTTGCCAGCTCCTGGCGCATCGTCTGAATATCGCTACCTTTTGTGAGTTTTGCCGTGTGTGCGTGTGGAAGTAGACTCACCGAGCCATTTCTCCAACAGCACCCATGTAGTGTCGGATTTGATCTTTGCGGGCCTCCCAGCCTTGCAATTTTCTTTCCGCTTCTTGGCCGCGCTTCTGCAGGGCTTCGTAGTCGGCTTGCAACTTGCGATGGTGCTTTCGCTCTTTGTGCAAAGTGCTCTCCAAGGTGCGACGCTTGCGATCGGCAGACTTCCAGCGTTTTGTGACCTCCTGGGAATACGTTTTCATCCGACTATACTGGAACTGCAGCACAATCAGCGCTGCATACAGTCACCAACGGGCTTAACTCACGCGAAGAGCCTCCACGCCGGGGTCGTCCCCGTCCAGTGAGACTGGAGGGCATTTGACATAGTCACTCGGTATCGCAGGATCGAGTTTGTCTTCGGTCAAGCCGCGAATACCGTAAAGATTGCGAACTTCATGATTGTTGCTCGCTCGAACGCAGACTGGGCAGATGGCCTGTGGAGGTTGATCACTCGCATGGAACGGGACGCCTGCGCTGTCAGCTCCCCAATCCAATGGCGTTCGCATCGAGTGAGGCTTACCGCCGCCCTCCAGATGGCGCCCGCAGAAGACATGCACGCAGTTTGCGATCCAGAGCTTCGTGCCCATGCCATCGTCAGTGTCTGAGTGCGAATGCGGATTGTCGCCATTGGCAGGATACAGGTCGGAGACGGTCGCCTGACAGACACCGCAGCTGAAAATGATCTCTTCGAGGGGCGGGACCGGGCGTTCGCTCTCGTCGCTGCTGACGCGCGCCGGCGCTATTGGGTGTAGTAAGTACCGTGTAGCATGCAGCGTGTGGTATCTGGGAAGATGAGGATCAAAGTTGAAGTGTCGTGTGGACGCGTCTCGCGTGTCTTGAGTGAGGAAGTCGCGACTTCCGAGCCTACCTCCCGTCACTCACCTCGAACACAAAAATAGGAGTTTGAACAATACATGGGAAAGGTATGTACGTCTACACTTCTGCTGCACCTCGAATACATTCCTGCGACACCTATACGAAGGTTCTGCATGGGTAGCTGTTGCCACGTTAGCGTCTGGTCCGATGATCAAGGACTTTTCGCAGTACTTACTCTGGGCCGTATGTCTGCTCTTCCTCCTTGCGGAGAGAGTAGGCGCCGCTTGTATTGTGCGTTCCCAAATGCCTGCTTGTAGGGAGCGGTGGCAGTCCATCAGGCCCTAGCACATTTTGAAACACCTGCTTGTTCTTCTCGAAATATGTGCTCAATCCTTTCTCGCCTTCCTCCTTGACCTCCACCAATTGTGTCTTGCCCGCATCTCCAATCTTCAGCGTGTCCTTTGGCGCCGCAGCCGAGCCTACGCTCAACAGTCCCACCACGTCCGACTGTGTCACAGTGGACAGCCTAGGGTATGACCTGCGCACATCGCGCTTCCAGTATGGGTTCTCGGCGAGGTCAGCGGCGGGCACCGTCACAGGGTCAATGTATTCCGTAGGATCGTTTCCGCCCGGGGGTGGGTTGCGAAAGTGCGGATTAAGAGGGACACCGCTCGATCGGCCGGGGTCGAGGGCGAAGAACTTGTGTATCCGTCCCCATATGCCCTGGGGTTGGACGGTGTATTTCTGTTGGCCGGTCAGTGCTGGCGCCGTACTCTGGGAGGGCGTGCAGAGCGCACATTGAGCTGCGTTGCCTTCGCCGCCTTCGATATGGCGTTCTTGGGCACTGCGGTCGCCATTGCGGAGCAGTGGTTGCGAAGGGCGCGGAGATGTCGTCGACGGTGTTGCTGGCAGCGAGGTCACCGCAATGGCAAGCTGCGTGATTGGTGGTGGTCTGCGAGTCTGAGTCTGCGTCTGGGCTGCTGAGACAAGCCACGGCTGCACTTGCTGCCGACGGTCGCACTACAGACAACTCCACCTCGAAGCGAACCACGTTCTCTGCAGCCTTACGGGCCTTCTGATTATCCAGACTGCAATAGAGCTCCTTTGGCTCCTTGGGGCGGAAGTCTGAACATACACCACTGTCCATGTTCTTCCGCGCCGAAATCGACATGTTTTCGACCACGCGACGATGCCAGCTGATGTGGCAGCCGGCAAGCCTTTCCGAAACGACGCCAGTCCACCTTCCCCGTGGCCTGCTGTCCCTCCGTCCTCCTTGAACCTCACTCGTTCTCCAACAACAGCGACTGCGGATCTGGATGAATCCATCGAGCTAGGCGACATGCGCCACGACCACATCGACGCGGATGCGAACCAGCCGCTCATATCAGGCCCAGGAGATGCGCCGCACCTCATCAGTTCCCGCCAGCCAGTCAAGGTCACCCTCCGCAATGCAGGTCCGGTAATACGTTTCCTCACCCTGTCCGCCGGCATATCTGGACTTCTGTTTGGTTTCGATACGGGTGTCATCAGTTCTACACTGGTCTCAATCGGCACAGATCTCTCCAATCGGCCTTTGACGACAACCGACAAGAGTATTGTAACCGCCATCACCTCACTCTTCGCACTGCTTTCAGCACCGAGCACGGGCTTCTTTGCAGATCGATATGGCAGAAAGTCCGTCATCCTGGTCCCAGCGATGTTGTTCGCACTCGGCGCTGTGATTCAGGCCCTGGCTACCTATGTCTGGATCATGGCCGCAGGAAGGGCACTTGTTGGTGCTGCCGTAGGCGTCGCATCTGGTGCGGTTCCTTTATACATCACCGAGCTGGCACCTGCCGAACTACGTGGACGGCTGGTTACTATACAATCGCTCTTCATTACTGGTGGCCAAGTCGTTGCATATTTGATCGGATGGGGATTCGCAGCATTTCCCCATGGCTGGCGGTACATGGTCGGCGTTGGCGCAGTGCCAGCTTTGCTGCAACTTGTTCTGCTATTCTGGATGCCGGAAACACCAAGATGGCTTTTGCAGACAGGCGAAGATCACCGAGCACGCCAAGTGCTGCAAGATGTATATGCTACATTGCCAGCATCAGACAGAGATATTGTCGTACAGCACGTACTGACGAGCATCCAAGCAGAAATTCAGGCAGAGGACAAAGCTATGCAGGGCTTTAGCACGAGCAGTAACGACAGCAACAGATTCCGCGATGCGACAAATGAACTCATCATGGTACCTGCAAATCGTCGGGCCCTGATTATAGCTTGCATGCTCCAAGCTCTGCAGCAGCTCTGTGGATTCAACTCATTAATGTACTTTAGCGCGACAATCTTCGCCATGGTCGGATTCACGTCTCCGATCGGCACTTCTTTATCGGTAGCATTGACCAACTTCATCTTCACAATCGTGGCCTTCGCTTTTATCGACAGCGTAGGACGGCGCAAAATTCTACTATGGACGATCCCCTTCATGGTCCTCGGTCTAGTGGCTTGCAGTTTCTCGTTCGAATTCATTCCCACGAATGATTCAGAAACAGCAGTCGCTGCGCAAACGGGAAGCGCATCCTGGTCGATCGTCCTCCTGTTCAGTCTGATCGGTTACGTTGCAGCATATGCTACCGGGCTGGGCGTTGTGCCTTGGCAACAATCGGAGCTGTTTCCTCTACGCGTGCGCTCTGTGGGGTCTGGTGCTAGCACTGCTGTCAACTGGAGCTCGAATTTCATCATCGGAATGACATTCCTGCCAATGATGAACTTCCTGGGAGCCAGTATCACTTTTGCGTCCTACGCTATGATCTGTGCTTTCGGCTGGGTTATGATTTGGAAGATCTACCCCGAAACGGCTGGACTAGAGCTGGAAGGCATAAGCGAGCTCTTGCATGACGGCTGGGGAGTGGAAGATAGCATGAGAGGTTTTCGAGAACGAAGACGAGTTGCTCCTGGGCGTGAACGCGATGACCATTCGTAGATATAAAATTGAACATGCCGAAACGGCCACGAATACCTCTGCGCGAAAACGGACCTATCTTCAACACACGCGTCAACCTGAACCTCACGCTCTTCACGCAGCCAACTCACTCTTTGGCGACACATGTCATGGATAGCTTCCTCGTGCATGAGCTGAGCACAAAGATAATGCTCAAGCTAGGATTTGCGACAACTGGCGAAGCGCGACTGCCCAATAGTCCAGAGCTTTGGTCAGCGAAAGTGTAGGGATTCGGATCCTGCGCGCATGAGGCCCATTCACTTCTGATGGATACCATATACTGCAACGCGCCGCCTGCCACAGCCTAGCATTGCGCCTGGACACAATGCTCTGGAAAATGGCCGCTTTGAATACTCTCATTGGCCTCATAGTTGCAGTTGGCTGTACCGTTCTATATTCCATCCTAGGCAACAAGAAGAGGCCAGGACTGCCTCCAGGTCCCAAAGGCCTACCTCTTCTGGGGAATCTCCGTGACTTGCCAAGGCCTGGAGAGCGTGAATATGAGGTCTGGACTAAACACAAGGAGCTCTATGGCCCGATCAGCTCTTTGCACATCCTTGGGCAGACAATCATTGTTATCAATTCAGCAGATTTGGCTATGGAACTTCTTGAGAAACGGGCTACTGTGAGCTATACCCGCCCGTCCATGGTCTTCGCGGGCGAAATGTGCGGATGGAACAAGATCATGATGTTCCAAGCTCCTCGCAGACTTCGCGCCTACCGAAGACATTTTCACAATGTAATTGGATCGCAGAGTTCTCTGGTCAAATTTATGCCGCTTTTGGAAACAGAGGTGAAAAGGTTTCTAGTGAGAGTGCTCGAGAACCCAAATGATCTGTTGCAGCATGTCAGAACTGAAGCTGGTGCCGTTATTCTGAAGTTGACATATGGTTACGATATCGAGCCGCACAAGCAAGATCCTCTCATCAAGCTTGCTGAAGATGCCATGGATCAATTCTCTCACGCTGCTGCACCGGGAGCTTGGATCGTGGACTTGATACCTGCGTGTAAGATGCGGCATATCACACCAACATATGACGCTGACAAGATTGTAGTCAAGTACGTACCAGACTGGATGCCTGGATCAGGCTTTAAGCGCACAGCTCGTCTATGGCAAAAGACGTTTCTCAAGCTAGGCAATGTGCCAATGCGATTTGCGCAGCGACAGATGAAGGCAGGGCATCGCGAACCTTCCTTTGTGTCCAGCGTATACGAGAAATCCGATGGGCGTATGACTGCCGAAGAAGAAGATATTGCCACCTGGTCTGCCGCATCGATGTATGCTGGCGGAGCTGATACCGTAATTGGAGCCAAATTCTGCCTATCTGGCGCCATCTGACGAAAGCACAATGTAGTCAGTCTCCTCCATGCAACTCTTCTTACCAGCAGCAGGTCCCCACTGCTAACGAAGATATTCCTGGCGTCGCGAACATCCCGCAAATGAACGACGAAGGTGCCGACCAACCCCCGGCACTGCAGCATCTGGCGCACGCTTTGCAGCACGACTACGAGTGTCTATATGCAGCTGACCCGCTGGATGATGACATGCACGCTCGGTTGCAGGCCGTGGCCGAGACGGTTCGGCGAGAGGACGAGCAGGCTTGGGATGACTCGTGGGCCGTCGGCGTTGAGAAGGACCGAAGGAGGTCGATGGCGAGGCTGATGGCAGTGGCGGAGGACGCTCGTGTAGCGCGTGAAGTCTCTGATGCGTTTGATTATCAGCGAACAAAGCGCGAAGGTGGACAGGGACGGGGAGCAAGGCGCTTGTGAAGAGGCAGAGCAGAACGAAGGTGGCAGGCGCAGGATGTCGAAAAAGGCAGACCAGGATGGTGTTGACGAGGCCGAGATTGGGGCAGGACAGGAGGTCGGAGATGACACAGAATAGTGAGGAGGGTCGAGGCTCGGGAGGAAAGAACAGCAAAGCTATGTACACAGTCGCGGCTGCCGTAAGTGCTTTCTGGAAATGTCAGTGACGGCCAGGGAGACGGAGGTTGCGCTGTCAATACTTGTACAAAACTTCATCAATCTCACACGACACACCTTCTCACCAGCTCCACCTCACTGCCTCCGCACCAGCTCACCACCCTCTTCTCTACGCCCTCGCCTCTCCAGCGAACGACATAATGAAAAAGATCATAAACAACAGCAACGCCAAACAGCAGACCACGTCCCAAGAACACCCGCAAAAGCAGGCTGATCCCTCCGTCCCCGCCGCTCAGTCAATAGTCCACTCATCCCAACCCAACGACCAGCAATCATACCTCCGAAGAGACGGCTGGTGGAAGTGAAGGGACTATGGCCAGCTCCGAAGAAGACAGGTCGCGCGCACGTCCCACAACATTGGAGATTGGAAGGATCTGTTCGAGGTGGTTGGCTGCTGCTGTGTTGTTGTGTGTGTTGATTGTGGGGAGAGGAAGAAGAAAGGTGCGTGGAAGAATTTATGATGTGTGTGATGTGGGGCGGAAGTGGAAGCTTCTTGAGTCATGCGTGATTAGTCATTAGGCGCAGCGTGGGTGTGAAGTGAGTCATGTCAAGAGTAGATGAAGTGAGCGGTCGTTCAATATAGTCACCGCTTGTGTGAAAAAGAGAGAAGCATGAGCCAGTCGCAGTCGATTAATTGCGCAGCAGTCAATACAGTCATGAAAAGCGGCGGAAGTCAATATTTGACCTCCTTCAAGCAGCGAAGCGGTTTCGATCCCTAAGCCTGCTCTGTTGTGAGCCCTAACGAATGTGAGATCCTGAAGAGAGCTTCAGGCTGAGATTTGTTCGAGACCACTCAGCTCCTGCCTTTTCTGAATCACTAGTTGAGCAATTGTGCAAACCTTCACGCGACAAGCGTTGATATCTGATTCGGGTTCACGAGCTCAATCTTTTTGTGTTGGAAGAAGTGTCAACGAGGGATTCTGGCCAGATAAAATGCAAGTCTCGTCCACTCTCTACTTTCCACATTAAAGGAGCTTGGGATTAATTGCTTTTGCCTTGGAGCATGTTCTGCAAAAGTTGTGCATCGGGAATCGTTGTCACTGTACCAGATTCTTTCAGCACATCTAGAACAATGAGCGATTCGACAGTAGTGTAAGTGAGCTGGAGCCACGTTATGCATTCGCCAAGTATCGCTCTTCGGCCTTGGGAAGTCTCCGTCGGCTTGCTAAGGCAATGATCGACATTGTGTGGACCGCCGATATTGTGACACGTTCACCATGGTCGTCCTTCGGAGTTAGGCCGAATGTCGTTGACTTATGCTCCTGCTGAATCCATCGACGGATTTAGTGCTTTGATGAGTGTGTCTGTTTGTTAGTAGGATTCGAGCTATGCACCTGCTTCCAGCCAAGTGGGCCATTGACTGACGTATTCGTGCTTCATATATATGGATCGGCCGCCTTTCTTCACTTAACCTGCGTTCTAGCAAGTGAAGCGGATTCAGAATGGCGTCCAACTCGAAATTACTCCAGCACGGCACTGTTCTCAGTTTTGATGAGGGTAGCCAGTCAATCAAAGTGCTCAGAAAGGCATCGCTGCTGATCATCAATGGGAACATCGACTCCATCTTCGAAGACGGTGCTCAGCACAATATACCAGATGATTGCGAGATCATTGATGTCGCAGGCAAAATCATCTCCCCAGGCTTCGTCAATACCCACTTTCACGCCTGGATGACGGCCTATCGCACAATGACGCCGGATATCACTTTGACGCACTACCTCGACTGGCTCGCTCCTGCTGGCGACACTGCTCGCAAGGCGTTCTCTGCTGAAGGCGTGTACTGGAGTGCTCTCGAAGGATTTCTCGAAGGCCTCAATGGGGGCGTCACCACAGTTCTGGACCACGACCACGCATGCTGGAATCCGGAGGTGATGAAGAATGGCTATCAAGCTGCAGTCGACAGTGGAGCCCGAGTTTGGTGGTGCTCTGAACCGCAGAAGAACATAGATGGATTCGACGTGGGTCAGCAATGGGATACATTGCAGACTATCGCCGGAGGTGATGATAGGAGCGATGTGGTGGCGCTTGGCATGTCCTATCAAGGGCTTGCCGGAGCCAAAGAGGAGGAGTTCGAGGGTGTGAGGAAAATGGTCAAGTAAGTCGTCGCCAAAATAATGTCTCCAAGCAGCTATTGATCTTCAGCAGAGCAACGAACATGAAAGCCATCACGATTCATCACGTCGGCGGTCCTTGGCCAGCAATGCACAGCTCGCCAGAGTCGCTCGTGGAACAAAACTTACCAAGCCTCGAGATACCCATTATCTTGTCACACGCGGGATATCTGACTGACGCGGAGCGAAAGGTCCTGCGCGACCAGAACATGCATATTTCCATCACGCCAGAATCCGAGCTGCATTGTGGCCATGGACACCCGACTGCCCATCTCGTATCGGATCAAGCTTCCTTGGGCGTGGACATAGCTTTCACATTTTCTGGAGACATCCTCACGCAAGCGCGTATCTGGCTGCAGAAAGTTCGTGATACCAGTTTCCAGAAGCACCTTCAAGAGACCGGACTGCTGCCACGTAGGACGCCGCTTTCAGCCGAACAAGGCTTTCTTCTAGCGACTCGTCAAGGAGGCAAAGCGCTGTGGCGTGACGATATCGGTGTGCTAAAGGTCGGAGCCAAAGCTGATATTGTGGTGTTCGATGGAGGTTCACCCAATATGCTGGGCTGGATAGATCCGGTGGCTGCTGTCATGCTTCATGCCAACGTGGGCGATATTCAGCATGTCCTCGTTGATGGCCAGTTTAGGAAGAGGGACTTCAAACTTGTCGATGGCAAGCACAAATGGGAGGACGTCAAGAAGAACTTCCTCGAGGTGGCGGAGAGGGCGCAGCGCGTGGCTCTCGAGAATATGACCGAGATACCTGAGAAGCTGTGGGGATTCTTTCCCACTGGGGAGGTTGAGGCGCTATCGACGATGAAGACGTGATGAAATACCCCAATTCTTGGGGTGGACCGCCGATGGCCTCGTGTCGTGCTCATCTGTTGTTGCTTACCCAGTTCATGGCCTCTAGCCTCTGTGCGGTGAGTGGTGAGGACGCGGCGTACGTATTCTGCCAAGGGACGACAGCATCTCCAGCATGTCGGCGGTATTGTCTCAACGTGGCATGCCGCGGCGATAATGTCCAGATGACCTGTCGGCGCGCTGGGTGGTGGAGAAACGGTGATTATTAAGGGCTGCAAGGTTGAAGTTCGGCCCGGAGTGCAGGCCCGGCTGGCCGTCGCGACACTGCGCCTCCACGACGACACCTGGCACGTCGTCTTCTCCAGCAGCTTCATCTGCGTACAAATGGCTATCGCTACGCCTTGGCAGCCCTCGTTCCGGTGTTGCGGTGCAGATGTAGTGTGCGCAGCCCTGCATGTCGCCTCCGCAAGCGCACCATTGACGACGTGATCCCAGGCCCGGAGGCCCATGGTCCGTTGGAAGCAACCGCACGCCATCGTGGGGCTGTCGCATAGCTCGATACGGCGCCTGTGGACTTCACTCGGAGAGTTAGCCTGAACGCTTGGTGACCAGTATACTTATTGACTGTTGTCGCTGCTGACTAGATTCCCATCTACCAGCTTTCATTCTTTTCCCTCTTATCCTTCCTCGTCTCCTTCCGGCAAAGCACAATGGCAGCCAAATATAAAGATTTCGATGTCCAGGACGTCTTATCGCAGCTGACCATCACCGAAAAGGTCTCATTGTTATCAGGAACTGACTTCTGGCATTTGGCCGGCGTTCCGCGGCTCGGGATACCAGCTATCAGAACCTCAGATGGACCAAATGGTGTACGAGGCACAAAGTTCTTCAATGGAGTTCCAGCTGCTTGCCTGCCTTGCGGTATGATCAATTTCCTGCGAATATGAAGCAAAGCACGGGGCTGACATTTACAGGCACGGCCCTTGGAGCTACGTGGGACGTGGAGCTGCTCAAAAAGAGCGGCGAGCTGATGGGACGCGAGGCGATCGCTAAGGGCGCTTCAGTCCTGCTCGGTCCTACTGTGAACATGCAACGATCACCTCTGGGCGGTCGAGGATTTGAATCGTATTCTGAGGATCCGGTCCTTGCCGGAAACCTCGCTGCAGCATCCGTGGCCGGCATCCAATCAACAGGCGTTGCCGCGACTCTCAAGCACTTTGTCGCCAACGATCTGGAGGACAAGCGAATGTCCAGCAACAGCATAGTCTCAGAGCGAGCGCTTCGCGAGGTCTATCTTATGCCTTTCCAGATCGCACAGAGGGACGCACAACCATGGGCATACATGACTTCATACAACCTCGTTAACGGAACACACGCTAGCGAGAACCCTAAGCTTCTGCAGCAGATTTTGCGCAACGAATGGGGCTTTGATGGCCTTGTCATGTCAGACTGGTTTGGCGTTTACTCCACAACTGAGGCCATCAAGGCCGGCTTGGACTTGGAAATGCCAGGGCCCCCGTCTCTTCGAGGACCGCAAGTTGATCTGGCGTTGCGTTGCGGCAAGCTTTTAACTCATCACATCGATGCTAGAGTGACAGAAGTCCTCAAGCTGATCAAGAAGTTGCTGCCTTTGAACATCGAGGAAGGCGCAGAAGAATCCAGCATCGACACACCGGAAACCGCTGCCCTTCTCAGACACGTCGCGGCCAACAGCTTGGTCCTTACTAAGAATGAGGAGAACGTGCTGCCTTTCAAGAAGGAAAAGACAACTGCTGTCATCGGGCCGAATGCCGCATTTGCGGCCTTTTCTGGGGGTGGCTCTGCATCACTCCTGCCCTACTACGCAGTAACGCCACTCGATGGAGTCAAGTCTAAAGTGCCAGAAGCTCAGTACGCACTTGGCGCTTCAGCCTGGAAACGGCTACCACTCTTGTCTCGTGCTGCTAAGACCAAAGATGGTCGATCCGGACTAATCATGAAAGTCTACCTCGAGCCTCCGAGCGGGAAAGAGAGGCAAGCTATTGACGAGCTTCTCATCAAGGACACCAATATCTTCCTGTTTGACTACAAGAACCCGCAACTAAATTCGCATCTGTTCTACTCCGACATCGACACGACCTTTACGCCTGAAGATACAGCTGAGTATGAGTTCAGCTGCTCGGTGGCAGGAACCGCTCAGTTGTTTGTCAATGGCGAGCTCGTTATTGACAACAAGACCAAGCAAACACCAGGTGACTCCTTTTTCGGCGTTGGTACACAGGAAGAGATTGGTACCATCAAACTCGAAGCGGGCAAAGCCTATGATGTGCACGTGGAATTCGGCTCAATGCCGACCCTCACATATAAGAAAGAGGGCGTTACTGCATTCGGTGCAGGCGGTATTCGCATAGGTGTGCACCGCAAGCTTGACCCGAAGGTCGAACTTCAACGCGCTGTCGATCTTGCAAAGAGCGTCGATCAAGTCGTGCTTGTCACAGGTCTCAACTCGGACTGGGAATCGGAAGGATACGATCGAGCGCACATGGACCTGCCACCTGGATCCGACGAACTTATCGAAGCCGTGCTCGCCGCAAACCCCAATACCGCTGTCGTTGTCCAATCGGGTACACCAGTGACGATGCCATGGGCCGATAAGGCGAAAGCATTGGTTCAAGCTTGGTACGGCGGCAACGAGATCGGTAATGCCGTGGCAGACGTGGTCTTTGGCGATGTGAACCCAAGCGGAAAGTTGAGCTTGAGCTTCCCGAAGCGCAACGAGGACAATCCGGCCTTCTTGAACTATGTCAGCGATCATAACAGAGTCTTCTACGGCGAGGACGTGTACGTTGGATACAAGTTCTACGAGAAGACAAAGAAGGAGGTCCTGTTCCCATTCGGTCATGGCTTGAGCTACACGACCTTCGAGCTCAGCAATCTGCAGGTCGCAGATTCAGACGAAATCACCGTGTCCGTGTCAGTCTCAAATACTGGCAAGATTGGTGGTGCTGAGGTTGTTCAAGTATATGTCTCGCCAGAAACGCCGAGCATCAACAGGCCAAAGAAGGAGTTGAAGGGTTTCACAAAGGTCTTCCTTGAGCCTGGCCAGACGAAGACAGCGGAGGTGAAGATCTCCAAGAAGTACGCTACTAGTTTCTACCACGAAGGCAAAGATGCTTGGCTATCGGAGAAGGGCAAGTACACAGTACTGGTGGGCAATTCGAGCGCGAATACACCACTTTCTGGGCAGATCGAGGTTGCGAAGGATTTGGTATGGAAGGGATTATAGAGGCTTGACATGACCATGCGTAATGATGAATGATACCATTGAGCTGGGCAAATCTCGATTGCTCTGATTCTCGGTTCAGCTGTCTCCAATCTATCGGCATTCACAATTCTCAAACTCTGGAGTCGAATGTTGTCTCTATTTTGGTAAGTGAAGAAAGTGGGTCTCAGACACGTGATGTCATCGGTTCAAACTTGATCCGCCCGACGCGTCCCAAAACAATCTTTGGCCAGACAACCGGCCGATCATTCACTTGCGAGAGCACACTCTAGCGAATATAAGGACCACAGATTGCGCTCAAGTGTCCGCCGCTCACACAGATGACCACAATACGGAAGCTGCGCCAGCTCTGTGATCATGCTCTTCTCCCGCATACGCTGCCACTTTTGTGGCTCGAAACAACCATATCCCAAAGATGTCGTCGAGTTCCAGTGCTCTGGCTGCGAGGCCGTCAACTACCTGGACGGCAAGGGTAACATCATCGACACACCACAACGAGCTGCATCACCCCCGCCGCAGACCATGCCTGACAACAGGCCCTTCTTGTCCTTCACGAAACCACTTCCCGATGCACTCGAGCACCAGCAAAAGCAGGCCTTTTGCCGGACATGCACCCAGAATCAGCACCTGTACAACCGGATATTGGCGGAATATCTTCCCGAAGACCTCGAGGAGAACAGCAGAGAGTACAGGATGAAAATGCGAGCATTGCCCAAGTACAAGGCGGAGTTGGAACAAAAGTACCCGCAAGTGTGCAAGAAATGCGCAGCAGTTGCGCAGACTATGATCAATCGAGCGGATTATTATGCCATGTCACAGAACGCTGCAAAATTGGTGCAGGATACAAGAAGAAGAGGTGGTAAAGCTGCGACAAGGACACGGGACAGTACAGACAAGAAGATTATGCGAAACTTGCTACGAATGCTTGGGGTGCTACTGTTCCTTGGATATATGGCGCAGATTGCATTCCATGCTTATGGCATACTGCACACCCTCTTCGGAATCTCAACAGAAGAGACCGAGGTGAATGCTGTGCTCGCTCCACATCTCCGCGAATGTGTCCAGCAGACCTTTCGATTCACCTTTGACAACTCCTGCTATGGTGTCTTCAGCTCGCTTGTACCAAAGGCACTCGCGCTCAGTACTGTTTTGCTCTGGTTCAATCCGAGCCTGAAACTCTGGTATCATCACACAAAACGCATCGAGGCCATCGATGGCCAGCAAACGTACTTTTACATGCAGCTCATCATTCTACTGGTCAGGAGCTGGTCTTGGTACACGATGTCGTCTGGCTCATCAGCTACCAAGCTCGAAAGGGAACAAACAATTGCGATACATGGCTTCACAATTTTGTTCATGCTCGTCACGCAGGCAGTGGCGAACCGAAACATAAAAGCAGTACAATGGACCATGAAAGGCAAGATCATGCCGAAGCCGAGTGAAAGGGACATTCTTGGCGCAGTAGCAGGACCTGCGCATGAGCATCACACACCGAAACCATCATCGAAGGATCCGTGGAAGTATCTCAGGCGAGACGACACAACGCAACAATTTGACATCAACAGCCTGGCGCCCAAGGCGGAACAACCTGTGCTACGACCTACAACAAGGTATCTAGCCAGACAGCCTTCTCCGGAGTTTTCTGACTACGGCGACGGAGACTTTGACGCGATGGAAACGGATGACAGGCCAGTCATGCGTTCATCACAACGAATGTTAGACAGCAGGCCGAACCTTCAACCCCGACACACATACTCGAATCAAGCAAATGCCGCTCCACTGGCCTTTGGCGATGTTCGAAATCAACTTTCGGGCGTTTCATCACAGATGGACCAGGAAGCAGAGCGATTGAGAGAAGAGCAAGCGCAAAAACTTCATTACCAGCCACAGCAGCGACAGAGCCCCTTCTACGGTAGCCTACCACCAGCACCAATGAGCATGGAAAGGCGGCTGCGCAATCCAGTTTTCCGCCCGGCTGTACCGGAGCAAGTACCATTGAGTCAGCAGAAAGACTTCATGGCCCAAATGAGACGAGGCGTAAAACCAGTCACATTTCCGGAGAAAGGGACAAATTTTCAGCTCAAGCAGAGCAGCTGGGTGTTACCTGGTGATGTCAAGGAGACGGGGATAGAGGAAAGATTCAATACGTCCTTCAAACTGGACGACGAGCAGCCTGGTAATGGGAAGAAAGGTTTCTTTGGGAGTTTGTTTGGGTGATTCGACAGCGGCATTGCACAGAAGAGACTTTCTCGGCGGAATTTGTCCTGCTCATATTTGGGGAGGGAGTTTTGGATTTCAGAACGATGGAACGAGAGATACCCGGTCTGCATGGCGGCGCTTTTTCATTGATTTGTAGCGTTTGTTGAGCATCTCGCATAGCGCTGTGTACTTTAGAGATATTGTGGGCAATGGCATGCAGGCACCGACCTGCTTTCTGATTCATCCGCTCTCCACGAGCTTGACTTGGCGCTTCTGGAATGGCGCAGATCTCGCAGCATAGAGTCGGGTTCGTCGCCCTGCAGGTCTGTGAAGTGCAGTGCTAGCGCTGACCCAGAGCACTCAACGAACGCCAGCGGTCTCGCCTAGAGGATCTTGGACTTCGAGTGACTGACGCAAGATCAGCTGCGCTATTGACTTGGCAGGTCAATGGGCAGCTAGTCGCTAACAGCTATAAGAACCCGTCAGCAGCAAAGCCTGCTTGGTAACTGGGCCTTTCTGGCACGTCGCTGACCTCACGTCGTATATCTCGGATCGAACAGAAGTCTCGGCGCGCACGCGTCTTTGGGGACTTGCAAGATACATCTTCTTCTAGGCAAGCTATTCGGACCAAATCGCTAGCACGCATCTAGATGAAGCGTCGAACTTCATCATGACAATCTTCATACGCTCTCACAACACACCTCTCATCTGAATCTTGTCTTGGACGACGCATCACCACATGACATCGACAAACGATAGACATGGCGAGAGGACGGGTAGACCTTGGTGATGATGTCTGCACTTGACGCGGATATTGGAGTTTCGCAGAGGCATTCGTTGGTTACCCACCAATCTTTGGAGGCTCTCCTAAGTTTTGCTCGGATAGTGACTGTTCCGTGGCGCCGACACGGATCACTGTCATACCCGGAAACGCGACCATGGGGTGGATTGACTGTCCATCCGAAATGACCGCATATTCTTCATGTGGCACTTGATGAGTGATCGATACGAACGCGATTGGGCCCTAAGACAAGTTGAGGAGTAGCACGAGCGGCCGCACTGTCGAAACCCTCGAACCCTTGGCGCCGGACCTGGCCACCCAGATCTTTAGTGATCACGAAATCCATGCATGATGAATGAAGGTCATCGACATATTTGCACCTCCTGTGGTGAGCACACAAACTCTCGTGAATGCTGCTAAGATGCCGACGCATGGTCAAGGCTCTAATTCAGCTCTATACTCGTCGATCGGCGGCGTGCCGCCAAGTAAGAAATCGCCCAACTTGATACCCTACTAGTTTCATACCTCATTCGTCATCTACTCAACACGATGTGATTGGCGAACTCCTATCAATAGCATGCAATTGGTTCAGATATGTCGTTCGAAGATGCTGGAGCGGTACGTGTGTCCGTCAAAGCTTCGATGATGGATCCTGAGAACCGTAAAGACCGAAGATGGACGCTGCATCGTAAGTCTCTGGTAGTGCTGATTGACTGCTAGAACTATCTGGGTTCATAAACACGGCTGTGCAATGCTTCGCGGTTGTACGCATGCGTGTCGACTGCTCTGCCACATGCTAGAGTACTACGAAGACCGGGATCTCGACTCTCCATTGATGAGGCAGACGTATAAAAGTTCGGTTCTGTGTCCGTGGCAAGCCTCCATCTGCTCATCAACAAGCCGTGCCTCAGCTTAAACTCGAAAGGTCGAACTGAACAATGGCTACAACTACAAGCTACGAAGTCTTCCGCGAGTTAGTGACATCTCGAGCGTTCCAAATATGCAGCTTCTTGCTGCTTGTGTTTCTCTGTGCTCGATGGATGCACTCGCGATTGCAACTCTTAAACACAATCGAAGGCGATGACAGAACAAAACGCAGCGCCAAAATCATTGCCTCGAGCGCATATGTTCACAATATCGTGGTCGTGGGACTCGTCTACGGTTCGTCTTCAACGAGGGCTTCGATCTTTGCAATCATTCATTAACTTCATTACAGCCGCCATAGAGAGTGACTTCATTGCGCCTCTGTTCGCATCTGAAAGTGAAGAACGAGTGTCCGCAACTACCTGGCAAGTTGCAATCGTGTCCACGATCTTGATCTTGGGCATAACTTCGACTTACCCTGTGCTGTTTGCTACCAATTTCTCGTATCTGAATAAGCCGAAGGAGCGAGACTGGAACAAACTCTACATTCTTGTAGTGACTAAAGGAACCAATAAGAATACTGTGGAACGATCGAGAGCGATGCGCGATTTGGAAACGCTGGACGACCGAATTCGCTTCGTTATCCTCACTGACGAGGGTTCCGGAGCGGACATCAAGCAAGAAGATGTTGGCGTCGCAATGATCCGCGTTCCTAAGTCATTCTCGCCGACAAAGGCGAAGCATAAAGCCCGAGCACTGGAATACTTTCGACTCAGAATGGAGCTCGGCGACAACGACTGGGTCTTACATTTGGACGAGGAGACGATTGTAGACACGCATTGCGTCCTTTCATGCATCTCGTTCATTGAGCGTGCTACTGAATACGATTGGGGCCAAGGCATCATCACGTACAACACAGTCAATTACTGGAAGAATCCTTTCTTGACCTTCGCCGAGATCTGTCGTGTGAGAGATGACCTTGGACGTTTCCAGTTCATGCAAAGCACGCTTCATATGCCATTGTGGGGTGCTCATGGCTCATTCTTCCTGGCCAGTGGCAAGATCGAGAACGCAGTCACGTTCAACACCGAATGTATTACTGAGGACTTCTGGTTCGCCAACCGAGCATGGTGGGACCATGGCTACCGAGAAGGTCATATTCCAAGCGTAGCTCGAGAGCAGAGCAATTGGACAGTCATGGATCTACTGAAACAACGAAGGCGCTGGATTGCTGGTAATTGGAAAGTAGGCATCTTCGGTAAATGTGGCGTTGGTGAGTGAAATCTTTCTACATGCAAAAAATTTCTCCGCTGACACAGACGCAGTTGCGTGGTTCGTCTTAGGCTTCGAGCCTTTGCTTGCGACAGCTCTTCGGTTCTCTCTGGTTGCGATGCCTTACACTATTGCACTCATGATGAAAGTACACTTGCTGTTTAGCTTGTTCACTTATGCTTTCGCAACCTTCCTGTCCGACGTTGATGCTGGCGTGAGCCCCTGGATGATAGCACTACATGTCTTATTGTCGCCTGTGCTTGGATATGTAGCTCACGTACTGGGACTTATCGCGCTGATATACGCGGCTGTCCGGCCTGTAGGGCCGAATCAGTTCGAGATAGTGAAGAAAGGTTAGCACAATCTTCGGCCATGTAAAACGCAGAAAGTCGAACTCCGCAACCGTGCTTCGACACAGGAACAAGCATCGTGAGACTCACGCCCCGGTCGAGGTTGCTCAAAGTGGCAAGGGCGTTGGAAGGACAGCTCTGAGCGAGGCCAGGGGGAGCTCAATGTATCTCACTACCTATATCAGCAGTGCCTATTGGCTCTTCCAGTGAACACAGATGATCGGAATTCCATTTCCGACATGCTGCTGCCTCGAGCAATGTTCGGTGGAGGATTCTTGGAGGAACAAGGTGCAAGTGCACCATCGTCCACTCGACGGTGCCTGTGCAACGCCTTCTCCTTCCCTTTCTTCGTACTGGGTCCCTTCCTTCTATCGCCTCGTACTGCACGCAGCTCTCCAACGCCCGCCAACTCCACATTGGGCCAAGGCGCTGCAGACTTGCAACATGCCTCGCAGTAGAGCATGAATGATGCTATATCAGCTTGGGGTAGTCTTGTACATTACCTCTGGCTGCGCCCACTCATCTTTCTTCGAAGTGATCTGAGCTCGATGGCGCGAAGTTGGTCGTCACTGCATTGCCCTACAATGTAAGAGGGTGCTTCCGGGCGCTCGATCGCCTGTGTCCAACCAAGTATCGTCTTGACTTCCCAGCTTGTCCTATCGTACTTGAATCCTGCATCTGGTCGAGATATATACGAGATAGCACGCAGAGGTTGGCGAAAAGGGCGAATGAAACGTAGGGATGCGCCGCGGTCATCATGCTGGCCACTTCTTTTTACTCGTGCAGAAGAAAGGGCTCGATGGGGCTCAGAATGAGACACTTGTACGGTCGTGACGATTCTGTTCATACCACTCTTGCAAAGGTGGGCTGCAGATTGAGTTCAGGTGACAGGATGAGACGACCGCAGGATAATCGAGAGGTTGAGCAAAACTGCGAGCAAGTGGGGGACCAGCAAGAGCGCGATCCAGGACCTTGACGAGGGCGCTGATGCGAAGCACTCCTTGTTTCTGACTGACATATGTTTCCATCAGCACGTTCTTTGGGTCGAAGGTGTTCGTAAGCATTGACAACTGGGAAGACAACCTAGGGTTGGCAGATACGCTCACCATGCCAGTGAAATGGTTGCACCTCTCACACTACTCTCGTACTCTGCAACAAATGTACGGCTGGAGGCAGGAAAGATAGCCTAGGGTGGCGAGAGGTCAACGCGCATGACCGACAGCTTCGAGACCACCTATTGCGTAGTCCAACGAGGCAGTGCTTCGCCGCACTGAAGCCACTGATCGGAATCTAGACGACTGGGTCCGTACACCCTCTCCCAGCTCTGTCGCGCCGAGCGACATCCCGAGTCGTCTCACACATTGTCCGATGAACAAGGTTTACGCATCTCCGATGTTGGGCACCATCGCAGGATCGGCATGCCTCGTGCTGCGAATGTCGATCTGGCCATATTGGTTGATGTTGAGACGCTCCCAAACACTTTGTTTTGTTCCACAGTGATGGTAACTGTTTGAGTGGTGAATGAGGATGCTCCTGGTCGGTCGTACATGCGTGGCGTCTTGCGCGTCTCTGGCTCAAACCTCTAGGCGCATGGCGCGGAGCTCGCGTAAAAGGTCTGCGGCGTATTCACGGTCGCTCAGGCAAGCACTGGGACGTTGCATTGCAAGTAGTGTGTTGTGACGCTTTCGTGTCCGCGATCTTGTTACTGCTCACGTGGCTCACGTGATGGTCGTTGATGCCAAGCATCGTGAAGTGAAGTTTTCACTTCAACATTCACCGCGCACAAAATTGTCAGAATTTCGCGCGCGCCCCAGGCAGCAATGAACGTCTCAGTGATCCTGAGCTCTCATTGGTCAGATGTTTTGTTGATTCTGAGCGGGCCGCAGCCCTCGCCGGCACTACAAGAAGGGCTTTCTTCCCCTACCAAACCTCTTCTTCTTTTCCCCAGCTCTCTTTGCCTTTTGGCTTAGGTCAGTCACACTTCCACCTCTTCGATCCATTGCACAACCGCTAACAGTTCAGAAGATCAAGTGTAGTGAGTTTGGCGCCACATCCCGAGTTCAATGACTGCTTGTTGACCACTGCTCCCAGGTATCTGTTCTTTTCAGTTTAATCTCTGAAACGTCACTACGGTGACCTTCTAGATTATTCTTATTTTTTGAACCAGTCTCTGGGCCGCTGAGCTTGCTCATGTCCAGTGGCACCGTGTCGCTGGCCTTGCACTGCCGCCTGCTGACGCGAACACCTTTCATCAGTCTCTCGCAACTGCGGGCACCTGGAGAAGAGTGTGCGGCCTTCGAGGTATCGTTGATGCCGAGTGGTGGAATCTTCGACGCGCCATGGCAGGAAAACAGGAGTCGAGAACATGTGTCGGCCGGACCAGGCCAAATCTATTAAGTGCAAGCGCTCGCTGATCTATAATGCTGCCGCCCCGCAAACTCCTGACGGCAGCAGTTTCCGACAGAAGCGCCTCTATCCTGTTGTACAATGCTTTGAGCAGAGAGTGATTTCTCCCAAACGACCATCTTACATGCGACTCGTATCCAATTACGCCGGTGTTGGCTTCGGCTTGCCAATTTGCCAGCCCCATTTTCGCAGTTGTTTGACGACCTTTGGTGTTATGGCCAGGGTGATGGGGATTCGGAAGAAAATGAGCGACTTGTGCACGCCATATGCGAGCAGGAGTTGTGTACCAAGACCTACTATTATCAGCCCATGTGGTAGTGCAAGACATGCTACTCGATGACCTACCTGGATTCTTACTCTTCGCTTGTTCAGCAACCTGGTCGCCGGCCTCACGCGCTGCAGCCGCAGCTTCTTCCGCAGCACTTGCCTCCTTTTCGAGTCGTCTGTCCTTCAAACTCGGCATGACCTTCTCGGCGATGTCCCAGAAGCCATCCATAATTTTGTGCTCTATCTCCGCTATCCGCTCCGTGCCAAACCACTTCACTGCTAGGAAGCAGAACGGGAAGTCGAGCACTGATAGGCCGAGATAGATGCCTGTCACTGTCCAACCGTACTTCCGCGACATCTCCTTCATCCGCTCCGACAGAGATCGGGGCTTTGCGCCATCTGCTGCCTGACTGCTGTAACCCCGACGCGTCCGTACATTCGGCCTGGCTTTGCCTTGGACTGTCCGCCACAGTCTTTTCCCTAGCAACGCGTTTGCATTCCCGCTCGTCAATCCTCGCCTTTGAGGAGCTGTTGGGCTCGGAAGTTGTGGTAATCGTCTCGCGATTGTTTGCCTCATCGGCGCCCGCAGCGTGGCATCGTGGAATGCCGTCTGGCGGAAGAGCTGCAGTAGTCGCGGTGACTTGAGCATGACCGGTTGCGATCGACGTTGTCGTATGGAGATGATGGGCGATCGATGCTCGCGAAATATTCCTCGCAGCCTTGACATCACATCACAGCCCCGAACGTAGCTTTTGACGCTGCGGGCCGACCCTGTGCCAAGCCTGCTCTCTCGCTGATGAGCGCACAAGACGGGCTCAGGTCCTGCTCTTTCGCTCGTCGTACACCGAGATTTCAGGCAGTTTCACGGCACGACCACGTCTGCAGCAGATGGTTGCGTTTTGTTTCCGCGTGACAGTCTCACTTGTTGCTAAGATGCACGCCGAGAAACCTACAGAGGTTCTACCGGACCCTCTCCGTCGCTTCCCAGCGTGAGGCTCGAGGCGGCGAATCTGGTTGCGACTGTGCCGCGCATCTCCAAAGTTAAATCCAGGAATATGACGGCGCTTTGATGCCCAAGTTTCTTCGTGTGTTGGGCTCGTGCATTGTCTCGAGGCAGAGAGGAGTTACGATTGGCACTGTGTGCTGCGCGTAGCCGACTCCAATTTCACGGCAACCCGAGTCTCGAGCACTGGAGCCGGCGAGGCCGTGAGCAGGCTGCACAGCTGGCCCTTGGGAGACCCGCTGATGAATCGCCATCGTCGTAAGCGAAGGGACAGCGACAAGATCACACGCGCAAGGACCAATAGTCGCGGCGGATGCTGGCGAGGATGCTCAAGCTCCTCCGCAGGCGTTCGATCGAATGGTCTGGTTGTCGGCTAGCTTCCGATTCCTTCGCAGCCATGCGCCTGGTTTTGCTGTAACTACCGCATTCGAAGCTGTCGAGCACATATCGTACGCTACGGGGTCTGCTCGTCGACGCCAGGCGCAGCGGATAGGTAGTGATCTGCATGCCTGCTGAACGCGCCACAATGTAGTGCCACCAACCGAACCAGAAGCACAGCAGAGTGGAAAGGATTCTAAAGCCTGGGTATGGGGGTCACTAATTTCGGTTCCGAAGGCGTCACTTGGGGCTGCTGGAGATACATGTGGTTGTAATGAATGACTTCGCACGCCGTCAGCCGTGCAACATGGCTCATTCGCGGCGGGACGATTGTCGCTGCATCAGAATGCGGCTCTAATGGTGCTGATAAGAATGCCTGAGGGCCGCAGGTGATTGCGGCTGATATTGGCTAAAGTCAATATCTTACCCTTCGGGGCGGTCGCCCGCATAACGTGATGGCAGCCCTCGTCTGTCTCGAACTCTATATTAGCATCCCTCGGCATGTGGCTGAGGAGCATGCACGCAAACGGTTAACTTTGGGACGCGCACATCCTGGCAAGGATGTGGTGGGAAAGTGACTCCTGGCGACGTTCTTCCACTGCCTCTCCGCGCTGTCATTGAAACGCAGCGGGTGGAGCATTAGCTCAGTCGCAGCCGCCTTTACTTCGCATTTGCGTGAAGCTTATTTGGAGCCTTTTTCTAGGACACTGCGTGCCCGAAACGGCTTTCATCAGCCCGGCCTTGACGCGACAGGGTGCTGCTGCGAGCACATGTGAGGCTGCCGGCTCGCCAGCAGACGCAGCAGCAGACATAAAGGCCTCCAGCCCGGTGGCTCACCCAGGGTAAGCCCACCCCATTATTCTGTGCTACGACTTGACTTGATCTCTTTCCCTTGCTCCCCAATCGCTACGCCCTCGCACTCCACCTGTGCCCTCTGACATTCGCATTACGTGCCACCGACGAGCCGCCATGTATATACACCCAGGCCTCGCCGTCACCTTCGCCACCTACCCGAGTCCTCCCTCGCTGGCCGCTGATACGCCTCTGCAATACCCCGACGACGAGCTGTTCCTCATGGGCGCCAACACGAACGTCAATGTCGATGGCGTTGGCGTGCTCAACTACCAGAGGGCCATCGACATCGCTCGTAACTCGGAAGGCGAGCTGGACCCCATGGTGTCCGCATATCTGGAAGGAGCCCTCACAGACATCTGGAACCGCGTCACGCTCCAACCCGACGAATATGTCATGACCAAGGACGAGTTTGCCGTCTTCAACTTCTACCGCCGCCGCTTCGAGGAGAACGAAGTTGCGGAGCACGCTGTTGCACGATACTGGGCCAACACGTACGAATGTCCTGCTGCTTCCACATAGGTCTTGTGAGTATGCCGACTTCCGAGCTTGGATATCGATTCGCTCTTGGCCTGCGATCAGTGGCCCACCTCTTGCCGTCCCAGTCAACACCACAATCACGCATAGCATCGATTCGGACGACACAGCTAACACCATTCCGTCAGCAGATTCTCCTGCATGCGCCTGCATCACCAATAGCTTCGTCGCACCATGTCAGGTCAAGGGGCCGACCGCAACGATGAGAAGAACGCCGTGTCACGTCTGCTGGATCCGCCTGGATCGTTCATCTGCGGGGACAGGGTGGGTTCTTCACACATCACCTTGCCAGTACTGAGCCCCACCCGGCGGATTTTGCTCGGGATGATGGGAGGAGCTCTCGCACTTGCGTTGCTCGTCACCGTCTGGCCGGAGAAGCCCTTCGCTTGGGGGTCGCGGCCCGCGATAACAACACTCTCCAGAGTGAAGGTTCCCAGTGCTCACATTCATACACTATCCGATACACTGTCCGAGGTCTTCGAAGTCTACCCTCCCGTTCTTGCCGTGACTCCGAAAGGTGATCTCGAGATCACTGATGGCTCTTCCAACGCAAGTGTTGCCGTCATACCAAGCACAAAGCCGACATGCCAAAGCACATTAGTGCAACACTCATTCGCCAACTCATATGGACAACCATACGTTGGGGACTACTCGCCACCACCATGTGACTTCAACCGAGTCACCTTCAACCTGACTGTGCAGGCAGCAGGCAGGCAATACGACCGCCTTGGGTCGATCTCTTTCGGCGATATCGAGCTCTTTCGCACCTCAACTGCAGAGCCTACGAAGAATGGCATTACCTGGACCTATCTCAAAGACATGACAAGCTTCTTGCCGCTTTTCCGAGCACAACAGAAAATTATATTCGATCTTGGAAACCTAGTGAACGATATCTATACAAGCCCATTCAATGTGACCCTTACTGCAGCATTTTTCACAGTTCAAGACGGTCCTACACCGGCCGATGTTATAATTCCTATCTCCAAACGACAAGGTGCTACAGGCCAGGCTAGCTTCTTTAAGTTTCCACAAGACAAAGCAATCAATGCAATCACCCTGCCACAAAATACTCGCAAAGCAGTTTTCACAATTGCTGCCACTGGCCAAGCACAGGAAGAGTTCTGGTGGGGCAACGTTCCACAGTCTGAGACCAACGTCTTCCCGGGCAACGATTCTCTGGCTGGCTTTTCTCCCTTCCGCGAGGTCCAACTGTACATTGATGATCTGTTGGCAGGCGTTGCGTGGCCCTTCCCTGTCATCTTCACTGGGGGCGTAGTTCCAGGGCTCTGGCGGCCAGTTGTTGGCATTGATGCCTTCGACCTCAAGGAGGAAGAGATTGACATCACACCCTGGTTGGGCTTACTTTGCGACGGGAAGAGTCACACCTTTGAGCTTCGTGTCTCTGGATTCAATGATAGCTCGGATGGTACCGCATATGCCTCCAATACTACAGGTACTACTTGGTGGCTGAGTGGGAAAGTCTTTACATGGCTCGATCGTCCAGGCCATGTAACTACTAGCGGCCAACTGAAACGCCTTGCGCCGGACCCTTCCTTCAAAATTGCTTCGCAGGTCTATCATTCGTCGAACGGGTCGAATCTGACTCTTACGTACGAAGTCGAAGCGTCTCGGCACCTGTCAGTCTCCTCACAGATCCAACTCTCTGATGGCTCGGTGACAGTCGCTTGGACACAGCAGCTTCAATATTCTAACAGTGGCAACTACACATCGACTGGAGATCAGACGAATACTGCGCGCACCACTGGTCAATACAGGTCATCTGGTGGTTACTATCGCACATTTGAATACCCCATCTATTCTCACAGCACCCAGCAGTCGATCGATGGTAATCTCACGTTGACTGCGACAGTCAATCGCAGCAAGAACATGCAGACTATAGGCCGCCTGGCATTTCCCATAGGAATAGAGCCGTATGCAGCGGTGAACGCTTCTCAAGCAGAATTCACGGCATTCCAGGGCGCTGCGTTGCGAACTTCTCAAAACGGCAGTGCTTACTACACTGCGAATCAGACCGAGCACACATCATATGGCTACGGTAATACAACACAGCACATGAGCCTTTTCGGAGTCCGGTCCTCTGAAGATTCGGACAGTGATGGCATGCCGAAGATCACGCACACCAAGGAGCTTTTCCACCGCCAGGTTCTTGCCGTCAACGACAGCGTCGTTCAGGATGAGGAGAGTTTAATGGGCGTGAGCATCGGACACCGTCACGGGCATCGTCACCACACGGCAGGCGATGGCGAAGGGATGGCCCTATCAGGCACTCCGGGAAAGGGAGCATGGGTTCGTGGTTGGTGAGAAGGATGCTGGTGGCTAACGTTAAGCGCGGTTGATATTCGGTTTGGGGATCAGCTGCGCGGCTGCACAGTGTATACTTTTAACCAGCGTATTCGAGAGGCAATCTCCTGGGGTGCCACGTATTGCTTCGCCTTGTGCTCAGCACATACTTCATACGTAAGCTGAGAAAGAGAAACATAACAACTGCATGGCTCCGCAGCATCAGCAATCTGGGTGAAGATGTTGTCCCGGCCAGAATGCTTGGCCGTGCCGTACCCTGGCTGGAGATGGCGTCAAACTCGTGCAGTCCTTGCTCACCGTCCGGTTGTATCCCGCCTTCCGAACGCACGCCCGCATCGCATCAGCCAATCTCTCGAGTGAGCGTCGTCCGTCGACGTTTCTGCACCCACTTGGCACGATTCCCAGCCCGAAGATGAAATCACGGCCAAGACGCGCAGTCGGGACAGACTTCACAGAGTTTCAACCAGCGTGTCTCGGCGGCGGCACATTCCGTATAGGGCGGACCAGTCTGGCATGAGCCACAACGTTCGAGCATCTGTCGTGGAGCACGCTGGAAACCTTCGCAAGTCATGGTGTCTTGATGCGAATCCTACGCGTGTCTGATCTGATTCATCGACGCCGGAGACAGCACCCGAACTGGACTTCTTCCCCGCAGCACGACGAGGGCTGTCTCTCTCTCTCATGCATCCAGAAGGCCACTGCGCGTCGCCGCCATGGCGCCTGGGGAGCGACCGTCACGGCTGCTGCTGTGGCTTCTCCTGCAGCCTGCCGAACGCCTCTACAGTCAATTCTGTCTATAACGATGCCTCCGTTCTGGCGATTTTTATCGTTATAACGGGGCATCGTTACTGGAAATAGTCATATGACCCTCGATCTGAGGCATCACCTGATTAGTTATCCGAAAAACAGGTCTGAAAAGGGTATTTTCTATGCGGACCCGCCAAAAACTAGCCGCTAAGTCTGGTCGGGAGGTGTTCCGATAACGATATTACTGCAGTTGGGGGCCGTGCGCACTACCATATCGCTAACGATATCGCTATATCGCTGCGTACACCAAAAAACAGTAGTGCGGCCGATTAGTATCGATATAACGAGATATCGTTAACCGGAGAATCGCTATAGACAGAATACACTGTACGTACGAGAGATACTCGCCAGTTCACGTCTATATCGCGCGGTGGTCCGGGTCGGAACAAATCCTGCGGTACGGTAACAGAGTCGGAGCGAAGAATACGCTGCTGGGCAAATGGGGCTCTGCGACATTGCGAATGTCTGCCCGTGGACTGGATACCATACTTTCACTGGGCTGTCTGTTGTTGAAATGATGCGAACACTGAAGTCCTGCTCCGAGATATTCCCAGCCCGGCCTGGATCAAATTAGCACGATCGGATCCAATTCTCTGCTTCAACATCGGCAGACGGGCGGGTTCCGGAAGCGGCATACATCGTGGGCAAATCACGTCTGCGCTGTCCAGATCTGTTCCGTTCGTGCGTCTTTCGGCCAGGCCACCACGATGTCCGACTTTCGATGTGGTTCGAGAAGGCGCGCTACTGTAATCCCGTACAATCACGACGCATGTAAATTCGCAGCCCGTCCCGTTAGAACCTCGCTCAGAACAGATCTGTCGAGCTACTGTAAGGCGACAGGCCACCCGGTCAAATCAGCCTTGTCGTCAACCACACCAGCCTGCAACTTCAACTCTGCCATTCCATGCAATCCTCGCGCCGGATTCACGGTATCTGCTATATGACATTGCTTTGCATGGGCTAAACACGGTATCAACGTCATCGCCATTGTATTTCCAATCCTCGCTTTATGGAGGAGCGAATGCAGATCTGCCCTGCCTTCCTTACGGGTCGCACTTGGCGAGCTAGCTGTTCGGACAGCTCTTCCGCAGCACGCTATGCCTTCGTCAATGCACTTCACCTCGGGTGCTCGCCACGAAACCTACGCTTTCCGCTACAGTATGTGCATGGCCACAACACGAGGCTGCCTGCGATGTGGCGGGCCCGAATATCAGCAAAGGGCTATGTATGCGCTTTGGCTGAACGATGGAGCCAGAGCGACGCGCAAGGCCTGCCGATCAACTAGCAAGAGCTTGCAACGATGAAGACAGATGTGGGTGATCACCGCAAGCCAGAAGCGATTTGATTTCGAAGAGAAATGCCATTTGCTAACCATCTCACACTCGCTGACTTCCCAGTAGCGCTCGTCGAACTTTGTTTCTTCAAATGACTTAATCGCCGACAAGCTCAGGACTATTTGTTCTGATCCTTGATCAAGGGAAGTTGATATTTCGAGAGTTCGTACTGACCTAGGGTGCCTGTCGACGGACTTGGCGGGAAATCAGCTGTGGCGGTGCACAGCTACGTACAGCTCCTGCAAGTGGACAGCGGTGGCCTGACTCGTGTCCTGCAGCAATCTGCATCGAGGCGAATTATCCGACATCAAACAAACTTCTTCCAGAAAAGCTCCTTCAGCACTCATCACATCTGATGCGAGACAGCTGTCGCAGCTGCACCACGCTCTCTGACAAATGCCAGCATGCTCGTGGTGCAAGGATGCTGTCACGCATGATGCATTTGCGTTCTTCGAAATTTGGGACCAATCTCAAATCACGCATGGACCTTATTCAATTCTCAAGCCTTGATATGCGCTGTGAAGCTTGTCAGTGCTGTGAGATCACTGGACAGCCTTGACAACGCAAGTTGCATTATTTCATCTCAAACGACAGGGCCGATGGCATTGCAGTGGTAATACTGACTCGATTCTGACTTTCTCTTTGACCTTCATCCATGTTCACCCGCAGCTAGATCTCATCCGGATGCGTCTCTCGAAACACGGGACAAAATCGACATGTCAAGACAATTCTTTGCCAGCCAATGCTTGACCCCGTGCCGTCATCACACCACAGCTCTCGGAGCTCGAGTACTGAAGCTTTGGTTCGGTGGTGTGGTTGTTTTGACTTTCTGCCACGCAGCAAATCCAAGCACGGCAGGCTGCGGAAATTCGAGGACATGAATTCGTGCCTCGGCCTCATACTGGACAACTCATACTGGACACTGAGACCCAGTGTTGTGCACGTCGCAGGCAACACGGATACGCATGTGCATGTTACATCGCACAATCATGCAGCCTGGCGTCGAATCGCGATCAGATGCGCTGATCAGCTCTTGGGCATCAACCTCATGCACGACGACTGCGGACCGCATACCGAGAGCGGCAACAGCAGGACTGCGAGTGAAGAACACGACACGTCAACATTGACCTTCTACAATGCACATGTTGTTTCAGCGATATCCTGCGCTGCCGCCTTGCCCTAGAACATCGACGGATACTGGCGGGTACGGGCAGGATATCACGGAATGTCTCAAGAAAACATGACTATCGTCGAAGATACCGAGGACTGTCTGGCACATCTTGTCGCCAGATGCTAAGCGCCCGTACAGTATCGGTCTCAGAAGTGCCGTTTCGAGCAGTGATGCCCAACATACGTACGCACCAAGACGACAAGCCAGGCTGAGCAGCTGGAGGCGCGAAGGCGACGCGAAGTGAAGGCTTTGTGAGAGGTGATCGTCGCAACAGCTCGATCGAGGACAAGGTTCCCTTGCACCTGTGTACTCGTCAGTGATCCAGAACACCGAAGGCGCAACAAATGGAAGGCGCGAGTCGTTGGCCTCAGAGGGGAATCAGAAAGCATCTCTCAGTGCCGCATAGCGACTACGGAGCAGCGGTTCTGGTTTCCTCATCATGAGCTCTGCCGTCAGTAGGAAAGATCCGGGCTTACCTATTCTCGACCAATGCCACTCAGTCGTTGAAGACAGTCTGCCACATTCAGTGAACTCGATTGAGTATTGGATGGCAGATGCATTGCCAGATGTCAACAAATTTGAGCTGGGAGAGATGATGATATGTGTTGGCGGTCGCACTTGTTGTCCGAAGCTGGACCGATTCGACTTTTCGCAACTTGATGTCACTACCCACAATTACTACACCTCTCCAACAACATTGAAGCAAACAACCAGGACGATGGATCTACCGATAGCTCTCCGAGGCAGCGTCGTAGAGCTGCCGAACTAACTTGCTGCTGTGCATGGCACATTGCTCAGAGTCGCACTGACAAACGCATGGCGCAGGGAGAATGGCACCAACGGATTGGTTTACTGCTGCGAAGACCCGGATTACCCGGTAACTTCACGATTTCACAATGAACAATTCTGGAGGGACCAGCGTGTACTGCATAACGCAAAGCCTCGAGGGGGCAAGGTGCGGACAGCAAAAAGCGATCTCTGTTGAATTGTATTCTCGTAGGCACTCGTCGGATAGGTGTAATACAGTAGAAGTAGAGACAATAAGTAGGAACCAACCGAGTTAATTGTGTTAGTTAGTTATAGGTTGCATCTCACTCCTGAGATAGGCATTAGCTGAGTTATGTAACCTAGTGTTATATAACCTATATTACCTAATTCTAATCCCTAAAGTGTCTCTTAGAATGTCTAACTAGACTATACTTTCTAATACTCCTACTTAGGCTAGATAGTCTTCTGCCTACCTTCTTATATTCCTTATATATAGCTACGCGAATTAGATTAAAACGACTAAAAATCCTATCGATAGAGTTTCTAACTAAAAACTCTAATAGTAGAGTTTCTAGTTACTTTCTTTTATTTATATATCTAATTCCTCTATATAGAACTAATCTTTTACTTTTCCTTATATAAGTTAGAGTTATTTTATAAACTCCTAGAACTATAGTCTATTCTTTAGTTTAGTTAGACTATTAGTAACTATCTCTTTTATTAGAATATATTTA